GAAATTACTTATGAATGATAAAATCACAGCTACGTGTCAACAAATATGTCACACAAGCATTACATCGAACCTTACAAACAAGGGCGAAAACATCCCCACTATACTACTAATGCACCGCTTCACAGCCAATGGCATCGCGGCTTCACTTACAGACGTCCAATAACATCGCGACACTTGATACCCTCAACTGACGAGATAAAACTCGATCTCTTGGACCCTGAAGATAGCTACAGCACAGGTTGACGAAACATCAGCCACTGTCGACGACAGTCCTATTCGGGACTACGCTCACCCGGAAGAATACAGTATGCACCGGCGAAGAAGAACTTAGTGGATTAAGAGCCAAAAATACAAGAGACGGTTTAGCCAAGCAAAAGCAAGCAGATTCTTATATGTGGGTTACAGTTAAATTATGATAAGCAATTAACGTAAGTGAGATTGTAAATTTAAGTACAACAAGAAGCTACATTACCAAACTGTTTATAAATTTGGTATTTGTACGGTAATGATAATACAATTACGAATAAATACAGTATTTTAAAGGACCAAACCCAAGTTTGTTATTTGCGGCTAATCAACAATTTATTATACTCCTTCATAAAAATTAAGACTAAATTGCCAATAAGTGTGACGATAAGTGTAACTTGCTGTTTGTTATTAAGGTTAGTGTTACGTAATATGTCAATGACATGTGAATATTTAAGTAGGCTATACATAAGGTTTCTTGATTTATTAAAGTGAGCATATTTCCCTCGTAGCGGTCTCCCGAAAGTCTTTCATGGTGTCAGGAATCTTGTACCGAACCTACGTGTTTTACCTTTTTTTCTCGCGATGCTGGGTGGCGAAGGCACGAAGGGGCCGTTGCATCGCAGAATTCGTCGGGAGATACTGTGAGAGGTGCATTTGTTTGCTTTACCGCCACCTCTACCGCTTGATATTCATGATTTGAACGCAGCAGGAAACTGGAAAGAGTGTGAGCAAGCTTGGAAGAATTACTCGATTGCCATGAATTTGCACCAGAAACCCGAAGCCGTACACACTGCTAGCAACATTGCTTGCCCTTATTGGACTGAAGCGCGAAAAGTTTTCGCTACGTTTACCAATTGGGCGAGTAATACCGACCAAAATAAGATCCAGCCAGTGCTATAAAGGTTTGCAGCGTACTATCAGCCACTTAAAAACGTGCCTTTTGAAAGATACAACTTTTATTCTAGAATGCAAGAATCGGGAGAGTCTTAATATCATTATCGGACAGCTCTTCGGCAGTTAGCAGAAAGGTGCGAATTTGAATCGATTACCCCGAATCAGATTTTACGGGACAAGCTCTTGCTTTTGAAATTCGAGATTCAAAGGTTCGTGTGAAGCGTCTTAAAAAGAATTTGTCGTTAGAGAAAACGGATGAGATTTGTCGCTTTCATGAGACCATGGTACTGCAGATGAAAGGATGTCTGTGATGTCGGTTTAAGCGTTGCAGATGCGAAAAACTAGGGGCTAAAGCAGGGAGACGTAGGCGCGGTCGTGGCTCGAGAAATGCTGGCGTGCGGGAAAATAGCTGTGAATTTTGCGGACGTGAGCATGATTTAGCGAAGTGTGAGAATTGGCCGGGTTATGGAAAGAGCTACAATACGTGTGGTAATAAAAATTATTTCGCAAATATGTGTTTTGGACACGTGCCTAAGCCCAGGTATCGCTCGCGTCTTGTTAATTGTTTCACGTATGAGCTGCCGTATGAAGTTTTTGGTGTGGCCGAAATTTCGGCAGTAACCTTAGATGATTCTCAACTAGTAACGCTGAAGTTGGAATTTGGAAATTATCTTCACTTTCAGCACGACACAGGAGTTCAGTGCCATGTTGTCACTGTACAAGAAGGCGACCAAAGATTTTGATTTGCGCAATGTGACCGGTACTTCAATTCCTATGCTCGGGAAAGTTTGATTGCGTGTATGGCGTCGAGATTTCAAATGTCTGCTTGACCGCAATTTGGTTAAACGCAGGAGAGTCAGACCAGTTCTGGGCAGGAAAGAGTGCCCTAGAGTGAACATTATGAAGTGTCTAGACAACGACCACTTAAACCGACCGCAGGCGCCCGATAGTGAAGTTTATACACATGATGTCCCGGCTACTTCCCCGGTCTCCGCTTACCAGCTGTTGTTTAAGAGGTTTCGTCGTGTCTTTGCTGATGGCGTAGGTGCTCTTACAGACGAATATCACATGGTGCTGGATGAGTCGGTTAGGCCAGTTCAACAACCTCCTCGCAGAGTTCCAGTCGCGATCCGCGAACGTCTTAGAGAGACACTGGAAGAGAAGCGTGAAATTATTGCTCGCGTGACAACGCCCACCCCTTGGATCAGCTCGATGGTTGTTGTACCAAAGAAGAATGGCAAATTACGCATATGTTCGGATCCGATGGATCTAAATCGTGCTTTGCATCGGGAAACTATCCTTTACCTACGATTGAAGAAGTGGCTTCCCGTCTTCACGGAACAAAAGTTTCACGTCCCTTGATGTTTCCAATGGCTTCTGGCATGTTGTTCAGGATGAAGAGTGTTCGTTCTGTACTAAGTTTAATACGCCATTTGGAAGATACTGTTAAAAAAGGATGCCGTTCGGGATCAGACCTGCACCTGAAGTGCTTCGGAGTAAAATGAATGAGTTGGTTGAAGGGTCGAGGGGTCTTGAGGTCATAGCGAATGATTTTGTTGTTTTGGGTACGGTGAATCGTCGCATTCTGCAATTAAAGACCATGACGGGAATCTTCTTGCGTTTCTCGAGAAATGTGATGAGCGCGGAGTTCATTTGAACAAGAACAAGTTGCAGCTTAGAATGAAAGAAGTCCCTGAGAGAAAGTCAGACGTTCCCCTGTGTCTTCGACCCTATTTTTACCTGCGTGATGACTTGGTTGTTCAAGGTAATTTAATTTTCAAGGGCCGGCGTTTGGTTGTTTCGTCCAGTATTCGCTTTGAACTTATGTCAGTGGTTCATGCGACCCATATTGGTATCGAAGTCTATTCAGGAGGGCCCGAGAATGTCTTTTTTGGCCTAGAATGGCGTCTGATGTCAAAGACTATATTTCCAAATGTGACGTGTGTTTGGCTCATCGTACCTCCCTGACTAAGGAACCGCTCGTTCAATACGAAGTGATCGCAAGACCATGTGCCAAGCTAACCGCTGACTTGTGTGAACTGCATGGGCGGACCCTGTTGGTTGTTACTGGTTATTTTAGCAACTACATCGAAGTGGCGCGTCTCCCCGCTACCTCAACTCAAGCTGTTGTTCGCGAGTTGAAGACCATGTTTGTGCGTCTTGGTATTTCTGTGATCCTTGTGACGGATAATGGGCCATAGTTTTCGTCTAACGAGTTTCAAGTATTTACTAGGGGATGGTCTTTCAATTATGTCACTACATCGCCTCGCTACCCTCAGTCAAATGGAAAAGCCGAAAACGCTGTGCGGACAGTGAAGCGTCTGTTACAAAGAAACCTGTATGTCAGAATTTGAAGCTCTTCTTGACTGGCGAAATACGCCTCCTGAGGGAATGGATACCAGCCTGGCACAGCGCCTGATGGGATGTCGATGCCGTACGCTACTTCCGATGTCAGAGTCTCTTTTACAACCAAGTTACTCATTGCGTGTTGATCTGCGTGTGTTAGCCGAAAGGAAAAATGGCGCTATATTATAGCATGGAGATTTCCTATGATTTATTCTGGTTTGTTTGAGGTCCAATTGTACTAGAACTGGTTGAACATTCTCCTCAAAAAGAAAATTTTTTTTTGTCTTACAAACTCTTCTTTCAAATATCATCACATTTTATTGGGTAAGATTCAATATAATCACTAAAACGTTTCATTGAATTTTCGGTCAAGTGAAGATATGAGGCGATTGACTTCGTTCCATTTAAAAGATAAACAAAAAACTGCAATTTGCTCACTATACTCAAAAGAAATTTACTTACAAACCAGGTGTTTGCTTGGACCTTTATTTTTTAAGTAAGGGCAACTTGATAGGTAACATGAAATTGATTGAAAAAATAATGAGCATTCCAATCGAAAGCGTTCAATTTCATTACCTACCCTGGATATCATGCACTAGCTTCAAATGTTTTGAATTCATCAATCACTGTATACATGTTATACAATAAGTGTAAGCCAAAATTGCTATTCGTTTCTTTTTTTTTTTTTTCTCAGTGGGCTATACGGCTAAACGTTTGCGGTGCGGTTCTTATTCCGCGGGTGTTTACTATACTTATAAAATGACTCCTGGGTTCAAACCATTCACTGTGCTACCAAAATATGCTACCAAAAACAATGTACCCCGATTTTTTGGACCATTAGTGTAAAATAAGGGCAACTTGACAGGGAACATGAAAGAGATTGAAAAAATAATGACTACTCCAGTCGAAAGCCTCAATTTCATTATCTACCCTGGATCTCACTCAACAGTTTTAAGTGATTCAAACGTTTTGAATCCATGCACCAATCACTGTATACATGTTATACGAATAAGTGTTAGCCATCAAGGGAACCCTGAGTTCACCGATTTCAAATTATTCTCAAGGTTTGTTTTTAATGTTATATGTAAATGAATCTTAAACTAAAATTGCTGTTCCTTTTTTTTAATATATATCTCACTGCTTTATCTAAACGTTGCGGTACTTTCGTAAAAATAAATATTACAATTCCCTCTATTATTCGATTCAAAACTCAGTGTCAGGCAAATAAACATCGTTTAATCTTGTCTTTCGAAAGATGAGTTAATGTAAGGTATTTTCCTATCCTGGTGATGGGTATGTTTGTTTTCAAATAGATCGACATTACTAGAAGGCGGATATTAAAAAAAATCCATTGCACAACCCGATTAAAAATTAATAACTACTTTCTTACTTCTCAACTATTAGCGCCATCGGAACTGAAGAATGAACGGAATCGAAGTTTCTCTCAGCCTGCCGGTAAAGAAACAAGGTCTGACATTCAGTTCATTTTAAGTCATTCATTACTCTCAGTTATGTCTGATACAACTGACTTGGTGTTTTTGTGCATTCTCATTGTTTTGACTATCGTCATTCTCATTGCCAACATGTTTACTATATTTGCTTTCTGGATTCATCGCAAAAACCTAAAACGAGCATTTTTACTTGTTATTAACTTGGCCTTTGCCGATCTTTTCGTTGGATTCACTGGAATTTTGACCGTGATTAGGCATTTGCTTTTCAGCCACAAACTGCCTTTGACTCAGAACGTTCAGTAAAAGCTCACAAATTATAATTCATAAATAGTAATAAAGATTAAAATAATGTAATTCAATATACAAGTCGACTTAAGTTTCCATTAGACCTTTGACATATTAGGACGATGCTCATAAAAGGGTTATGCCCTGTAAGAAAACGTATGTCCTGGATGACTGTCTGTGATGGCGAGAGCTTCAGCCAATCAGAAATCAGGATTTAAGATAAAATATTCCAAGATTTTTACTTGTCAGTTATTTTGGTATTTAACGACAGAAAACCATCAATCGTGGATGTATTAGTGCCACCAATCTGTATCACAGCACAGGCTTTCGCATAACGAAGAATCTTGTCGCTCGATTCTCGCAATCAGGGTGCGGTTAAACAGTGCACGGAGCTAAAACGACACTAAGTTAACGAAGGCTTCAATCTACAGCAGCAGCAAGAGCAGCAGTATACTAATGTCAGAACAAACAGCAACCATTGCTTCCCTTTGTTTTTCCACTCTTCAATCTCTCATCGTATTCGCTGCTAATTTTCTCACCATAGCTGTGTTTTGGATTCACCGAAACAAACTAAGACGAACTTACTTACTTCTTATCAATTTGGCCGTAGCCGATCTTCTCGTTGGATTCGCATACGTGACACCATATTTGACGGTGTTAGCACTTCCTAGTTACATTAGAAAATCTAAACTTAATGGCAAGACTTATGACTATCTTGTAATCCAATTTCAAGTTACATTTTTAAGTACATCGATGTTCTTTCTGGTTCTTATTTCTCTGGAACGTGCATTTGCTTTGATTTGGCCGCTTCTCCATCGAACAACAAGCACGAAGACGTTCATCTACGGTGTCGTCACTGCATGGTTAGCAGGTGTTTCTTTGGGTTCACTAACCTGGCTGGTTAGCTACGGAATATTTGAGATTTCTCACTATACCCTCACATTTTCAATCGTAATCGTCTTATCACTGGCAACGATGTGCACATCATACCTAGCAATCCGAAAAAAACTTAATCGCAGTGACCCTACAATCGAAACAGGACATCAGCGACAAATCGTTGAGCAAAACACAAGAAAACTTTCCAAAACTTTGTTCCTTATGACAGGAGCATCTGCTGCCTTTTGGGTTCCAAGCCTAGTTTTATTTTCTTGTCTTTATTTCTCCCCAGGAATGTTTCCTGAATTTATGAAATATGTTTTAACTATAATTCATATGTGCAATTCCGTCGCAAATCCACTGATTTACAGCCTAAGAATGCCTATGTTCAGACAGAGTCTCAGACGATTTAGACTTGTAAAAATTCGAAAGCAGCGGAAAAAATACGTAGTAAATTGAGGATATTATTATGGAGCCTAAGATAACACCACAAACAAAGATTTGAACGTCTAATGTTTCTTTAATTTTTTTCTTTTTTGAACAAAGAAGGACAGACGACGGTACTTTTCAATGTTTTCCTTTATTTGGTAAAACAAGATATGTGTAATTAACATTACGTAATTAACCTTTTTTAACAGTTGAGTTCAAAGTTTTAATATACTTCAAACAGAGTCATCTGTGCGCAATCCTTGTAAACACATTGTATGCTTTCATCATTCTTAATTAAAGCTAAGACCTAATCTATTACCTTTCTTTTGGTTCAATTCATAGCACGGTTAAATTAGTAATCCATCTTCTATTTATCATAGATATTACTAGCTGCAGACCTTAGCAGTCCGTATTCTTTGTATTTCTTTAATGAGAGGATCGCTATTGGCTTCTGCAAAACGCGGCTCGGCAATACACAGTTAATATAACAACTCAGCAGATTCTAGTTGTCTAGAGGGTCTACAAAGCGCTACCTTTTCTCTGCATGTAAAACACCTCAAACTTCATTTTAATGTGTTTTGTCTGATACGATTAGTAAGGCGATTTTACGTGTCGTTTTCAGTGTCTTATCGCTCTTCATATTTACTGCAAATGCTTTCACTGTTTTTTCTTTGGGGTGGGGGGTTATCACCACAATAGTTTGGTTGGTTGGAATCGCTCTGGGTGCACTGAAATTACTACCAATTTACGATATCTTCGACTTGAAATATGACATTGTCGCCTACTCTGTCCTCATTGCTCTGTCTTTACTCTTGATTTGCTTTTCGTATCTCAAAACTCATAAAGACCCTTTTCATTGTAATAGGTGCATCTGTAACACTTTGGCCCTCCTGCAGGCATTGTGCAACTGGCCTGTCTTTTGTGCAAGGGCTTGTTCCCTGATTTTGTGAATTACATTTTCTTCATGTTTTATTTAACCAGGTCTCTTATTCATCCAATAATGCATAGTTTGAGAATGCCACTACACTGTATTTTGCAAGAACTTAAAAATAAGTCGAAGGTTCCACACTGGAGATCGAAAAATGTCGCAGCGACAAAGACTGAATTAGCGCTCAACACTTTTAAAAAGGGTTCATTGTGCACTGTTCAAGAAGGGGCCATTTTATGGAAGTGTCTCAAGACACTGTCCTTTTGTCTTTGTAGCCTGCAGCGGATTATACATTCATAATTTCATTAAAAATTATGCTCATGCAGATTGATCGACTTACTTAACAGTCCTACATTTCTTACTCTGTTATTTATAATATTCGTGAAATTAAATACTGTTTCGAACAATTGTGTTACATTCGTTTAGAGGACAATTCATTGTACCTACATGGACCTTAAATCGATCCAAAAACACAAATGAAGAGGAAGAAAAACAGTAGAAATGTAGTAGTGGTTGTGGACGGAAAAACAATAGAAATGTGGTGGTGGTGGTGGAGGGGGAGGTGGTGGTAGTGGTGGTGGGAAAATAAAAGAATTGTGGTGGGGGACGGGGGTGGTTTAGTGGTGAAGAGAAACGGAAAAAGAGAAGGCAAAACAAACGTTTGGTCGGAAGAGTGGCGAAGAGAAAACAATAAAATGAATTGTTTGGTGGTGGTGGTTGTACGAAAAATTTGAGGAAGAGCGACTTTTGTTATTTATTTTATTTATGAGATAACGAGAAACGGTTCTGACGTCATCGACGTCATCACTTGAGTTGAATGAAAAGGACTGTGTCTGGGTCATGGCTAGTTCATTTTGTTTATAAAGCCAATAGGTTGGCAGATCAAAACACGAGTGTCAAGGAACATCATTTTAGGGAGCTAAAGCAAAGGCGTTTTTGAGCTACGAACGTCAACCGGAAGCGAGGCATTTACCACTTTAATATGCCTTGACGGTAACAACCTTGTTTAAATACAAGAACCCTAATTTGCAAAAGAAAGCAAAACCCTGAAGGATTCTGGCAGTAGTAAAATGAGGTCACAATGGCCTCTTATGCCTCCTTATTCGCTATGAAATTTTAGAAATTACTTGTGAATGACAAAATCACAGCCACGTGTCAAGAAAATCCGTCTCACAAGCATTATATCGAACCTTACCAACAACTGCGAAAAACACTCCTACTATACTACTAACGTAGCACTTCGCAGCCAATAACATCAAGGCTTAACTGACAGACGACAAATAACCTTGGCACCTCGAGTACTGACCAGATAACACTCTCTTTGATCCTGAAGATAGCTACAGAACAGGTTAACGAAACATCAAGCAATGTCAGAAACAGTCCTATTCTGGACTACGCTCAACCGGAAGATTACAGTATACACCGGCGAAGAAGAACTTAGAGGAATAATCAAGAACCAAGAACTTACAAGAAACGGTTTAGCCAAGCAAGATAAAGCAGATTCTTATATGTGGGTTACAATTAAATTATGATAAACAAGGAATGTAACCTATATGTTGCAAATTAAAGTACAACGAGAAACTTCATGTCAGCAAACTGTTTATCAATTTGGTATTTGTTAGGGTTATGATAATACAATTAGGAACAAATACTGCATTTTTAAAGTGCCCATCACCTAAAATTTTTTATTTCCTCATCTGAAAGTATACCTTATTAAAATAACTTCTGCGAAAAAATTTTGCGGTTTGAACAAAACGCGATTTTTTAACCAATTTTTGAAGTCTACATTTTTGCGGTACACTCGCGACGCTAGTCACGCAAACTAGTAGGCTCACATATGACGTCGTGTGACGTCAACTAAGGAACTGGCATAACCTTTCCTTCACCAGCTCCCCTGTACACAAAAAAGATGAATTACAAGTAAGGATTGAATCACAATGTCTTCGCAAAAAGCAAGTTTTTCTGAAACAGAAAAACCTACCAGAACTCTTAATGTTTTCCTGTCGATAAAGTCACGTGTTCCTTAAAGTACGTCATATAACGTCATACTCCGAGAAAAGACTAGGACGAATGGTGGGCCAAAATGGCGGCAAATTTGAACGTTGCAGATGCGGGAACTATGAATACTGTGTCTAAGGAGGCTAAAAGAGGGAGACGTAGGCGCGGTCGTGGCGCGAGAAATACTGGCGCACGGGAAAATAATGTAGCTGTGCATTTTGCAGACGTGAGCATGGTTTAGCGAAGCGTGAGAATTGTCCGGCTTATGGACAGAGCTGCAATAAGTGTGGCATGAAAAATTTCGCGAACGTGTGTTGTGGACACGCACCTAAGCCCACGTCTCGCGCCAGATGATTCTCAACTGGTAACGCTGACGTTGGAATCTGGATATTATCTTTTGTTTCTGCCCGACACAGGAGCTCAGTGCAATGTTGTCCCTTTGCATCTGTATAAGAAGGCGACCAAAGATTTTGATTTGCGCAGAGTGACCCCTGTCAATACGGCGATTATTTCTTATGGTGGTACTTCAATTCCTGTCCTCGGGAAAGTTCATTCGCGTGTAAAGAGTGGAGATTTCAGATGTCTGCTTAACTGCAATTTGGTTGAAAGCAAGAGAGTCCAGCCTATTCTGGTCATTAAAGCGTGCCTTGGAATGAACATTATTACGTATCAAGACAACGACCAGTTGAACCGACCACAGACGTCCAAAGGTGGAATTTATACACATGGTGTCCCGGCTACTTCCCCGGTCTCCGCTTACCAGGTGTTTAAGAGGTTTCCTCGTGTCTTTCCTGATGGTGTAGGTGCTCTTGCAGGCGAATATCACATGGTGCTGGATAAGTCGGCTAGGCCAGTTCAACATCCTCCTCGCCGAGTTCCATCCGCCATCCGCGAACGTCGTAGAGAGATACTGGAAGATTTAGAGAAGCGTGAAATTATTGCTCGAGTGACTACGCCCACCCCTTGAATCAGCTAGATCGTTGTCGTACCAAAGAAGAATGGCAAATTACGCATATGTTTAGATCCGATGGGTCTAAATCGTGCTTTGCAGCGCGAAAACTATCCTTTGCCTACGACTGAAGAAGTGGCTTCCCGTCTTCACGGAAAAAAAGTTTTCACGTCCCTTGATGTTTCCAATGGCTTCTGGCATGTTGTTCAGGATGGAGAATGTTCGTTTTGTACTAAGTTTAATACGCCGTTTGGAAGATACCACTAGAAAAGGATGCCGTTCGGGAGTTTCAGAGTAAAATTACAGCGCTTTTCACAAACATGCGAATTCTGAAGTTCAAAGGCCAACTGACGAATGCGTTTCTCACTGCCGTCAATCATCTTAACGGACCTCTTAGGAAACAAAACTTTACTTTAACGGGTTCAAAAGTTCAAGGTTTGTGATTGTGATTGGTGGATTTCGATCCGTTTTGTGTGTTTCTGTGTTTCGAGGTTCGTTGCTTGTGATCATAACTATGATTGACGGCAGCGAAAAACGCACTTGTGAAGGCGGCTTTTGAACTTTAGAGTTCGCATGTTTGTGAAAAGCGCAGTAATGAGTTGATTGAAGGGTTGAGGGGTGTTGATACGGTGAATCCTGGCATTCTGCAATAAAAGACCATGACGGGAATCTTCTTGCGTTTCTCGAGAGATGTGATGAACGCGAAGTCCATTTGAACAGCAACAAGTTGCAGCTTAGAATGAAAGAAGTTCCTGAGAGAAAGTCCGACGTTAGGGCCCGCGATTGGTTCTTTCGTCCTGTATACGCAAGGCACTTATGTCCGTGGCTCATGCAACCATATTGGTATCGAAGGCTCTTTGCGGTGCGTTCGAGAATGTCTTTTTTGGCCTAGAATGGCGTCTGATGTCAAAGACTATGTTTCCAAATGTGACGTGTGTTTGGCTCATCTTACGTCCCAGACTAAGAAACCGCTCTTTCAACACGAAGTGATCCCAAGACCATGGGCCAAGCTAGCCGCTTACCTGTGTGAACTGCATAGGAGGACCCTGTTGGTTGTTACTGATTATTTTAGCAACTACATCGAAGTGGCACGTCTCTCTGCTACCTCAACTCAAACTGTTGTTCGCGAGTTGAAGACCATGTTTGAGCGTTTTGGTATTTCTGAGATCCTTGTGACGGATAATGGGCCACAGTTTTCGACTAACGAGTTTCAAGTATTTGCTAGGGGATGGTCTTTTAATTATGTCACTACATCGCCTCGCTACCCTCAGTCAAATGGTAAAGTCGAAAACGCTGTGCGGACAGTGAAGCGTCTGTTTGAGAAATGCAAAGAAGCCGGTCTGGCAGAATTTGAAGCTCTTCTTGACTGGCGAATTACGCCTCCTGAGGGGATGGATACCAGCCTGGCACAGCGCCTGATGGTACGTCGATGCCGTACGTTACTTCCGATGTCAGAGTCTCTTTGACAACCAAGTTACTCATTGCGTGGTTATCTGCGTGCGTTGGCCCAAATGAAAAATGGCTCCACATTGTAGCATGGAGATTTACTATGATTTATTGTGCTTCATTTGAGTTCAATTGTACTAAAACGCATTAAATATTTTCCTCGAAAAGAAACCTTTTATATGTCTCACAAACTCTCCTTTGAAATATCATCACATTTTATTGGGTAAGATTCAATATAATTACTAAAACGAATTTTCGGTCAAGTGAAGATATGAGGCGATTGACTTCGTTCCATTACTAGATCAGCAAACATACTGGAATGCTTACTATACTCAAGAAAATTACTTACAAACCAGGTGTTTGCCTGGACCTTTATCTTTCAAGTAAAGGCAACTTGATAGGTAACATGAAATTAATTAAAAAAACAATCCAATCCACTCCAATCGAAAACCTTCAATTTCATTATCTACCCTGGATATCACGCCCAATCATGCCCTAGCTTCAAATGTCTTGAATCCACCAATCACTGTATACATGTTAATGTATAATAAGTGTAAGCCATCAACAGAACTCTGAGTTCACCGATTTCAATTATTCTCAAGGTTTGTTTTCAAAAGTGATAAGTAATTGAATATTAAACGAATATTGCCCTTCGTTTTTTTTTTTTTTTTTTTTTTTTTTTTCAGTTGGCTATACGGCTAAACGTTTGCGGTGCGGTTCTTATTCGCGTGTCTTTACTATACTTGGAAAATGACTCCTGGGTTGAAACCATTCACTGTGCTACCAAAACATGCTAACAAAAACACTGTACTCCGCTTGTCTGAACCGTTATCTTAAAATAAGGGCAACTTGATAGGGAACATGAAATAGATTGAAAAAATTATGAGTACCCCAGTCGAAAGCCTCAATTTCATTATTCATCCTGGATCTCACTCAACAGTTTTAAATGATTCAAACGTTTTGAATCCATGCACCAATCACTGTATACATGTTGATACGAATAAGTGTTAGCCGTCAAGGGAGCCCTGAGTTCACCGATTTCAAATTATGGCTCAAGGTTTGTTTTGAAATGTGATATGTAAATCAATCTTAAACTACAATTGCTGTTCCTTTTTTTATATCTCAGTGGGTTATCTAAACATTGCGGTGCTCATTAAAAACAAATATTACAATTCTTTCTATTATTCGATTCAACACTCAGTGTCAGGCAAATAAAATATGATTTAATCTGGTCTTTCGAAAGATGAATCAATGTAAGGTATTTTCCTATCCTGGTGATGGGTATGTTTGTTTTCAAATAGATCGACAATACCAGAAGGCGGATATTGAAAAAAAATCCATTGCACAACCCGATTAAAAATTAATAACTACTTTCTTACTTCTCAACTATTAGCGCCATCGGAACTGAAGAATGAACGGAATCGAAGTTTCTCTCAGCCTGCCGGTAAAGAAACAAGTCTGACATTCAGTTCATTTTAAGTCATTCATTACTCTCAGTTATGTCTGATACAACTGACTTGGTGTTTTTGTGCATTCTCATTGTTTTGACTATCGTCATTCTCATTGCCAACATGTTTACTATATTTGTTTTCTGGATTCATCGCAAGAAACTAAAACGAACATTTTTACTTGTTATTAACTTGGCCTTTGCCGATCTTTTTGTTGGATTCACTGGAATTTTGACCGTGATTGGGGCATTTGCTTTACAGCGACATACTAGCTTCAACAAAATCAGTTACGATACTTTCCTTGGTATATCACTAATACTTCACGCCACTTTTGCATGTATATCCGTGTATTTTCTGGTGCTCATTTCCCTAGAACGAGCCTTCGCTTTGATTTGGCCTCTTCGACATCGTGTAGCAAGCATCAAGGTTTACATCAACAGTGTGGTTATTGTGTGGTTAGTTGGGACAGCCCAAGGCGCATTGATTTTTTTAGCGCTAAATGAAGATATCAAAATGGAGTATAGCGAAGTTTGTGGTGGATTTTTGATTTATTTCTCATTGGGGATGATCTGTGTGTCTTATCTCTCAATCCGGAAAAGACTCAACAACAGAAATCGCTACATCAACACAACCCAAAACAGACAAATTTTGGAACAAAATATTAAGCTTTCCAAGACCTTTTTTACTGTAATCTGTGCGTCGGTTGTTTGTTTGGCTCCAAGCGTTTCATTTTACATTGTCAGTTGTTTTCATCCAGCCCTTTTTGCTGGTTTTTTGAAATATATTTTCATAATGTTAAATCAGTCTAATTCTCTTGTTAACCCAATGATTTATAGTTTTAGGATGCCGATATTTAGGAAAACTTTAAAACAACTGAAGAAAAGGATTAAAATTCCGAGACCGTCCTCCAAGTATACAGTTAGCGGAGAAACCGGAAAATATGTTCACTCTAAGTTTAACTCGTAAGTAGACGGCATCAACTTTAACGGTAATAGCACTAAATTCAGGGCTAATTTTGTACCCTGTTCATTGTAAAAGTTTAAATGCACTTATAAACCTTCAAACATCTGATCTGTATCTAATATTTTTCATCCGATAATTTAGAAGAATTAAGAAAACGTTAAGGACATTTAAAGTTGGTTAAAAATTCCAAATCAATCGGGAAATTGTTCAGTTAGCAGCAAAAACTGAAGCATAAAAATAGAAGCACATGTACAATATTCGTGAGGGGTGCTTTGTCCTCACGGCACGCTTCCACAACAAGAGCACAGGCCTAGATTTCCTTTTACTAAACATAAAATTCGTTTATAATTAAGAGGAATCATGAGTGAATAGTTTATCTCACAGCTAAGGCTTTTAGGCAACGTAAACGAAAGGGGAAGATTTAAGATCAGGTGACACCACAGGCGGCCAAAACTCACGTTACGAGGGAGGGTTACCTACCATAGATGACGCGCCGGTGTCGCGTTAAAGGCGACCGTCGAAAATAGAAGAGACTTTGTATGAGAAATATATTGCTGAGATCTACGAACACTAAATAACACTAAACCTTACTTTCTCTTAATTGAAATGAATAAAAAAGACTTACCTGCGATGTATTCCACTGCGTTTTGGTGTCTGTTTGTCGTTTTATTGTTTTGTTCTTTATTGCGTAACCACTGTTACTCCAACGAACTGTGGGACTAGGGACTGGGCAAGGCCGGATAAGCCGGATACTCACCCCTAACGTCAGCCTTTTTTTGGCTAAGCCAAGAGAGTTCTTCCGCGCGCGCGGGTTGTGTGGGGGCTCCACCACCAATGTCCCGGATAAGTAGCTCGTAAGCCTACCCGGACATAAAATTAATCTCATGCTCTCGATCCCACTGTGACTCAAAAAAAAAAATAAGGGACGGCTCGCTTTTTTTCCCGTCAGCTATGAAGTTTAAGAGTTTGATTGACTGGTAGAGGAGCAGGAGAATGCCTTTATGGGCCATTACCCCGGAAGGAGGCACTCTGGATTTCAAGTGACAGGGATGATCGAATGTGGGCAAAAATCAAAGCCCAAACAAATCCCTGGACCAAAGTTGAACCCTCACAAAATTCCATGCCGAATATCCTAGCCCTAAAAATGTATTCGCGAAACTACGCGGCTTGAATACGTGACATTCTTGGGAACAATAACGAATCTTCAAACTGTTTTGAATGGACCATAAACGCTACTTGATTTAAATCAAGCTCCCCAAAAGTATACTTGCCAAAAATTTCCAAATCAAAAAAGTTCTTCGTTCGTCCTTGTCATGCACTTGAACCCCCCCCCCCCCAAGGATTGCAGCCATTTAGGGTCACCAGAGATTATTTTAAAACAGCAAATAAATAGTGTTACTGACATTTCTTGACTTGACGGTTTTAGATTTTGGCCCCACTGTAAACAGGTAAAGGGCCCTGAATAAAGGAGAGCTAAAAAAAGCAGTACTGATATAATGTTAAAATTGTTTCATATAACATCAGCGTGAACCGACCGTTAATCCTGACATTATCGTCATGATATAAATCGATGATCATTTTTAATTTGGCGCACCACACAAACTTTTCTAGGATCCATAATCTTTTAAAAAGGAGGGTTCTTATTACTGAATTGCCATTATGAAAGTGCAATAGGTCGCATTATAACGGGAGGATGAATACAGCAATTTGGCAGAAATACACCCTCCCCATAAAAAAACCCCCTTAATTCTGTTAATTTCCCTCGAAGACAAAGCTTGATTATAATAAGATCAAAGTCTTAGAAGTCTCAGAATCGAATGACAGAATGAACAAATCTTAGTTTTCTTTCTTCCTTTCTTATTTTAAAAAAGGGGTAAAGCTTTTGGGAAAGGGATTAAAACTGATCCGAAATGATAGTAAGAAAATAAAGGTGGGATACAAATGCATATAATCCTGTTCAGAGTAAGATGTTTCTTGTTAGTCCATTGGTGTTTTTCAATACGTTCATTGATTTTTATTAAAAACAGCAATGATGAGTTAAGTTTATTCACACATGCGCAAATAAGTTCCAAATAATTTTTGAATTGATTCAGCTCTTAACGACTTCGTAGTTTGCTGGGCTTATGATGGCTTGATTGCGATAAAACCCAAAGAAAGGTAAAGGTTCATCTAATCAGTTCGTTCTATTGCAAAGGATGTTAGATTCATAACCGAACCAGAAACACAGGAGATTCGAAACTGTAAATGCAAGCTATCGCCATAATCTCTTGTCTTTCTCGTGTCTATACGTAAACTAGGTAGGTGCCGAAGATCTTAAAGAACTAATCAAGCTGTGATCTTCTTGAGGTACTTTTAACATTTGTTCCATTATCGAAACATATTTTTCCATTTTTCTTCAGGTTTGACTTGAAATCACATGAATCTGATGGCCTTAAAATCGGGCGGCAAGGATAAGTAAAAATAGCGAAAAGATGTGGGCAGCTCTATGGCAGAAAAACAAACCAAGATATTTCAAAGAGTAAGTGTAAAAGAGTAAACAGTTTTTTTATGCGCACAGTCTTAGACGAAAAATAAATAGAAACTCTTGATATAAAACAAAAGAAAGAAAGAAAGAAAGATGGCATTTACGGCGTAATAGAAAACTGCGGGTTTACGTAATTTATAGAATGTATGAAAAAAGGAGTTAGGCGGCTATAAGTTATAGCATATAAGTAATCACCAGCATCAGTATCTTACCTAATTTTACAGTTTGAATGGAGTAGAGAACGTCCTGAATTTTGAGCTGAAAGCTTATGAGAGTAAGTCACGATCGGCGTAGCCTGCGGCGCAGCCGGCCCACGTATTGCATACAGTGTGGATATAGGTTTAAAGCGTCTGCGCACAGGTTTCGATTTTCGTAGATTCTTCCGCCAATCAAAGAGTTAAGCCGTAAATGCAAAAGTGGGTAAGTAATGAACACTCTTGCCAATCTGTGCGGTGCTGTCGGTATGTTTATTGAGTGCCCTCGTCGGCTTCTTCGGCTTCCGTTAATCTTCCGTTAATCTTCGATAATTTCGTCGCTTTCCGAACCTACAGTTCGGCCTTCGACTGTGTCGTGCTTCTCTTAACCATCGCACTCTTGTATCTTACTGACTGCAAGAAACATCACTTTCGCATCGAGTCCTAACTCCTCCTGTTCTAAATATCGTCATTTAAGATTCGTAAGTAACTAGTTAAAGAAATTAATTAAATATTCGTTCCTTTTCATCGATGAATGTTTGCGAGCTTCATGTAAACCTTGCGTACTAAGAGTTCTTCAGTTTAATCTGTAAATCAAAGTAGCCTGGGCTCTAGCTATCTCTGTGTTTAGCCAAATCTTTACATTTTATGTTATTTGCTGTGGCTATCATTACATAACGCCATGCTTTTAAAATTAGTTGAATTCTTACGATAAACTTAGCACGCTTTCGTAATCTTGTGACCTCGCATGAGCATCTTAAACTGTTGACCCGGTCTCGTCATCTTTCATTCTCTGTTCTGAACTTTCGTCTTGGTTGTTTCGCTTAGACGCGGAAATTATTCCCTTAAAATCATTTATATATTAGTGGCAATTACAGTGAGCGAGAATAACAAATAAACTCTTTGCTCAGTACACATTAACTGGAGTTGTAAAAGCGATGATAACATTTTTTGTGATATTGAGGTGTAGAAAGCAATATGGACAATGTTTTTTGATTGACTCCATATGTAGATGTTTAGTAGACTATATTTTCGATTGTGTATCAAATCATTCAAATTTCTGGTTAATTGAGATTAATGGTCTATATTTAATTTCAATTAAAAAGAGGTCCATGTACTTATATCATATTATAAGCAATATAAAGCGCAATATTTAATGTAGAGGAAACGTTTTGCAAAAGCACTGTGGAAGTGGGGTTATGCAAGCTAGTAACTCTGATTGAGAGTCATATAAATTTCTATTCAGCTTTAACTATTGTAGAATTGATAAAGGGATTAGTAATTTCTTGAAACAAACTGTGGCGATGCATCGGTGGGAAAATACCCTCGCCAAACATCGGGTACTGTCGGTAACTTGCGCCCACTACGATAATCAACAACTTACGCTACTGACGTTTACATTGAAAGCTGGCTTCAGTTCTTGTATACGCAATGTTTCTTTGATTTTACAGTAATAATCAGTTTTTCCCGAGGCTAAGATATCAAGATGACCACACATCAGCCATTGCTGAACATGTCAACACTAGACACTAGACACATCATCAAGTAGGATCATTTTGATACCTTAACGTCGGGAAAAACTGATTATCAATGTAAAATCAAAGAAACATTGCTTAAACAAGAACTGAAGCCCAGTTTCAATGTATAGTAGACGTCAAAAGCGAGGAGCTGATGCTGTTACTCAATAATCTATTACACTCCCTCATAAAGATTAAGCCTACATTGCCGATAAGTATCCCAAAATACAAGAACCTGTTTTGCTAATAGCGAGTTTTAAAAAGGTACTGGTTCTTATTCGCGGTTGTTTACTTTACTTATGTCGATTGACATGACTCCTGGGTTCAAACCATTCAATGAAGTGCTACCAAAATATGCCATCAAAAACACTGAACCGTGCATAGTGAAACATAGAGATTCACCATGATTTACTGTGGTTCATTTAAGGTTGAATTGTACTAAAACTCATTAAATATTTTTCTCGATTAGAAACCTTTTCGATGTCTTAGAAACTCTCTTTTGAAATATCAACACATTTTCTTGGGTAAGATTCAATACCACTAAAATCTAATTGAATTTCGTTCACGTAAAGATGTGAGGATTGACTTCGTTCCATTTACTACATAAACAAAAAACTGTAATGTTTATTAAAAACAAGAAATTTACTTACAAACCAGGTGTTTGCTTGGTACTTCATCTTTCAAATAAGGGGAACTTGATAGGGAACATGAAATTAATTGAAAAAATAATGAGTACTCTAGTCGAAGCCTTCAATTTCATTATTTACCCTCAGGGATCTCGCACTAAATGTTTTGAATCCACCAATCACTGTATACATAACAATAACTGTAAGCCATCAAGAGAAATCTGAGTTCACTGATTTCAAGTTTTTTTCAAGATTTGTTTTCAAAAGTGATATGTAATTGAATGTTAAACTGAAATTGCTGTTGGTTTTTTTCTCAGTGGGAGGCTATCCAGCTAAAATTTTGCGATACTTTATTAAAAATTTATATCACGTATATGACAAAACTTTTCGTTATTCCATTCAGCACTCAGGCTCAGTCGAATAAACATGATTTATTCTTGTCTTTTGTAAGGCAGTTTCTTATCTTGGTGATTGGTATGTTTGTTTTCAAATCTTGAGATCGACAATACTACGGAACTGAAGGCGGATATTGAGAAAAGGCCATTTCACAACCCGATTAAAAATTAATTTCTACTTTTGGAAAACTCTTCCAAGGTTCAAGTCAATATTTATTCTTACAACTCAAATATTATCGCCATCGAAGGTGAAGTATAAACGGGATCTTAGTTTCCCTCAGCCTGCCGGAAAAGAATCAAGTCTGACATTCAGTTCACGTTATTATTCTTTCTGTTATGTCTGATTCCACTGACGTGGTCTTTTTGTGCATTCTCAGTTTTCTTACAGTCCTCATTCTTATTGTTAATACATATACTGTATTTGTTTTCTGGATTCATCGCAAGAAACTAAAACGAACATTTTTACTTGTTATTAACTTGGCCTTTGCCGACCTTTTTGTTGGATTCACTGGAATACTGACCGTGATTGGGGCATTTGCTCTTCAGCGACATACTGGCTTGAATAATACCAGTTACAATACTTTCTTTGGTATATCAGTAATACTTCATGGTACCTCTCCATTTATATCCGTGTATTTTCTGGTACTTATTTCTCTAGAGCGAGCCTTCGCTTTGATTTGGCCGTTTCGACATCGTGTAGCAAGAATCAAGGTTTACATCTACAGTGTTGTTATCGTATGGTTAGTTGGGGCTGTTCAAGGTGCATTGGGTTTTTTAGCACTATATGAAGCCATCAAAATGGAGTATAGCGAAGTTGGTGGTGCATTTTTGATCCATTTCTCATTGGGGACAATCTGTGTGTCTTATCTCTCAATCCGGAAAAGACTCAACAACAGAAATCGCTACATCACCACAACCCAAAACAGACAAATTGTGGAACAAAATATAAAACTTTCCAAGACCCTGTTTACTGTAGTCTGTGCGTCAATTGTTTGTTTGGCTCCTAGTGCTTCTTTTTACATCGTCAGTTGTTTTCATCAAGCTCTTTTGGTTGGTTTTTTGAAATACATTTTTATAATTTTAGGTCAGTCTAATTCTCTTGTTAACCCAATAATTTATAGTTTCAGAATGCCGATATTTAGGAAAGCTTTAAAACAACTGAAAAATAGGATAAAAATTCCGAGACCGTCCAGAAAGGTTATAGTTAGCGGAGAAACCTGAAAAATATGACAGGCTCGAATAAAGTTTAAACAACTGCTCAACCATCTTCTACTCTTAATTTAACTCATAAGAAGACGGTATCAAAGCCTACTTTTATCCCCGTTCACTGTATGAATTTTAGTGCAATTATAAAGCTTCAAAAATCTTTCAGCTTCTTATTTTGATGTCTGATACTGTGTCTTCAGTAATTGAGAAAATTTTAAGGCAATTTAAAATAGGTTACAAATTCCAAATAGATCGGAACATTGTTCAGCTACTGAAACATCAAAAGAAAAGCGCAGTGTGGAACATAGCCTGTACACAGACGTTGTTTTATTTTTCTTTTCGTTAACTGGCGAGCGTGCGAGCGAAGCGAGGGCGCGAGAACGAGCGCGGAGCGAGAGAAAGAAAAACAAGGAACGTCTGTTTTCTTCTTCCCCAATGCACGCCTTCCCCCTTACGCTAGCGGACAATAAACCCCCCGCGGTTTTTATTTTCATACGCGCGCTCGACGTTCTCGAAAGAGAAAATAGATGGTCTAGTCTGTGAACAGGCTATGTGGAACAAAACGTACAACTCAAACGTAAGACCTTCTTTTATTGTAATCTGTGCGTCGATTGTTTGTTTGGCTCCAAGCGTTTCATTTTACTTACATGTAAGCCAGACTAATTATAGTTTTAGAATGCCGATATTTAGGAAATCTCTAGGGCAACTGAAAAATAGGATGAAACTTCAGAGGCCGTCCAGAAGGTAAACAGTTAGCGGAGAAGCCTGAAACTTATGTCAGTTGGGACAATTTACTCAACCATCTTCTACTCTTAATTTAACTCATACAAAAAATTCAACAATAAAAATACGACATTAAAGCCTGATTTTATCCTTCGCTGAATGTGACACATTAATGCACTTATAAAGCTTCAAAATCACGTCATGATTTGTTTTCTATTCGATATTGTTTATCCGATAACTGCAAATAATTACGAACACCTTAAAGTAATTGAAAATTGGTTGAAATTTCTAAATCGATCGGAAAATTGCTCAGTTAGCAGCGAATTCTGAAACGTATTAAGGGATTAGCATAGTGTTCGTCAATGGTGTTTTGGCCTCATGGCACGCTTCCACAAAGGGGGGGTTGCACAGGCTTAAATCACCTTTTTCTTAACTCATAATTAAGAGGAATCTTATATGAATAGTCTATTGTACAGCTAAGGCCTTTAGGTAAGGTAAAGGAAAGGGCAAGTTTTCCATTAAAGTGAGACAGGAGAATTGCAGGCGATGGGATGAAAAAGGACGAGGCACATCTTAATCCGCTGCTGAACTGAGACGAATAATTTATGCATAACGTCATTGATCAAGTTGGTAATGCCGGCTACCACAAAGACAGGGTAGAGCAGAAATATTATATTTGCGAGCAAATGATATTATGGTATTTAAATCGAAAGAGATCAACAATAATTATATATGCAAAACTAAATATATTTCAATTCCCTTTCACTCTTTTGAAGCAGCCTGTCTAGTTTCTTCTTTCCGCAGCTTCATTTTGATTCTCAAATAGAATCAGAAATAGATGTAAAAGTATCTGTCCAAACATAAACTTGCTTGTAAATGAGTGGTCCCTCTTTAATTTGTCGCCCCATGTAAGGGAATCCATGACAGTCTTGGGTTCTGAATTCCACACCATGGATTCCTTATTCCAGCTAAAGGATTCTGGATTCCAGTCGCTGGTACGCTTCCGTATTCCTTGAGCTGTATTCTGGATTCCACAAGCAAAAATTACCCGGATTTTTATTCCCTTAGATGAGGCAACTCTATTGCCCTGTCATTGAAACTCCTGACCGGAGCCATTGCTAACAACCAAATCCGCTTAAAAACACTGCTCCTACCGATACAATTGGAAAAACGTTAAGACGTTCGCTACCTTTCGGTTTGTAGGATGAAAGCACACAATCTCTCTATTTTCGATGTTTATATGTAACCACTGTATTCTGGTTAAGCAGTTTTCAATCTACTTTACGTCAGTACTCAGGGATCTTAAGCAAGCACGACGACCACAACGACGACGAGAAACAAAACAAGAGGTTTTACGGGCAAAAGAATGTGCTTTCATTTGAATCACTATTTTTGGTACATTTCTTTGACGTCCACTGCACGACGACGACGTGAAACTTCCTGACACGACGAATTCTCCTTTCTTTTTCTCAACCTGGACAGAATCCTTAAGAATCCAACTCCAGGAAAAATCGTCAGGACACTGTAAACGAACTTTCCACAAGTGATAAGCTATAGAGATTATGCTTGACCAGGACGTGGTGATGGAGTCGTTCTCAGAAGGACAATAGGATTTATTTTTAAGTAATAGACTTACAGTCTCCTTAACTGAGTTTCTTATTGCCTGACAGTTTCTCTGTCCCTTCACTTTTCTTCTCTTATCTCTCTCAGTGGTTCTGACTATTCGTGTTCTTCTTCATCCGATTAATCACAGACTTTTGGGGTTTTATAGTCTATCCATTTTAACTTATCTGATTGTAGCTTTCAGTACTCATTAAAGTTCAATTAACACTAACGATAGAAATTAATTAAACCAATGTCATAGTCGGGGACAAGATGTCCGAGCATTAAAGCTGATTCAGCTGATTCCAAAAGAGATAACTGTCAATATATCAAAACATTAGCAGGTCCATCTTCCATCGTAATAAAAATTAGTTAAATAAAAGATGGTTAAACTTATCAGTTTGCTTATTTACGTAAAATCACAATAAATATTATTTCTAGAAGCTAAAAGATTATTCATGGAAAGAGCGCATTTACTTCTGTAACGACACATTTAACAAACTGAGCGGGTCTAAATAGACGCGATAAAGTTTTAAAAAACGCAAGTTTATTTTTTTAGCAATGTTTTAACTGCCGCCGTCCTCATCGTGGTTCCTTAACCTCCCTAATCATGATAACAAGATGACGAAATTGTTTCTTCAGGGAACAGAAAAGAGAAATACTTAATGACGTGAAGTATATATGAAATAATTCATTTTTGAACTGCGGTTGTAGATGAAGTAAATTTATTTATGTTATGTTGTTCAAAGCAGGAAACTAATTTCTATCTTTCCCCCACCAATCACCAATCACAGTGTATGATTTATGTTTTATTTCTAATAGTGCACCTGCATGAAAGCTGAGCATGCTCCTTGTCACCTTTAATTTTAAAAAGTATCTCGCATCAAAGGGTCCACCATCGCGTTCTGTATACGTCATGTCTTATACGGCTGCTATCACAATATTGAAGTACGTGGCAATTTTCCAGGGTCTCTGCATTTTTACTGGAAATTTTATCACTATGATTGTTTTTTGGATTCACCGATACAAGTTAAAGCGAACGTCTTTTCTTCTTATCAACTTGGCTGTTGCGGATCTGCTCGCTGGACTGACACAAGCGGCTATGGCAGCCCAACCCATTCCACAAACCATTTCAGCAGACATATCAGCTTGCTTTCAAGCTGCATTTTTGGCCGCATCTTTACTTTTCCTCGTTTTCATCTCACTGGAACGAGCCTATGCATTGATTTACCCTCTTCGACATCGAGTAACAAGCACCAATGCTTACATCTACACTATCATAATCGTGTGGTTGATTGCAATAACTTGGGGTACATCTTGTCTGTTAGTTGTGTACGACATCTTCGAATTCAAATTTTACATGGCAGCCTTCTCCTTTGCCATTTTGTTTTGTTTGGTTACTATCTGCTTGTGTTACGTGGCAATCCGAGCAAAACTTAGTCAGGAAAGTCCAGCTATCGACCCGGCAAATAACAGACTCAACACTGACCGAAACACAAAGCTTTCCAAGACTTTCTGTATTGTCATAAGCGCGTCTGTGGCTCTTTGGGTCCCGGGACTTATATTTTACTGTATTTATTATTTTTTGCCGCGGTATTCTGTGATTGTGAACTACGTCTCCTTTATTTTACATCAAACTAATTCTCTCTTGAATCCGATTATTTATAGTTTAAGGATGCCGTTCTTTAAGGAAACGTTTAAACGCCTGAAAAACAAGATGAAAATTCGAAAGCAAACAAAAACATACACAGTTAGTTGTCGAACGTTAAAAACAGAAACATAAGCTACCTATAGTAAAGAGTGGTACAAACAGTTACGCGATACAGCTGATGAGTTCTCCAGCTTCTGTTGTTGCAAAACACCGAGGAACAAGCCCTAGCTACTTGGTAAAGAGTGGTATAATAATTTTCTTTTCAAAATCAAAAACAAATAAGAACATGAATATAAGTTCACTTTGAACAATCAAAAATTTTAAAGTTTCTTTTTTTTCGTGTTCGATCATTTGAGGCGTTCTGCAAATTTTTAAGGCTTAAAAATTCGGCATGGGGTTTTTTGGTACTAGAGTTTTTTTGGTTTTGTTGGAAGCCTTAGAGATTTGTTTAGGTTTTGATTTTGCCCCCATTCGATATCGTCGCCGCATGGTTAGCTGGTGTTTCTTTGGTTTCATTACCCTGGCTGGCTAGCTACGTAATCTGTCAGTTTTCTCACTATATCCTCACTTCTTCTTATCACTGGCAACGATATGTACATCATACCTAGAAATCCGAAAAGAACTTAAAGGCAGTGACCCCACAATCGGTACAACACATCATCGAAAAATGGTCGAGCAAAACACAAGGAAACTTTCCAAAACTTTGTTCCTTATGACAGGAGCATCTGCTGCATTTTGGGTTCAAGCCTTGTTTTATTCTCGTACCTAACGTTCGCTTTAGAATTTTTTTCTGAATTTATAAATATTCCTTCACCATAATTCTTCTGTGCAAATCCACTGATTTACAGTTTGGAAATGCAAATATTCATTCAAAGTCTTAGCCGATTTCATCGTGAAAATTCGAAAACAGCTGAAAAATACGCAGTTAATTAAAGATGGAACCTTCAAAGACACTGCAAAGAAAGATTTTACCTTTTAGTTTCCTTTATTTTGCTTGTATAACGAGAAATAGTTTTATACAGCACTGAAAGGTACAGACATACTTACTAGTCATTCCTGAAAACCAGTGTCTTAGGGAAAAAAAGTGACAAAGAAAGTAGAGACTTACTGTTCTTTATAACAAGATAGATGTTATTAATGACATAAACGTAATTAAAGTTTTTAATAGCTGAGTTTAAAGTTTGAATAGATGTACTTTTAATGGAGTCCTTTGTCCCTGATCCTTGTAAACACGGTTGCTAGTTAATCAGTACCTTGCATGTGTGCTTTTGTCATTCTTAATTAAAACCTAAGACAATGTACTGTGTTTGGTTCCGGTTTATAGCATTGCTAAATTAATAATTCATCTCATCATAATTTATTTCGCTTTTGACCTACGACAGGTATTACTGGATGTCAGCCTTGGCAGTCCTTATGCTTAATATTTCTTTAATATTAAGGGGATCACTATGGCCAATCGGTGGTGCTGTCAAAACAAAGGCAAACCTACAACACCACACCTTTTATAAAGGTTGACTCAGCTATCCCAAGTGAACAACACGTCAGCAAATTCAAGCTGCTCTAAAGATTCTAGCCGTTTTCAATACATCCAAAACACCCTCAACATTATTTTTGTTATGTTTGATACGGTTACCACAGCGATTTTAAGTCTCACTCTTGTCTTCTTGCAAATGCTTTCACGGTATTTGTTTTCTGGATTCATCGCCACAAACTAAAGCGAACGTTCCTCATCGTTTTCAACTTGACTGTCGCTGACCTTCTTGTCGGTCTTGCAGAAACTGCTTTTGTCGGATTTAAGATGAATGACAGAAAGCCCTATGTAAAGATTTCTAAGTCCTTTCTAGTTATAGTTTCGGGTGCATCGGTATTTTTTCTCGTGCTTATTTCACTGGAACGATCCTTCGCTTTGAAGCGCCCCTTACGACATCGTGTAACAAGCACCAAGGTTTACACCCACGGTATTGTCATCGTTTGGTTGGCTGCAATAGCTCTCGGTGCACTGAAATTACTACCGATATACGGGATCTTTGACTTGAAATATTACGTTGTCGCTTACTCTGTCATGATTGCGCTGTCTTTACTCTTGATTTGCTTTTCTTATCTTTCGATCCGAAAACGTTTTTGCAAGAGAAATCCGGTTTTGGATACAGGATACAGCAGAAAAACTGTTTTCAGGCGTTTAAACTCTCAAAGACCCTTTTTATTGTAATAGGTGCATCTGTTGCACTTTGGGCTCCAAGCATGGCATTGTACAACTTGGGTCTTTTGAGCGAGGGTTTGTTCCCTGGCTTTGTAAATTATATTTTTGGTATGTTTCATCTAACCAATTCTCTTATTAATCCAATAATTTATAGTTTGAGAATGCCTCTATTCAGGAAACTTTTGCAACAGCTTAAAAATAAGTTAAGAGTTCCGCACTGGAGATCGAAAAACTATGCGGTGACAAAGACTCGAGTGACATATTGACGCTCAATACGTTTAAAAAGGGGCGGCGATGGAGTTGAAAGTCTTATTTCATTTTTGAACAATCATTTAAATTTACTTTAAAATTTGCTAATGGAATCAGCCACTTTCTACAACAGTCTTATTCAAGACTACGCTACGCTCACCCGGAAAATTACTGTCAGCACCCGCGTATAAGGATCAAGTGGATTAAGAGCCTCACCCTGGCAGAAATTGGCCACTTTAAATCCCAGCAATGCAAGAACCTGTTTAGTCAAGCAAGATCAAGCAGGTTCTTATATGTGGGTTACAGCTGAATTAGTATATTAAACAATTCAACCAAGGAATGTAACTTTGAGATGTAAATTTAACTATAACAAGAACATACTGCACCAAACTGTTTATAAATTTGGTATTTGTTAGTCTTACGATAATACATTATAATGAATAAATACTGTATTTAAGGACCAAACCCAAGTTTATTTTTTGGTAATCAACATTAATCTACTACACTCCTTCATAAAGCTTAAATTGCCAGTAAGTACCACAAAATACAAGAACCTATTTAGCCAAAAAAAAGTAGGTTCTTATTCGCAGGTGTTTACTTTACTTACGTCGATTGACATGACTCATGGGTTATAATCATTCACTGCGGTGCTAAAAAAAAAGGCCAACAACAACACTGTACCGTGCATATCAGGGGAGCAAGGAGATCTTAATTACTATGATTTATTATGATTCATTTGAGGTTCACTTCTGCTAAAACTCATTAAATATACTCCTGGAATAGAAACCATTTTTATGTCTTACAAACTCCATTTAAAATATCATCACATTTTATGGGGTAAGATTCAATATAATTACGAATAACGTTTAATTGAATTTCGTTCAAGTGAAGATAACAGCGGATTGACTTCGTTCTATTTACTAGATAACAAAAACTGCAATATTTACCGATTACACGAGAAATTTACTTACAAACCCGGTGTTTGCTTGGACCATGAGCGACGGCAACTTGATAGGGAACAATAAATTGATTGAAAAAATGACGAGTACTCCTTTCGAAATATGGATCTTACACCAACTGTTTTTACTGATCCGCCAATCACGGTATACATGTTTATACAATAAGTGTGAACCTTCGACGGTACTCTTAGTTCACCGATTTCAAAATTATTCTCAAGGTTTGTTTTCAAATGTACTATGCAAATGAATCTTAAACCAAAATTGCTGTTCGGTTTTTTTTATCTCAGTAGGTTATCTAAACATTGCGGAAATTTATTAAGAATAACTATGACAATGCTTTTCGTTATTCGATTCAGCACTCAGTGTCAGTAAAATAAACATGATTACATCTTGTCATTTTGAAAGATGAATTAATGTAAGGTATTTTCTTATCCTGGTGATGGGTATGTTTGTTTTCAAATAGATCGACAATACTACGGTACTGAAGGCGGATCTAGAGAAAAGGCCATTTCACAACCTTATTAAAAATTAATTACCACTATTGGAAAACTCTTCCAAGGTCCAAGTCAATATTTATTCTTATTTTTTTCTAAGCTTGTGAGCGGTCGGAATCCTCCACATCCTGCAATCTGATTGGTTCCGAGAGCGGGCAGTTTTTTACGATCTTGCCCGCTAACCGGGGCTGAATCGTTGGCAGCTTCATTCACAAGTTTGTTTGTTGTTTGTGAATGAGCAAAACAGGTGATTCAGAACCGTTTTTCTTATAAAACGTGCGCTATTATTAGCGTTAGCTAGGGAAAAGTGAATTTTGTTATTCAGACAAAACATCCGAAGGGAGAATCAAGCAAGTCATCCAGGAAAACCGCTAAAGTAAAGCAAATCAGGCAGCTCGTGACGTCGCTTCACTAGTTTTATAACCTACACTGTAAGTACTGCAATCTTGCTCTCATGCACCGTTTATTCGACATTTTTCCTCTGCTTGAAGGTTTGTTTTCCATTTTTTCTGTCTGAATCTAGATTCTGCCGTTTTTCATTTAATTTTACCTCGCTAGCTTTCTACTTTTCAGAAAAAGTTGTTGTCAACGATTGCATGTAGCTTTCAATCTTGAATAAACAACACGAACAACTTTTCCAGCAGTCGGTTATCGCCGTTTTTATTTCTTTGTTTATGTACTTGTTTAGTTACCCAAATCGCCTTCTTTTATTCGAATTCACTTCAAAACCCTAAAATTGGTATGTGTAATTAGCTCTTTTTATAAAGCCTTCGCAGTTTTAATCCCGCTCGATTGAATTAATCTCAAAGTAAAAATTCAGCCGAAGAAAATCTTTGATACATTTTCTTTCCTGTGGCTTTTAAGTTCGTCAATTTTTTATCCTTGTTTGACACTCAGATTATGAATTGTCTACCAAGACACAAAACTGCTTAACTATTAACCGAAAACAATACTACATTAAAGCCTGATTTCATCCTTCGTTGAATGTAAAACATTTTAATAGTGCACTTATAGAGGAAGAAGTGCCCTTATTTACCATTCATTTATACACATACCCTGTTACATTATTACAAGGCAGGAGATCAAGCAAGCTCTGAAGAACCTTTAGACGATCTCCCCCTTATTCTAAATAGATGTAAAGAATATCAGAATGCGGACTTCCTGTTTTAAGAACTTATATTTTCTAAAACTATTACAACTATTTCTAATTACATACTCTTTAACTTTGTTCTTAAACATATTATACGGGACGGTTGTTCCATATAATTGCTCCCTTAAAACCTATAGAATACCATTGCCATAATATGTTTCCTATAAAGCTTCAAAATCACATCATCCTATGTTTTATAACCGATATTGTTTATCCGATAACTTAAAATAATTAAGAAGACCTTTAACCAATCAAAAATTGGTTGAAATTTTAAATCGATCGAAATATATCTCTGTTGGCAGCGAATTCTGAAACATGACAAGGGAACGCTATATGTGAATAGTTTTTCTCACAGCTTAGGTTTTTAGGCAAGGTAAGCGAACGGGCAAGTTTTATGTAATGGTGAGACTGGAGAATTGCAGGCGACGGGATAGAAAAGGACGAGCTGAACTGAGACAAACAATTTCTGCATAACGTCATTGATCAAGTGGGTATTGCTACCACGAAGACAAGGTAAAGCAGAAATACTATACTTTGCGAGCAAATAATATAATTATAGTATTTTAAATCGAACGATACTAAATATATTTTCATTCCTTTTCACTCATTTGACGCAGACTATCTAGTTTTTTCTTTCCGCAGCTTCATTGTGATTCTCAGATAGAATCAGAAATGGATGTAAACGTATTCGTCCAAACATAATCTTGGTTGTAAACGAGTGGTCCCTCTTTGTCACCCCATGTAGGGGAATCCGTGACAGTCTTGGATTCTGGATTCCACACCATGGATTCCTCATTCCAGCTACAGGATTTTAGTGTCTGACGTCGGTGGGACTTGGTTTCTGGATTCCAGTCGCTAGTGGGCTTCCGTAGTCCTTGAGCTGTATTTCTGATTTCACAAGTAAAAATTTTCCGGATGTTGTTCCCTTAAGGTCGGTACACACTAGGCAACAAGTTGCAGCAACACGGTGACGCGACACGTCGCAGCGACAAATCGCTTCGTGTGTACTGGAGAATTTGGAGAAAATGTTTGTCGCTGCAACAGAATTTTGTCGCCGCAACAAGTCGCACAGATTCAGTCTGATTTGATTATTTGTGACTTGTGACAGCGACAAAATAACGTTGCGGAGACCGAGATTATCACAAAGATTCTCCAGTATACACGAAGCGATTTGTCGCTGCGAAGTGTCGCCTCACCCTGTTGCTGCAACTTGTTGCCCGATCTGTTCACATGGAGGGATCTGTCGCTGCGACGTGTTGCTGCAACTTGTCGCCTAGTGTGTACCGACCTTTAGATGGGACAACTCTTTTACCCTTTAAAAAATAACTAAGATAGTACGCACGCTCCGATTGGCCGAGAGGCGTGTTTGCGTGAGAGTATATATGTAAACATGGTTGTGACATCAAGATGTTTTGCTTTTCGCGTGCTAATTCACCCAAGCACGAATTTGAAAAATGTTTTGAGTTGAAAAACTCGAGGGGTTGAGAGAGAATTCTCGACAGTTATGCGAACCCTCGACTTCCTCTCGGGTTTGCATGACTTTTCTCGAATTCTCCCAACCCCTCTTGTGTTTATATCAGGCTATGCACACACAGAAAACGTTTTCTATTTTTTAAGTAATCCTTGAAACGCCTGACCTAAGACGTTGCTAACAGTCAAATCCGCTTAAAAACACTGTTCCTACCGTTACACTTGGAAAAAAGGTTGATAAATTCGCTACCTTTCGGTTTGTAGGATAAAAATACCCAATATGTCTAGATGAAGTTTATTTGGGTAACCGCGGTACTCGCGTTAAGCAACTCTCAATCTACTTTACGTACTCATTAGGGATCTTAAGGAAGGACGACAACCAAAACGACGACATGAGAAAACATGTGGTTTTACGGGCAAAAGAATATACCTTCATTTGCATCACTATTTTTGTTACATTTCTTCAACGTTTACTGCACGACTACGACGTGAAACGTCATGATAAAACGTTTGTGGAGGACATGAACACACGGCAAATTCTCCGTTCTCTTTCTAGACCTGGATAAAATCCTATAGAACTCAACTCCAGAAAAAATCGTCAGGACCCGTTTAACAAATTGAGCGGGTTCTAAATAGACGCAATAATGTTTTAAAAAACGCATTAAGCTCAGTTTTTTAGCGATGTTTCCACTGCCGCCGTCCTCAACAAGATGACGAAATTGTTTCTTCAGGAAACACACAAAAAAAATACTTAAGTTATATTGTTCAAAGCAGGAAACTAATTTCTATCTTTCTCCCACCAATCACCAATCACAGTGTATGATTTATGTTTTATTTCTATAATGCACCTGCATGAAAATTGAGTATGCTCCTCGTCACCTTTTAAAAAGTATCTCGCTGTCAAAGGGTCCCACCATCACGTTCTGTCAACGTCATGTCTTATACCGCTGCTATCACAATATTGAAGTACGTTTCAATTTTCCAGGGTCTCTGTATTTTTACTGGAAATTTTATCACTATGATTGTTTTTTGGATTCACCGATACAAGTTAAAGCGAACATCTTTTCTTCTTATCAACTTGGCTGTTGCAGATCTGTTCGCTGGACTGACACAAGCAGTTATTGCAGCTAAAGCACATCCACAAACTATTTCAGCAGACATTTTAACTTGCTTTCAGGCTGCATTTTTGGCCGCATCTGTACTTTTTCTCGTTTTCATCTCACTGGAACGAGCCTATGCATTGATTTACCCTCTTCGACATCGAGTAACTAGCACCACTGCTTACATCAACGCTCTCATAATCGTGTGGTTGATTGCTATAACTTGGGGTGCATCTTGTCTGTTAGTTGCGTTCGACATCTTCGAATTCACATTTTACATTGGAGCCTTCTCTGTTACTGTTTTGTTTGGTTTGGTTACTATCTGCTTGTGTTACGTGGCAATCCAAGCTAAACTTCGTCAAGAAAGTACAGTTATCGACCCGGCAAATAACAGACACAATGCTGAGCGAAACAAAAAGCTTTCCAAGACTTTCTGCATTGTCATAAGCGCGTCTGTGGCTCTTTGGGTTCCAGGACTTGTATTTAGCTGTATTTATATTTTTTTCCCTTGGTATTCTTTGATTATGAATTACGTCTCCTTTATTCTACATCAAACTAATTCTCTCTTAAATCCGATTATTTACAGTTTAAGGATGCCATTTTTTAAGGAATCGTTTAAGCGCCTCAAAAACAAGATGAAAATTCGAAAGCAAACGAAAATGTACAGAGTTAAATTTCAAATGTCAAAAACAGAAACCTAAGCTGTGTATAGCTGTGTCTAATGGCTTCCGTCTTAAATTGCTTTCCCTCTTGGGTGTAAATAACATGGCATTAAGGAACCGAGTCATTTCAGCGGAAAGTACATAATATGAATGGTGAACGGAAAACCCGTCAGGGATTCGTGACACTTGTACTTCCATAGCTGATTAGGTGTTATCCATTAATAATAAATATCTCAAAAAGTGTCAAATGATTTTCAAGACAGACGTTTCGGGTGTATGAAAGTACAAAATATATTGTATTTAGTTTATTTCCTACATAATTCTGTTCCATCTTGCCGTTTTTAAAACTTAATTTCCTTGACAATACAAAATGCAAATATAAAGTAGTAATTAAAACACTGGATGAAAATGAAGACCTTAGGACACCTAAATCAATTTCGATTTTGGTGGAAGCCACTTCTGAGGCAATGGTAATTTCTAAATCTTTGGAGATCTTTAAGTACTGGGGCAAAATAAAACCTTGCATGAGGATCCTCAGCAGTTACGTATTCTTGTTTTAAGAAAAAATAAATCGCTGTCGGTACAAGGGCCAATGTAATAATACTGGTACAAGTGTAATTAAGAAATGTAGCTATTGAATGTTTTCGGAACAATAAACAATTAGCTTTCACTCGAAATTACACTTGTAAAAGTTATACTAAATTGATCCCAGGTTCTTTCATATCTTTTTAAGAATACGGAGCTGTTTGTTCTCATAATATATAGCAATGTAGTAAGTCCCTACGACGATAAATAGACTTTGGCGTTTTCACAAAATTTAAAAATTTTGTCATCACCGATAGTTTGTTTATGAAACGTTATTCGCATCTAAGAAAGTGAAATTTTTCATTTAACCAGAAACGTCAATTAAAGAACTTAAAATGGTCATGTTCGCGAAATAAGATTACCCGACGAAGGATAGCTGTCAAAGAACAAAAGATTTTGTCGCCTGACAAAAAATTGTAGGCCTCCAAATGTCTTCGACGGTATGGGATCTTTGAAATTTGTTAACAGTTGAGAAAATTTTGGTAGGTAGAAAAGTCGTCCGCATCAGGAATGGCTTCCAGTTGACCAATTTTTTTGCAAAACAAACAAAATTTTGGGCAGTAGTAAAAACAGGGTCTAAATATTAAATTGTTTTCCTTGTGAATTGTTCGTATAATTTTGGGGGGATCAATAATATGGCTTGAATAAAACGGAATACATAAACACGAATGAACATATTTTTTTTCCTTTTCAAACTGCATAATAATTGATAAGTTATTTGTGTAATAGCAGGTGGGGTGTTGTTTTTAAGTAATCTTGTATCCTGCTGTAAGCCTATCTCAGATTATTAGTATTTAGTATTTTGCAGATATTGTAATCTGGAACTTGATTAAAGTTAAAGTTAAAGAAGATGCATGATCCATCGTCTTTTTCACAATACCTTTGTTGAGCTGTCGTTTATAAGCTAAATAACGTGGTTTTGTCAATAGCCCTGCACTTTCGCCCATCTTTGTTTCACAGGAAAGTGGTGAACTTTAGTGCTATTTACAGGAGCGTTAATGTTTGGTAACTTAACTTATTATAAGAAATTAACGCTTGATGAAATTGAAATTCGCATTAATTTAAGTCGCGTTAATTTGAAATATAAGGAGTCTGACGTTTTAATTTAAAAAAATAAAAAAAAACCTCTGAGTAGATCGTGCACGCTAGCCATGATGTTTTAAACACTACTATGGCTTTGAATAAAGTCGAAGTGTTGTTACCCGTACTGAACATCTTGTAACATCTTTTTAAAAACATCTTGTCTAACTAACCCGTTTTTTGTAAAGACATCCTTCCTTGGAAAAGTATTTTGTCTCCCACGGCCGTTACTACTTTTCTAAGTTACACATACATAAGACAGCTTCTTATTTTAACGTCACGTTTTCAATTGTCATATTTCATATTTCAAGTTATATATGTTACAGGTCTTCATGGCTAACAGTGTACTTTTTCGATCGCTTTGGAATTTTAAACTTATTTTTCAGTTGTCTAAAGGTTTTCATGAATATTGGCATTCTCAAACTATAAATTATTGGGTTTACGAGAGAATTACTTAGATGTAACATGGTGATGATATAATTCACAAAGTCAGGATACACGATTACACACAGTTTACCTAAAGTGTAAACTGTAACACTCGGAGCCCAAAACGCAATAGACACACCTACCATTTTTTTAGCAATGTTTTAACTGCCGCCGTCCTCATCGTGGTTGCTTTAGCCTCCCTAATCATAATAACAAGATGACGAAATTGTTTCTTCAGGCAACACAAAAGAGAAATACTTAATTCATGCTGTTCAAAGCAGGAAACTAATTTCTATCTTTCCCCCACCAATCACCAATCACAGTGTATGATTTATGTTTTATTTCTAATAGTGCACCTGCATGAAAGCTGAGCATGCTCCTTGTCACCTTTAATTTTAAAAAGTATCTCGCATCAAAGGGTCCAACCATCGCGTTCTGTATACGTCATGTCTTATACGGCTGCTATCACAATATTGAAGTACGTGGCAATTTTCCAGGGTCTCTGCATTTTTACTGGAAATTTTATCACTATGATTGTTTTTTGGATTCACCGATACAAGTTAAAGCGAACCTCTTTTCTTCTTATCAACTTGGCTGTTGCGGATCTGCTCTCTGGACTGACACAAGCGGCTATGGCAGCCCAACCCATTCCACAAACCATTTCAGCAGACATATCAGCTTGCTTTCAAGCTGCATTTTTGGCCGCATCTTTACTTTTCCTCGTTTTCATCTCACTGGAACGAGCCTATGCATTGATTTACCCTCTTCGACATCGAGTAACAAGCACCAATGCTTACATCTACACCATCATAATCGTGTGGTTGATTGCAATAACTTGGGGTACATCTCGTCTGTTAGTTGTGTACGACATCTTCGAATACAAATTTTACACGGCAGCCTTCTCCTTTGCCATTTTGTTTTGTTTGGTTACTATCTGCTTGTCTTACATGGCAATCCGAGCAAAACTTAGTCAAGAAAGTCCAGCTATCGACCCGGCAAATAACAGACTCAACACTTACCGAAACACAAAGCTTTCCAGCACTTTCTGTATTGTCATAAGCGCGTCTGTGGCTCTTTGGGTCCCTGGACTTGTATTTTACTGTATTTATTATTTTTTGCCGGGGCATTCAATGATTACGAACTACGTCTCCTTTATTTTACATCAAACTAATTCTCTCTTGAATCCGATTATTTATAGTTTAAGGATGCCGTTCTTTAAGGAAACGTTTAAACGCCTGAAAAACAAGATGAAAATTCGAAAGCAAACAAAAACATACACAGTTAATTGTCGAACGTTAAAAACAAAAACATAAGCTGCCTATAGTAAAAAGTGGTACAAACAGTTACGCGATACAGCTGTTGAGCTCTCCAGTTTCTGTTGTTGCAAACCACCGAGGAACAAGCCCTAGCTACTTAGTAAAGAGTGGTATAATAAGTTTCTTTCCAAAATCATAAAAAAATAAAAACATGAATATTTCACTTTGAACAATCAAAAATTTTAAAGTTTCTTGTTTTTCGTGTTCGATCATTTGATGCGTTCTGCAAAATTTTAAGGCTTAAAAATTCGGCACGGGGTTTTTTAGTACAAGAATTTTTTTGGTTTTGTTGGAAGCCTTAGAGATTTGTTTAGGTTTTGATTTTACCCCCATTCGATATCGTCGCCGCATAGTTAGCTGGTGTTTCTTTGGTTTCATTACCCTGGCTGGCTAGCTACGGAATCTGTCAGTTTTCTCACTATATCCTCACTTCTTCTTATCGCTGGCAACGATATGTACATCATACCTAGCAATCCGAAAACGACTTAAAGGCAGTGACCCCACAATCGGTACAAAACATCATCGAACAATGGTTGAGCAAAACACAAGGAAACTTTCCAAAACTTTGTTCCTTATGACAAGAGCATCTGCTGCATTTTGGGTTCAAGCCTTGTTTTATTCTCGTACCTAACGTTCGCTTTAGAATTTTTTTCTGAATTTATAAAATATTCGTTCACCATAATTCGTCTGTGCAAATCCACTGATTTACAGTTTAGAAATGCAAATATTCATTCAAAGTCTTAGACGATTTCATTGTAAAAATTCGAAAACAGCCGAAAAATACGCAGTTAATTAACGATGGAACCTTCAAAAACACTGCAAAGAAAGATTTTACCTTTTAATTTTCCTTTATTTTGCTTGTATAACGAGAAATAGTTTTATACGGCACTGAAAGGTACAGACATACTTAATAATCATTCCTGAAAACCAGTGCCTGACGGAAAAAAAGTGACAAAGAAGGTAGAGACTTACTCTTCTCTATAACAAGATAGATGTTATTAATGACATAAACGTAATTAAAGTTTTTAATAGCTGAGTTTAAAGTTTGAATAGATGTACTTTTAATGGAGTCCTTTGTCCCTGATCCTTATAAACACGGTTGCTAGTTAATCAGTACCTTGCATGTGTGCTTTATGTCATTCTTAATTAAAACCTAAGACAATGTACTGTGTTTGGTTCCGGTTTATAGCATTGCTAAATTAATAATTCATCTCATCATAATTTATTTCGCTTTTGACCTATGACAGGTATTACTGGATGTCAGTCTTGGCAGTCCTTACGCTTAATATTTCTTTAATATTAAGGGGATCACTATGGCCAATCGGTGGCGCTGTCAAAACAAAGGCAAACCTACAACACCACACCTTTTATAAAGGTTGACTCAGCTATCCCAAGTGAACAACACGTCAGCAAATTCAAGCTGCTCTGAAGATTCTAGCCGTTTTCAATACATCCAAAACACCCTAAACATTATCTTTGTTATGTCTGATACGATTACCATAGCGATTTTAAGTCTCACTCTTGTCTTATCTGTCTTCATATTTACTGCAAATGCTTTCACCGTATTTGTTTTCTGGATTCATCGCCACAAACTAAAGCGAACGTTCCTCATCGTTTTCAACTTGACTGTCGCTGACCTTCTTGTCGGTCTTGCAGAAACTGCTTTTGTCGGATTCAAGATGAATGACAGAAAGCCCTATGTAAAAATTTTTAAGTCCTTTCTAGTTATAGTTTCGGGTGCATCGGTATTTTTTCTCGTGCTTATTTCACTGGAACGATCCTTCGCTTTGAAGAGCCCCTTACGACATCGTGTAACAAGCACCAAGGTTTACATCCACGGTATTGTCATCGTTTGGTTGGCTGGAATAGCTCTGGGTGCACTGAAATTACTACCGACATACGGGATCTTTGACTTGAAATATTACGTTGTCGCTTACTCTGTCATCATTGCTCTGTCGTTACTCTTGATTTGCTTTTCTTATCTTTCCATCCGAAAACGTTTTTGCAAGAGAAATCCTGTTTTGGATACAGGATACTGCAGAAAAAGTGTGGAACAAAACACAAAACTCTCCAAGACCATTTTTTTTGTAATAGGTGCATCTGTTGCACTTTGGGCTCCAAGCATGGCATTGTACAACTTGAGTCTTTTGTGGGAGGGCTTGTTCCCTGGCTTTGTGAATTACATTTTTTGTATGTTTCATCTAACCAATTCTCTTATTAATCCAATAATTTATAGTTTGAGAATGCCTAAATTCAGGAAAATTTTGCAACAGCTTAAAAATAAGTTAAGAGTTCCGCGCTTGAGATCGAAAAACTATGCGGGGACAAAGACTCGAGTGACATATTGACGCTCAACACGTTTAAAAACGGGCGGCGATGGAGTTGAAAGTCTTATTTCATTTTTGAACACAAATAAAATAATGATGGGGCTTAAACGGCAATCATTTAAATTGACTTTAAAATTTACTAATAGAATGGAATCAGCCACTTTCTACAACAGTCCAATTCAAGACTGCGGTACGCTCACCCGGAAATTTACAGTCAGTACCCGCGTATAAGAACCAAGTCAAGAGAATATAAAGGGGACAGAGAGGGCATTCCCCATATACACCCTATTCCATAGGTAATTCGTCTAGAGTTATTTTTAACACCACAGATCTCAAGGGCGATTAGACAACAGCCAATCACATAGCGCGAATGTGTTCCGCGTGGATGACCCACGCTGAGAGCCACGCGTCCTTCACGAAATGACGCAGAACAAAATGGGGAAGACGCGGAGAGCGATTTTGCTATTCCTTTTGTCAACGAAAACGACTACAGCGAGATTTCTGCGAAAGCTGTGTCAGCGAAACCGAAATTAAAAAAGAATCGCCCTTCCTCTCTTGTATAGAGCTAACAGTAGAGCAGGGAAATCCTTAACACACTGAATATTCTCTCAGGATCATTTATAATTTACAGTTTGGAGAGAGCAATTTCTGGTTTGATGTTTATTTTTTTCAGTCTTTATAGCGATTATTCCTACCCACTTACTTTGTTAATTGTAGGCGACCCTCCTAAAGCTGAATTTCAAGGGACCATATTCAAGCTCAGAGAGAGAAATAAAATTTCGTCGTTGCTTATTTACGTCCTCCATAAAACGCGAAATTAGGCATTTTCACGTCGTAGTCGTGCAAAAACGGGAAAGAAATGAACAAAAAAGTGTGTTGCACGTGCGAAGTTGTTGTTTTGCTAATTAAACCTATTGTTTTTTTGACGTTCTAGTTGTCGTCCCCGTCGTTGGATCTTAAACTCCCTAAATTGTACAAACGACCGGTTTCAATAGACCTGCGAAATTTCTCATTTTATTAAAGCACTGAGGTTAAGACAACTTCGAGTTAAACTGATTTCACGGGTTGTCAAAGAGTATAGCGATTCCTTTTTCCCAGGTGAGCGCCGACTCATTTCGCTTTAATATTCAGGAATGCTCTCGATCTTTTTACGCTTTCATTGCCTCTCGCCCGACATGTTTTGCACGGCGTTTGGCCTTGCGAAACCTCCACGAAACATCCACGCCTTGCGCGAGGTAACTTTATCCCGATTCTAAAAATAACTCGAGACGAATTACCTATGGAATAGGGTGTATATGGGGGATGCCCTCTCTGTCCCCTTTATAGTCTCTTGAACCAAGTGGATTAAGAGCCTCCTGGCAGAAATTGACCACTTTTAATACCCAAAAATGCAAGAACCTGTTTAGCCAAGCAAGATCAAGCAGGTTCTTATATGTGGGTTACAGTTGAATTAGTATATTAAACAATTTAACCAAGGAATGTAACTTTGAGATGTAAATTTAACTATAACAAGAACATACTGTACCAAACTGTTTAAAAATTTGGTATTTGTTAGTATTATGATAATACATTATTATGAATAAATACTGTATTTTAAGGACCAAACCCAAGTTTATTTTTCTGGTAATCAACATTAATCTATTACACTCCTTCATAAAGCTTAAATTGCCAATAAGTACCACAAAATACAAGAACCTATTTAGCCAGACTTTAAAAAAAGTAGGTGCTTCTTCGCAGGTGTTTACTTTACTTACGTCGATTGACATGAGTCCTAGGTTCTAATCATTCACTGCGGTGCTACCAAAATATGCCGGCAAAAAACACTGTACCGTGCATATCAGTGGAGCAAGTAGATTTTAATTACTATGATTTATTATGATTCATTTGAGGTTCAATTCTGCTAAAACTCATTAAATATACTCCTCGAATAGAAACCATTTTTATGTCTTATAAACCTCATTTAAAATATCATCACGTTTTATGGGGTAAGGTTCAATATAATTACTAAAATGTTTAATTGAATTTCGTTCAAGTGAAGATAACAGCGGATTGACTTCCTTCGATTTGCTAGATAACAAAAACTGCAATATTTAACTAATACACAAGAAATTTACTTACAAACCACGTTTTTGCTTGGACCATAAGAGCAACTTGATAGGGAACAATAAATTGATTGAAAAAATGAAGAGTACTCCTTTCGAAATATCTACCCTGGATCTTACACCAACTGTTTTTACTGATCCGCCAACCACGGTATACACTCTTAGTTCACCGATTTCAGATTATTCTCAAGGCTTGTTTTCAAAAGTGATATGTAATTGAATCTTAAACTAAAATTGCCCTTCGTTTTTTTTTCGCAGCGGGCTATACGGCTAAACGTTTGCGGTACGGTTCTTATTCGCGGGTGTTTACTATACTTATAAAATGACTCCTGGGTTGAAACCATTCAGTGTGCTACCAAAATATGCTAACAAAAACACTGTACTCCGCTTGCTTGGACCATTATCTTAACATAAGGGCAACTTGATTGGGAACATGAAATAGATCGAAAAAATAATGAGTACTCCAGTCGAAAGCCTCAATTTCATTATCCACCCTTGAACTCGCTCAACAGTTTTAAATGATTCAAACGTTTTGAATCCACCAATCACTGTATACATGTTATACGAATAAGTGTTAGCCATCAAGAGAACCCTGAGTTCACAGATTTCATATTATTCTTTGTTTTCAAATGTGATATGTAAATGAATCTTACACTAAAATTGCTGTTCAGTTTTTTTTCTTTTTTTATCTCAGTGGGTTATCTAAACATTGCGGAACTTTTATTAAGAATAAATATAACAATGCTTTTCGTTATTCGATTCAGCACTCGGTGTCAGTAAAATAAACATGATTTAATCTTCTCTTTCGAAAGATGAATTAATGTAGTGTATTTTCTTATCCTGGTGATGGGTATGTTTGTTTTCAAATAGATCGACAATACTACGGTACTGAAGGCGGATCTTGAGAAAAGGCCATTTCACAACCTTATTAAAAATTAATCACTACTATTGGAAAACTCTTCCAAGGTTCAAGTCAATATTTATTCTTAAAACTCAAATATTACCGCCATCAAAGGTGAACTATAATCCGGATCTCATTTTCTACCAACCTGCCGCTAAGGACTGAATATCAAGTCTGACATTCAGTTCACGTTTCCAGTGAGTTATGGCTGATTCCACTGACGTGGTCTTTTTATGTATTCTCAGTTTTGCTACGGTCCTCATTCTTATTGCTAGTACATATACTGTATTTGCTTTCTGGATTCATCGCAAGAAACTAAAACAAACATTTTTACTTGTTATTAACTTGGCCTTTGCCGATCTTTTCGTTGGATTCACTGGAATACTGACCGTGATTGGGGCATTTGCTTTTCAGCGACATGCTGGCTTGAATAATATCAGTTACAATACTTTCTTTCGTATATCAGTATTACTTCATGGTACCTTTCCATTTATATCCGTGTATTTTCTGGTACTTATTTCTCTAGAACGGGCCTTCGCATTGCTTGGCCGCTTCGACATCGTGTAGCAAGAATCAAGTTTTACATTAACAGTGTTGTTATCGTATGGTTAGTTGGGGCTGTTCAAGGTGCATTGGAAATTTAGCGCTATATGAAGCCATCAAAATGGAGTATAGCAAAGTTGGTGGTGGATTTTTGATCTATTTCTCATTGGGGACGATCTGTGTGTCTTATCTCTCAATCCGGAAAAGACTCAACAACAGAAATCGCTACACCACCGCAACCCAAAACGGACAAATTGTGGAACAAAATATAAAACTTTCCAAGACATTGTTTACTGTAGTCTGTGCGTCAATTGTTTGTTTGGCTCCTAGTGCTTCTTTTTACATTGTCAGTTGTTTTCATCAAGCTCTTTTAGTTAGTTTTTTGAAATACATTTTTACAATTTTAGGTCACGACAGTGTAATTCTCTTGTTAACCCAATAATTTGTAGTTTTAATATGCCGATATTTAGGAAAACTTTAAAACAACTGAAAAATAGGATGAAAATTCCGAGACCGTTCAGAAAGTACAGAGTATAAAGTGAAGAAACCTGGAAATATGACAGTTTAAAGTCGCATAAAGTTGAAAAAATAGTTGTTTAACCATCATCTACTCCTAGTTTAACTCATAAGAAGCTAAGTCGGAAACTCTTTAACCAAAAACAATACTACATTAAATCCTGATTTTATCCTTCGTTGAATGTAAAACATTTTAATAATGCACTTATAGAGGAAGAAGTGCCCTTATTTACCATTCATTCATTCATACACATACCCTATTACATTAATATATAGATTTAGCCAGGGCTAAAAGCGAAGCTCCTATTAACTCGAATTTATAATTTAAATCAAACAATATACTTGTATTCCACAATTCAGAGCACATTCATGTGAATTTTGAGGAAAAGGTTAAGTGATTTTAGAGAAAAATAATTTGCAAACAGTCCAAGCTAAGAGTGAACTTAATCTTACATCGAGTTGATAGCCTTATATGTACACCCAAAAAATAGCAATCATCTTTGATCACATTTAAGAGCGATAAAGGCTCTTGATCACAGTAGATTAGGCCTGGAAAACAAATCAGGCCGAATTGTTTGCGTTCGACAAGTTTACTTTACAAAATCTTTCCAACAAGTCTGGGACGTGTAAACCATCCTTTTATACTTTTAATACATCACATCTGAGGTGAAACCGTACCATGAGGCGCTGTTTTTATCAAACAGACCTCGGACAGAGTGCAGTATTTTACAATTTTGCAATACAAATATTGCACTCATTCAATATTCAGGACGATCGAAGCACGCGTGGGCTTTTAGCGAATTTAAACCGTTAAAAAATTTCCAAAATCATCTATACGGCTAGCCGGTTCTCACTTTTGACAAGCGCCAGAGACGACTGTTTAAATTAAGACTAAGAGAAGTACGCTTCAACATAATAAAGAATTTATTATGTTTGTTTTTTATTTAATGGTTTTATAACGATGTGTAATCTTCAAAAGCGTTTGATACGTGGGGCATTTTGACTACTGCATGCAAGCGATGTTTATGAGCGACTGAAAACAAACGGTACAGCGATTAAAATTGCAAAAGAGACAACTAACAATCAATAAAAGGAAAATAATTCGGTGAAACATATACAGAGACAACACTTTTCATTCACGAAGACAAGTATTAAAGTGTCTCTGAAAATCCTTGTTTATGTTTTAAGCCGGCTTCCCGGTGTTTGCTTTTTTCAAAGATGAACTCGAGGCAAGAAAATCGCTCAAAGCTTTCTTTTACAGCCAGAATTATAACTAAATATTCTTTGGAACCCTTTTTTTTTCTATTTGCGGTGAGAAAATGCCTAAAGGCTTTTTAAAGTTTTATAAGTTTATAATCAAACCTGATACTCGGTCAGATCATTGTCTCAAATCTTACAAACGTGCATAAACTAAATAGCCCCATAAACTACGCTCGACTTCATTAAATTAGATATAAAAAACAAACATCAAATACAACAATCACTCAAGCTTACCACTCGAGATGCACTGAAAACTATCAAGTAAGGCCAGAATCACTTCAGACTTTTCAACCCTCTTACGCATCAAGCAAGGTGAAAAACGAAAACGATGGCATCCGAAATCGGATTTCTGACTTTGACAAGCGACGTGTTTCTCAACCAAAAACCCAACAAACAAACTAGCCATAACTAACAGAAGACTCTTGATAGCAGCTGAATTTCATTTTGTACATTCAGTGGAAAAAGACAGTTAAAAACATCACAAGTTGACACAAAACTCTGTCAGCTTCAGCTGTCAAAGTAAACAAGTTTCAAGATGCTGCATGAATTTTCCGCGTGAACTCACCTGTCAAATTTTGACCAATCAGAGCATAAAAATTTGGACGTAGAGCGTGGCCAACGCATGACCTTGGTGAGAAAAGTCAAAAGCAACTGGCATGTCTTCCCTGCCTGTAAAAACTGGCTGAATTTTAGCTTCCGAGGTCAGTTTAAAATCAAAATTTTAATTGTGCGGCACATATAAAACACAACATATTACACGTGAATTAAAAAAAATCAAACTTGAGCCTGTGATCATTTGAAAACTAGTAACTTGTCAGCGGATAACTTCAAAAAGATACTAGACCTCAATGGGTCGACACCTGAGCCCGCGATACGGTCAGGTGATACTGCTCAGCGGATACCCTGTTTTGACAGCTGTCAACTGATCACAACATTGATGTGCAAGATGTGTGCAATATCAGTCTTCCTGTGCTCCCAAACTGGCTAGAAAGTGTGAGATTGAACATTGGTTTCCCTGTGGTGCGGACGAACGGGCGGGCTGTGTACGGTCACGTGATTACCAAATTTTCTGGGATGGATAGATTTACTTACCCATGGTGCTCCGCAGGCGCGCTTCGCGCGCCAGAGCTCCGCTATTACAAGGCAGGAGATGAACTTTTAGACGAGTGCGATCTCCCCCTTATTCTAAATAGATGTAAAGAATACAGAATGGGGGCTTCCTGATTTAAGAACTTATATGTACTAAAAACTTAAAACCTATAGAATATCATTGCCATTATTTGTTTCCTATAAGGCTTCAAAATCACATCATCCTATGTTTTATAACCGATATTGTTCATCCGATATCTTAAAATAATTAAGAAGACCTTTAACCAATCAAAAATTGGTTGAAATTTTAAATCGATCGGAAAATTGCTCTGTTGGCAGCGAATTCTGAAACATGACAAGGGAACGCTATATGTGAATAGTTTTTCTAACAGCTTAGATTTTTAGGCAAGGTAAGCGAACGGGCAAGTTTTATGTAATGGTGAGACTGGAGAATTGCAGGCGATGGGATAGAAAAGGACGAGCTGAACTGAGACAAACAATTTCTGCATAACGTCATTGATCAAGTGGGTATTGCTACCACGAAGACAAGGTAAGGCAGGAATACTATACTTTGCGAGCAAATAATATAATTATAGTATTTTAAATCGAACGATACTAAATATATTTCAATTCCCTTTCACTCATTTGAAGCAGACTGTCTAGCTTTTTCTTTGCGCAGCTTTATTGTGATTCTCATATAGAATCAGAAATAAATGAAAACGTATCCGTCCAAACATAAACTTGGTTGTAAATGAGTGGTCCCTCTTTGTCGCCCCATGTACGGGAATCCATGACAATCTTGGATTATGGATTCCACACCATGGATTCCTCATTCCAGCTACAGGATTTTAGTGTCTGACGTCGGTGGGACTTGGTTTCTGGATTCCAGTCGCTAGTGGGCTTCCGTAGTCCTTGAGCAGTATTTCTGATTTCACAAGTAAAAATTGCCCGGATGTTGTTCCCTTGGATGGGACAACTCTTTTACCGTTTATAAAATAACTAAGATAGTACGCGCGCTTCAATTGGCCGAGAGGCGTGTTTGCATGAGATTATATATGTAAACATGGTTGTGATGTCAAGATGTTTTGCTTTTCGCGCGCTAATTCACGCAAGCACGAATTTGAAAAAGGCTTTGAGTTGAAAAACTCGAGGGGTTGAGAGAGAATTCTCGACAGTTATGCAAACCCTCGACTTCGTCTCGGGTTTGCATAACTTGTCTCGAATTCTCCCAACCCCTCTTGTGTTTATATCAGGCTATGCACACACAGAAAACGTTTTCTATTGCTTAAGTAATCCTTGAAACGCCTGACCTAAGACGTTGCTAACAGTCAAATCCGTTCCTACCGTTACACTTGGCAAAAAGGTTGATAAATTCGCTACCTTTCGGTTTGAAGGATAAAAATACCCAATATGTCTAGATGAAGTTTATTTGGGTAACCGCGGTACTCGCGTTAAGCAATTCTCAATCTACTTTACTTACTCATTAGGGATCTTAAACAAGCACGACAACCAAACCGACAACATGAGAAAACATGTGGCTTTACGGGCAAAAGAATATACCTTCATTTGCATCACTATTTTTGTTACATTTCTTCAACGTTTACTGCACGACTACGACGTGAAACTTCATGATAAGACGTTTGTGGAGTACATGAACACACGGCAAATTCTCCTTTCTCTTTCTAGACCTGGATAAAATCCTTAAGAACTCAACTCCAGACAAAATCGTCAGGACCCGTTTAACAAATTGAGCGGGTTCTAAATAGACGCAAAAATGTTTTAAAAAACGCATCAAGTTCAGTTTTTTAGCGATGTTTCCACTGCCGCCGTCCTCAACAAGTTGACGAAATTGTTTCTTCAGGAAACACACAAAAAAAATACTTAAGTTATATTGTTCAAAGCAGGAAACTAATTTCTATCTTTCCCCCACCAATCACCAATCACCGTGTATGATTTATGTTTAATTTCTAAAATGCACCTGCTTCAAAATTCAGGATGATCCTTGTCACCTTTAAAAAAGTATCTCGCTGTCAAAGGGTCCAACCATCACGTTCTGCCAACGTCATGTCTTATACACCTGCCATCACAATATTGAAGTACTTTTCAATTTTCCAGGGTCTCTGTATTTTTACTGGAAATTTTATCACTATGATTGTTTTTTGGATTCACCGATACAAGTTAAAGCGAACCTCTTTCCTTCTTATCAACTTGGCTGTTGCAGATCTGCTCGCTGGACTGACACAAGCGGCTATTGCAGCGAAAGCACATCCACAAACTATTTCAGCAGACATTTTAACTTGCTTTCAGGCCGCATTTTTGGCTGCATCTGTACTTTTTCTCGTTTCCATCTCACTGGAACGAGCCTATGCATTGATTTACCCTCTTCTTCGACATCGAGTAACAAGCACCACTGCTTACATCAACACTATCATAATCGTGTGGTTGATTGCAGTAACTTGGGGTGCATCTTGTCTGTTAGTTGTGTTCGACATCTTCGAATTCAAATTTTACATTGGAGCCTTCTCTGTTACTGTTTTTATTGGTTTGGTTACTATCTGCTTGTGTTACGTGGCAATCCAAGCTAAACTTCGTCAAGAAAGTACAGTTATCGACCCGGCAAATAACAGACACAATGCTGAGCGAAACACAAAGCTTTCCAAGACTTTCTGCATTGTCATAAGCGCGTCTGTGGCTCTTTGGGTTCCAGGACTTGTATTTAGCTGTATTTATTTTATTTTTCCTTGGTATTCTGTGATTATGAACTACGTCTCCTTTATTCTACACCAAACTAATTCTCTCTTGAATCCGATTATTTACAGTTTAAGGATGCCATTTTTTAAGGAATCGTTTAAGCGTCTGAAAAACAAGATGAAAATTCGAAAGCAAACGAAAATGTACAGAGTTAAATTTCAAACGTCAAAAACAGAAACCTAAGCTGTGTCTAGCTGTGTCTAATGGCTTCCGTCTTAAATTGCTTTCCCTCTTGGGTGTAAATAACATGGCATTAAGGAACCGAGTCATTTCAGCGGAAAGTACAAAATATGAATGGTGAACGGAAAACCCGTCAGGGATTCGTGACACTTGTACTTCCATAGCTGATGAGGTGATATTCCATTAATAATAAATATGTCAAAAAGTGTCAAATGATTTTCGAGGCAGACGTTTCGGGTGTATGAAAGTACAAAATATATTGTATTTAGTTTATTTCCTACATAATTCTGTTCCATCTTGCGGTTTTTAAAACTTAATTTCCTTGACAATACAAAATGCAAATATAAAGTAGTAATTAAAACACTGGATGAAAATGAAGACCTTAGGACACCTGAATCAATTTCGATTTTGGTGGAAGCCACTTCTGAGGCAATGGTAATTTCTAAATCTTTGGAGATCTTTAAGTCCTGGGGCAAAATAAAACCTTGCATGAGGATCCTTAGCAGTTACGCATTCTTGTTTTAACAAAAAATAAATCGCTGTCGGTACAAGGGCCAATGTAATAATACTGGTACAAGTGTAATTAAGAAATGTAGCTGTTGAATGTTTTCGGAACAATAAACAATTAGCTTTCACTCGAAATTACACTTGTAAAAGTTATATTAAATTGATCCAAGGTTCTTTCATGTCTTTTTAAGAATACGGAGCTGTTTGTTCTCATAATATATAGCAATGTAGTAAGTCCCTACGACGATAAATAGACTTTGGCGTTTGCACAAAATTTAAAAGTTTTGTCGTCACGGCGATAGTTTGTTTTTGAAACGTTATTCGCATCTAAGAAAGTGAAACTTTTCATTTAACCAGAAACGTCAATTAAAGAACTTAAAATGGTCATGTTCGCGAAATAAGATTACCCGACGAAGGATAGCTGTCAAAGAACAAAAGATGTTGTCGCCTGACAAAAAATTGTAGGCCTCCAAATGTTTTCGACGGTATGGGATCTTTGAAGTTTGTTAACAGTTGAGAAAATTTTAGTAGGTGGAAAAAATCGTCCGCATTCAAGGAATGGCTTCCCGTTGACCAATTGTTTGCCTGAACAAACAAAATTTTGGGCAGTAGTGAAAACAGGGCCTAAATATTGAATTGTTTTCCTTGTGAATTGTTCATATAATTTTTGGGGGATCACTAACATCGCTTGAATAAAACGGAATACATAAAAACAAATGAACATATTTTTTTTTCCTTTTCAAATTGCAGAATAATTGATAAGTTATTTGTGTAATGGCAGGTGGGGTGTTGTTTTTAAGTAATCTTGTATCCTGCTGTAAACCTACCTCAGATTATTAGTATTTAGTATTTTACAGATATTGTAATCTGGAACTTGATTAAAGTTAAAGTTAAAGAAGATGCATGATTCATCGTCTTCTTCACAATACCTTTGTTGAGCTTGTCGTTTATAAGCTAAATAACGTGGTTTTGTCAATAGCGCTGCACTTTCGCCCATCTTTGTTTAACAGGAAAGTGGTGAACTTTAGTGCTATTTACAGGAGCGTTTATGTTTGGTAACCATTAATTTTTACAATTTGCACCATACCTTATAATAAGAAATTAACGCTAGATGAAATTGAAATTCGCATTAATTCAATTCGCGTTAATTTAAAATATAAGGAGTCTGACGTTTTAATTTAAAAAAATTAAAAACCTCTGAGTAGATCGTACACGCTAGCCATGATGTTTTAAACACTACTACGGCTTTGAGTAAAGTCGAAGTGTTGTTACCCGTAGTGAACATCTTGTAACATCTTTTTAAAAACATCTTGTCTAACTAAACCGATTTTTGTGAAGACATCCTTCCTTGGAAAAGTATTTTGTCTCCCATGGCCGTTACTACTTTTCTAAGTTACACATACATAAGACAGCTTCTTATTTTAACGTCACGTTTTCAATTGTCATATTTCATATTTCAAGTTATATATGTTACAGGTCTTCATTGCTAACAGTGTACTTTTTCGATCGCTTTGGAATTTTAAACTTATTTTTCAGTTGTCTAAAGGTTTTCATGAATATTGGCATTCTCAAACTATAAATTATTGGGTTTACGAGAGAATTACTTAGATGTAACATGGTGATGATATAATTCACAAAGTCAGGATACACGATAACACAGTTTACCTAGAGTGTAAACTGTAACACTCGGAGCCCAAAACGCAATAGACACACCTACCATTTTTTTAGCAATGTTTTAACTGCCGCCGTCCTCATCGTGGTTGCTTTAGCCTCCCTAATCATAATAACAAGATGACGAAATTGTTTCTTCAGGCAACACAAAAGAGAAATACTTAATTCATGCTGTTCAAAGCAGGAAACTAATTTCTATCTTTCCCCCACCAATCACCAATCACAGTGTATGATTTATGTTTTATTTCTAATAGTGCACCTGCATGAAAGCTGAGCATGCTCCTTGTCACCTTTAATTTTAAAAAGTATCTCGCATCAAAGGGTCCAACCATCGCGTTCTGTATACGTCATGTCTTATACGGCTGCTATCACAATATTGAAGTACGTGGCAATTTTCCAGGGTCTCTGCATTTTTACTGGAAATTTTATCACTATGATTGTTTTTTGGATTCACCGATACAAGTTAAAGCGAACGTCTTTTCTTCTTATCAACTTGGCTGTTGCGGATCTGCTCTCTGGACTGACACAAGCGGCTATGGCAGCCCAACCCATTCCACAAACCATTTCAGCAGACATATCAGCTTGCTTTCAAGCTGCATTTTTGGCCGCATCTTTACTTTTCCTCGTTTTCATCTCACTGGAACGAGCCTATGCATTGATTTACCCTCTTCGACATCGAGTAACAAGCACCAATGCTTACATCTACACCATCATAATCGTGTGGTTGATTGCAATAACTTGGGGTACATCTCGTCTGTTAGTTGTGTACGACATCTTCGAATACAAATTTTACACGGCAGCCTTCTCCTTTGCCATTTTGTTTTGTTTGGTTACTATCTGCTTGTCTTACATGGCAATCCGAGCAAAACTTAGTCAAGAAAGTCCAGCTATCGACCCGGCAAATAACAGACTCAACACTTACCGAAACACAAAGCTTTCCAGCACTTTCTGTATTGTCATAAGCGCGTCTGTGGCTCTTTGGGTCCCTGGACTTGTATTTTACTGTATTTATTATTTTTTGCCGGGGCATTCAATGATTACGAACTACGTCTCCTTTATTTTACATCAAACTAATTCTCTCTTGAATCCGATTATTTATAGTTTAAGGATGCCGTTCTTTAAGGAAACGTTTAAACGCCTGAAAAACAAGATGAAAATTCGAAAGCAAACAAAAACATACACAGTTAGTTGTCGAACGTTAAAAACAAAAACATAAGCTGCCTATAGTAAAGAGTGGTACAAACAGTTACGCGATACAGCTGATGAGCTCTCCAGTTTCTGTTGTTGCAAACCACCGAGGAACAAGCCCTAGCTACTTAGTAAAGAGTGGTATAATAAGTTTCTTTCCAAAATCATAAAAAAATAAAAACATGAATATTTCACTTTGAACAATCAAAAATTTTAAAGTTTCTTGTTTTTCGTGTTCGATCATTTGATGCGTTCTGCAAAATTTTAAGGCTTAAAAATTCGGCACGGGGTTTTTTAGTACAAGAATTTTTTTGGTTTTGTTGGAAGCCTTAGAGATTTGTTTAGGTTTTGATTTTACCCCCATTCGATATCGTCGCCGCATAGTTAGCTGGTGTTTCTTTGGTTTCATTACCCTGGCTGGCTAGCTACGGAATCTGTCAGTTTTCTCACTATATCCTCACTTCTTCTTATCGCTGGCAACGATATGTACATCATACCTAGCAATCCGAAAACGACTTAAAGGCAGTGACCCCACAATCGGTACAAAACATCATCGAACAATGGTTGAGCAAAACACAAGGAAACTTTCCAAAACTTTGTTCCTTATGACAAGAGCATCTGCTGCATTTTGGGTTCAAGCCTTGTTTTATTCTCGTACCTAACGTTCGCTTTAGAATTTTTTTCTGAATTTATAAAATATTCGTTCACCATAATTCGTCTGTGCAAATCCACTGATTTACAGTTTAGAAATGCAAATATTCATTCAAAGTCTTAGACGATTTCATTGTAAAAATTCGAAAACAGCCGAAAAATACGCAGTTAATTAACGATGGAACCTTCAAAAACACTGCAAAGAAAGATTTTACCTTTTAATTTTCCTTTATTTTGCTTGTATAACGAGAAATAGTTTTATACGGCACTGAAAGGTACAGACATACTTAATAATCATTCCTGAAAACCAGTGCCTGACGGAAAAAAAGTGACAAAGAAAGTAGAGACTTACTCTTCTCTATAACAAGATAGATGTTATTAATGACATAAACGTAATTAAAGTTTTTAATAGCTGAGTTTAAAGTTTGAATAGATGTACTTTTAATGGAGTCCTTTGTCCCTGATCCTTATAAACACGGTTGCTAGTTAATCAGTACCCTGCATGTGTGCTTTTTGTCATTCTTAATTAAAACCTAAGACAATGTACTGTGTTTGGTTCCGGTTTATAGCATTGCTAAATTAATAATTCATCTCATCATAATTTATTTCGCTTTTGACCTATGACAGGTATTACTGGATGTCAGCCTTGGCAGTCCTTATGCTTAATATTTCTTTAATATTAAGGGGATCACTATGGCCAATCGGTGGTGCTGTCAAAACAAAGGCAAACCTACAACACCACACCTTTTATAAAGGTTGACTCAGCTATCCCAAGTGAACAACACGTCAGCAAATTCAAGCTGCTCTGAAGATTCTAGCCGTTTTCAATACATCCAAAACACCCTAAACATTATCTTTGTTATGTCTGATACGATTACCATAGCGATTTTAAGTCTCACTCTTGTCTTATCTGTCTTCATATTTACTGCAAATGCTTTCACCGTATTTGTTTTCTGGATTCATCGCCACAAACTAAAGCGAACGTTCCTCATCGTTTTCAACTTGACTGTCGCTGACCTTCTTGTCGGTCTTGCAGAAACTGCTTTTGTCGGATTCAAGATGAATGACAGAAAGCCCTATGTAAAAATTTTTAAGTCCTTTCTAGTTATAGTTTCGGGTGCATCGGTATTTTTCTCGTGCTTATTTCACTGGAACGATCCTTCGCTTTGAAGAGCCCCTTACGACATCGTGTAACAAGCACCAAGGTTTACATCCACGGTATTGTCATCGTTTGGTTGGCTGGAATAGCTCTGGGTGCACTGAAATTACTACCGACATACGGGATCTTTGACTTGAAATATTACGTTGTCGCTTACTCTGTCATCATTGCTCTGTCGTTACTCTTGATTTGCTTTTCTTATCTTTCCATCCGAAAACGTTTTTGCAAGAGAAATCCTGTTTTGGATACAGGATACTGCAGAAAAAGTGTGGAACAAAACACAAAACTCTCCAAGACCATTTTTTTTGTAATAGGTGCATCTGCTGCACTTTGGGCTCCAAGCATGGCATTGTACAACTTGAGTCTTTTGTGGGAGGGCTTGTTCCCTGGCTTTGTGAATTACATTTTTTGTATGTTTCATCTAACCAATTCTCTTATTAATCCAATAATTTATAGTTTGAGAACGCCTCTATTCAGGAAAATCAGCCACTTTCTACAACAGTCTAATTCAAGACTACGGTACGCTCACCCGGAAATTTACAGTCAGTACCCGCGTATAAGAACCAAGTCAAGAGAATATAAAGGGGACAGAGAGGGCATTCCCCATATACACCCTATTCCATAGGTAATTCGTCTAGAGTTATTTTTAACACCACAGATCTCAAGGGGGATTAGACAACAGCCAATCACATAGCGCGAATGTGTTCCGCGTGGATGACCCACGCTGAGAGCCACGCGTCCTTCACGAAATGACGCAGAACAAAATGGGGAAGACGCGGAGAGCGATTTTGCTATTCCTTTTGTCAACGAAAACGACTACAGCGAGATTTCTGCGAAAGCTGTGTCAGCGAAACCGAAATTAAAAAAGAATCGCCCTTCCTCTCTTGTATAGAGCTAACAGTAGAGCAGGGAAATCCTTAACACACTGAATATTCTCTCAGGATCATTTATAATTTACAGTTTGGAGAGAGCAATTTCTGGTTTGATGTTTATTTTTTTCAGTCTTTATAGCGATTATTCCTACCCACTTACTTGGTTAATTGTAGGCGACCCTCCTAAAGCTGAATTTCAAGGGACCATATTCAAGCTCAGAGAGAAAATAAAATTTCGTCGTTGCTTATTTACGTCCTCCATAAAACGCGAAATTAGGCATTTTCACGTCGTAGTCGTGCAAAAACGGGAAAGAAATGAACAAAAAGTGTGTTGCACGTGCGAAGTTGTTGTTTTGCTAATTAAACCTATTGTTTTTTTTGACGTTCTAGTTGTCGTCCCCGTCGTTGGATCTTAAACTCCCTAAATTGTACAAACGACCGGTTTCAATAGACCTGCGAAATTTCTCATTTTATTAAAGCACTGAGGTTAAGACAACTTCGAGTTAAACTGATTTCACGGGTTGTCAAAGAGTATAGCGATTCCTTTTTCCCAGGTGAGCGCCGACTCATTTCGCTTTAATATTCAGGAATGCTCTCGATCTTTTTACGCTTTCATTGCCTCTCGCCCGACATGTTTTGCACGGCGTTTGGCCTTGCGAAACCTCCACGAAACATCCACGCCTCGCGCGAGGTAACTTTATCCCGATTCTAAAAATAACTCGAGACGAATTACCTATGGAATAGGGTGTATATGGGGGATGCCCTCTCTGTCCCCTTTATAGTCTCTTGAACCAAGTGGATTAAGAGCCTCCTGGCAGAAATTGACCACTTTTAATACCCAAAAATGCAAGAACCTGTTTAGCCAAGCAAGATCAAGCAGGTTCTTATATGTGGGTTACAGTTGAATTAGTATTTTAAACAATTTAACCAAGGAATGTAACTTTGAGATGTAAATTTAACTATAACAAGAACATACTGTACCAAACTGTTTAAAAATTCTTATTTGTTAGTATTATGATAATACATTATAATGAATAAATACTGTATTTTAAGGACCAAACCCAAGTTTATTTTTCTGGTAATCAACATTAATCTATTACACTCCTTCATAAAGCTTAAATTGCCAATAAGTACCACAAAATACAAGAACCTATTTAGCCAGACTTTAAAAAAAGTAGGTGCTTCTTCGCAGGTGTTTACTTTACTTACGTCGATTGACATGAGTCCTAGGTTCTAATCATTCACTGCGGTGCTACCAAAATATGCCGGCAAAAAACACTGTACCGTGCATATCAGTGGAGCAAGTAGATTTTAATTACTATGATTTATTATGATTCATTTGAGGTTCAATTCTGCTAAAACTCATTAAATGTACTCCTCGAATAGAAACCATTTTTATGTCTTATAAACCTCATTTAAAATATCATCACGTTTTATGGGGTAAGGTTCAATATAATTACTAAAATGTTTAATTGAATTTCGTTCAAGTGAAGATAACAGCGGATTGACTTCCTTCGATTTGCTAGATAACAAAAACTGCAATATTTAACTAATACACAAGAAATTTACTTACAAACCACGTTTTTGCTTGGACCATAAGAGCAACTTGATAGGGAACAATAAATTGATTGAACAAATGAAGAGTACTCCTTTCGAAATATCTACCCTGGATCTTACACCAACTGTTTTTACTGATCCGCCAACCACGGTATACACTCTTAGTTCACCGATTTCAGATTATTCTCAAGGCTTGTTTTCAAAAGTGATATGTAATTGAATCTTAAACTAAAATTGCCCTTCGTTTTTTTTTCGCAGCGGGCTATACGGCTAAACGTTTGCGGTACGGTTCTTATTCGCGGGTGTTTACTATACTTATAAAATGACTCCTGGGTTGAAACCATTCAGTGTGCTACCAAAATATGCTAACAAAAACGCTGTACCCCGCTTGCTTGGACCATTATCTTAAAATAAGGGCAACTTGATTGGGAACATGAAATAGATCGAAAAAATAATGAGTACTCCAGTCGAAAGCCTCAATTTCATTATCCACCCTTGAACTCACTCAACAGTTTTAAATGATTCAAACGTTTTGAATCCACCAATCACTGTATACATGTTATACGAATAAGTGTTAGCCATCAAGAGAACCCTGAGTTCACAGATTTCATATTATTCTTTGTTTTCAAATGTGATATGTAAATGAATCTTACACTAAAATTGCTGTTCAGTTTTTTTTCTTTTTTTATCTCAGTGGGTTATCTAAACATTGCGGAACTTTTATTAAGAATAAATATAACAATGCGTTTCGTTATTCGATTCAGCACTCGGTGTCAGTAAAATAAACATGATTTAATCTTCTCTTTCGAAAGATGAATTAATGTAGTGTATTTTCTTATCCTGGTGATGGGTATGTTCGTTTTCAAATAGATCGACAATACTACGGTACTGAAGGCGGATCTTGAGAAAAGGCCATTTCACAACCTTATTAAAAATTAATCACTACTATTGGAAAACTCTTCCAAGGTTCAAGTCAATATTTATTCTTAAAACTCAAATATTACCGCCATCAAAGGTGAACTATAATCCGGATCTCATTTTCTACCAACCTGCCGCTAAGGACTGAATATCAAGTCTGACATTCAGTTCACGTTTCCAGTGAGTTACGGCTGATTCCACTGACGTGGTCTTTTTATGTATTCTCAGTTTTGCTACGGTCCTCATTCTTATTGCTAGTACATATACTGTATTTGCTTTCTGGATTCATCGCAAGAAACTAAAACAAACATTTTTACTTGTTATTAACTTGGCCTTTGCCGATCTTTTCGTTGGATTCACTGGAATACTGACCGTGATTGGGGCATTTGCTTTTCAGCGACATGCTGGCTTGAATAATATCAGTTACAATACTTTCTTTCGTATATCAGTATTACTTCATGGTACCTTTCCATTTATATCCGTGTATTTTCTGGTACTTATTTCTCTAGAACGGGCCTTCGCATTGCTTGGCCGCTTCGACATCGTGTAGCAAGAATCAAGGTTTACATCAACAGTGTTGTTATCGTATGGTTAGTTGGGGCTGTTCAAGGTGCATTGGAAATTTAGCGCTATATGAAGCCATCAAAATGGAGTATAGCGAAGTTGGTGGTGGATTTTTGATCTATTTCTCATTGGGGACGATCTGTGTGTCTTATCTCTCAATCCGGAAAAGACTCAACAACAGAAATCGCTACACCACCGCAACCCAAAACGGACAAATTGTGGAACAAAATATAAAACTTTCCAAGACATTGTTTACTGTAGTCTGTGCGTCGATTGTTTGTTTGGCTCCTAGTGCTTCTTTTTACATTGTCAGTTGTTTTCATCAAGCTCTTTTAGTTAGTTTTTTGAAATACATTTTTACAATTTTAGGTCACGACAGTGTAATTCTCTTGTTAACCCAATAAATTGTAGTTTTAATATGCCGATATTTAGGAAAACTTTAAAACAACTGAAAAATAGGATGAAAATTCCGAGACCGTCCAGAAGGTACAGATTATAAAGTGAAGAAACCTGGAATATGACAGTTTAAAGTCGCATAAAGTTGAAAAAATAGTTGTTTAACCATCATCTACTCCTAGTTTAACTCATAAGAAGCTAAGTCGGAAACTCTTTAACCAAAAACAATACTACATTAAATCCTGATTTTATCCTTCGTTGAATGTAAAACATTTTAATAATGCACTTATAGAGGAAGAAGTGCCCTTATTTACCATTCATTCATACACATACCCTATTACATTAATATATAGATTTAGCCAGCGCTAAAAGCGAAGCTCCTATTAACTCGAATTTATAATTTAAATCAAACAATATACTTGTATTCCACAATTCAGTTAACTTTAGAGCACATTCATGTGACTTTTGAGGAAAAGGTTAAGTGATTTTAGAGAAAAATAATTTGCGAACAGTCCAAGCTAAGAGTGAACTTAATCTTACATCGAGTTGATAGCCTTATATGTACACCCAAAAAATAGCAATCATCTTTGATCACATTTAAGAGCGATAAAGGCTCTTGATCACAGTAGATTAGGCCTGGAAAACAAATCAGGCCGAATTGTTTGCGTTCGACAAGTTTACTTTACAAAATCTTTCCAACAAGTCTGGGACGTGTAAACCATCCTTTTATACTTTTAATACATCAAATCTGAGGTGAAACAGTACCATGAGGCGCTGTTTTTATCAAACAGACCTCGGACAGAGTGCAGTATTTCACAATTTTGCAATACAAATGTTGCACTCATTCAATATTCAGGACGATCGAAGCACGCGTGGGCTTTTAGCGAATTTAAACCGTTAAAAAATTTCCAAAATCATCTATACGGCTAGCCGGTTCTCACTTTTGACAAGCACCAAAGTCGACTGTTTAAATTAAGACTAAGAGAAGTACGCTTCAACATAATAAAGAATTTATTATGTTTTTTTTTTTATTTAATGGTTTTATAACGATGTGTAATGCACTTATCAATTGAAACCCCCCCCCCCCCCCGGGCCTATGTGGGGCAATGTGGGGGATTTTTATGGTATTTGAAGGGATGGTTAGCCCGTGGGGGTGGGGGATTTCTCAGGATTTGCTTAGCATATTCATGGAAGTCCATGGAAGTCGGGGAGCGAGGTGGGGATTTGACTCGTGCCTAGTTTCCTCACGGTAATTTCTTCACGTGATCACAGGTATTTTGATGTATTGCTCGGCCGTACGTTTCCTAATTGTTTTTCCTTTCATTTCTTCACTGAGACTAATCCTTTGCGATTTTGCCTTGAGCTTTCATGGTTCGTTGACTGGAAATTGTTATTGTTATTCAAAACTTCTCAAACAATGCAGATACGAACTCCTCTACTTATTATAAAAGGTGCTGTGTCACGGCTATCTGGTTCATTTTGTTAATATTGCCAGTTACGTGGTCCCTATTCGCTTTTGAGCGTTACGTTGGCAAAGAAATGAAGAAATCAAAGCTTCGTTTTAAACAGATGTTTCTCCCAAGCATATCAAGCGTTACGGACGAAAACAATGAACTTTGAAAAACTGTTAGGTTAACAAGTTTTCAAAAACCAAAATTTCAATCCGTTTTAATCTTCTTCATGTTTTCCCATCTGTACCTTCTTTTGTATTTGCTGAGCCATTTATACCATCTTTTAATGTCTTAAGCGGTTATTTTTATGTTTCACTCAATTTGGTGGCAGTTCCCACAGCCTACATTTTGGTAAATTTCATGACACAGCTCGTTTAACGTCTAGTGTTAAACCCATGTGGTTTCTGAAGTTCTATCTTTCCTCATTCTTTAAGCCAAAATATAAAATATAGCTCCTAGGAACTATTTTATGCAGTCTATTTATAACATCAGCTTGTGAAGGTTAAGGTATTTTGGCTGCTATTTTCAATTAAACTTATCATTGCAGACATTACTTTCAATGGAGATGGTACGGATTTCCTTTTAATATAACTTTATAGCAATGTGCTACTCCATCATCCATTTTGTACCCTGACTTTTTTATAAGTGGGTAGGGGTCATTATGTTTACTTATTGTCAAATATTTGTTGTATTTATATCTTGGTCTGTTATCATATTTGCCTTTTTGCTGTAGTAAATTTGTCAATATTAAGAAGTTGAAAATTCGAACGAAATATTAATAAAGTCAGTCAGGGAATTAAAAAGGTTTCCCCACCTGGGTGGGGGTTTTACCAGTCAATATGCCCCAGTAGGGTGGGAGTTTGCTAAGATTTGTAATGATGTCAAGTCAAATCTCCACCTTGGCCCGTATAAGTGTATAATCTTCAAAAGCGTTTGATACGTGGGGCATTTTGACTACTGCATGCAAGCGATGTTTATGAGCGACTGAAAACAAACGGCACAGCGATTAAAATTGCAAAAGAGACAACTAACAATCAATAAAAGGAAAATAATTCGGTGAAACATATACAGAGACAACACTTTTCATTCACGAAGACAAGTATTAAAGTGTCTCTGAAAATCCTTGTTTATGTTTTAAGCCGGCTTCCCGGTGTTTGCTTTTTTCAAAGATGAACTCGAGGCAAGAAAATCGCTCAAAGCTTTCTTTTACAGCCAGAATTATAACTAAATATTCTTTGGAACCCTTTTTTTTTTCTATTTGGGGTGAGAAAATTCCTAAAGGCTTTTTAAAGTTTTATAAGCTTATAATCAAACCTGATACTCGGTCAGATCATTGTCTCAAATCTTACAACCGTGCATAAACTAAATAGCCCCATAAACTACGCTCGACTTCATTAAATTAGATATAAAAAACAAACATCAAATACAACAATTACTCAAGCTTACCACTCGAGATGCACTGAAAACTATCAAGTAAGGCCAGAATCGCTTCAGACTTTTCAACCCTCTTACGCATCAAGCAAGGTGAAAAACGAAAACGATGCCATCCGTAATCGGATTTCCGACTTTGACAAGCGACGAATTTCTCAACCAAAAACCCAACAAACAAACTAGCCATGAATAACAGAAGACTCTCGATAGCAGCTGAAGTTCATTTTGTACATTCAGTGGAAAAAGACGGTTAAAAACATCACAAGTTGACACAAAACTCTGTCAGCTTCAGCTGTCAAAGTAAACAAGTTTCAAGATGCTGCATGAATTTTCCGCGTGAACTCACCTGTCAAATTTTGACCAATCAGAGCATAAAAATTTGGACGTAGAGCGTGACCAACGCGTAACCTTGGTGAGAAAAGTCAAAAGCAACTGGCATGTCTTCCCTGCCTGTAAAACTTGGCTGAATTTTAGCTTCCGAGGTCAGTTTAAAATCAAAATTTTAATTGTGCAGCACATAAAACACAACATATTACACATGAATTAAAAAAATCAAACTTGAGCCTGTGATCATTTGAAAACTAGTAACTTGTCAGCGGATAACTTCAAAAAGATACTAGACCTCGATGGGTCGACACCTGAGCCCGCGATACGGTCAGGTGATACTGCTCAGCGGATACCCTGTTTTGACAGCTGTCAATTGATCACAACATTGATGTGCAAGATGTGTGCAATATCAGTCTTCCTGTGCTCCCAAACTGGCTAGAAAGTGTGAGATTGAACATTGGTTTCCCTGTGGTCCGCACGGACGGGCGGGCTGTGTACGGTCACGTGATTACCAAATTTTCTGGGATGGGTAGATTTACTTACCCATGGTGCTCCGCAGGCGCGCTTCGCGCGCCAGAGCTCCGCTATTACAAGGCAGGAGATGAACTTTTAGACGAGTGCGATCTCCCCCTTATTCTAAATAGATGTAAAGAATACAGAATGGGGGCTTCCTGATTTAAGAACTTATATTTACTAAAAACTTAAAACCTATAGAATATCATTGCCATTATTTGTTTCCTATAAAGCTTCAAAATCACATCATCCTATGTTTTATAACCGATATTGTTCATCCGATATCTTAAAATAATTAAGAAGACCTTTAACCAGTCAAAAATTGGTTGAAATTTTAAATCGATCGGAAAATTGCTCTGTTTGCAGCGAATTCTGAAACAAGGCAAGGGAACGCTATATGTGAATAGTTTTTCTCACAGCTTAGGTTTTTAGGCAAGGTAAGCGAACGGGCAAGTTTTATGTAATGGTGAGACTGTAGAGTTGCAGGCGACGGGATAGAAAAGGACGAGCTGAACTGAGACAAACAATTTCTGCATAACGTCATTGATCAAGTGGGTATTGCTACCACGAAGACAAGGTAGGCAGGAATACTATACTTTGCGAGCAAATAATATAATTATAGTATCTTAAATCGAACGATACTAAATATATTTCAATTCCCTTTCACTCATTTGAAGCAGACTGTCTAGTTGTTTCTTTCCGCAGCTTCCTTGTGATTCTCATATAGAATCAGAAATGAATGAAAACGTATCCGTCCAAACATAAACTTGGTTGTAAATGAGTGGTCCCTCTTTGTCGCCCCATTTACGGGAATCCATGACCGTCTTGGATTATGGATTCCACACCATGGATCCCTCATTCCAGCTACAGGATTTTAGTGTCTGACGTCGGTGGGACTTGGTTTCTGGATTCCAGTCGCTAGTGGGCTTCCGTAGTCCTTGAGCTGTATTTCTGATTCCACAAGTAAAAATTTCCCGGATGTTGTTCCCTTAGATTGGACAACTCTAATACCCTTTATAAAATAACTAAGATAGTACGTGCCCTCTGATTGGCCGAGAGGCGTGTTTGCATGAGAGTATGTAAACATGGTTGTGACGTCAAGATGTTTTGCTTTTCGCACGCTAATCAGCGCAAGGTTTTGAGTTGAAAAACTCATGGATAATAGAAACTCGAGGGATTGAGAGAGAATTCTCGACAGTTATGCAAACCCTCGACTTCGTCTCAGGGGTTTGCCCAACTTATCTCGAATTCTCCCAACCACTTTCGTGTTTATATCAGGCTATGCACACACGGAAAACGTTTTCTATTGCTTAAGTGATCCTTGAAACTCCTGACCTAAGACGTTGCTAACAGTCAAATCCGCTTAAAAACACTGTTCCTACCGTTACATTTGGAAAAAACGTTTATAAATTCGCTACCTTTAGGTTTGTAGGATGAAAATACCCAATGTGTCTACAGTAGATGAAGTTTATTTAGGTAACCACAGTACTCGCGTTAAGCAACTCTCAATCTACTTTACGTAGACGTTTGTGGAGGAGACGTAGACGTTTGTGGAGGACACGAACACAAAGCAAATTCTTCTTTATCTTTCTAGACCTGGATAAAATCCTTAAGAACTCAACTCCAGAAAAAATCGTCAGGACTCATTTAACAAATTGAGCGGGTTCTAAATAGACGCAATAATGTTTTAAAAAACGCATAAGCTCAGTTTTTTAGCGATGTTCCCACTGCCGCCGTCCTCAACAAGATGACGAAATTGTTTCTTCAGGAAGACACAAAAAAAAAAATACTTAAGTTATGTTGTTCAAAGCAGGAAACTAATTTCTATCTTTCCCCCACCAATCACCAATCACAGTGTATGATTTATGTTTTATTTCTATAATGCACCTGCATGAAAATTGAGCATGCTCCTTGTCACCTTTAAAAAAGTATCTCGCTGGCAAAGGGTCCAACCATCACGGTCTGTCAACTTCATGTCTTATACCGCTGCTATCACAATACTGAAGAACGTTTCAATTTTCCAGGGTCTGTGTATTTTTACTGGAAATTTTATCACTATGATTGTTTTTTGGATTCACCGATACAAGTTAAAGCGAACGTCTTTTCTTCTTATCAACTTGGCTGTTGCAGATCTGCTCGCTGGTCTGACACAAACAGTTATTGCAGCGAAAGCACATCCACAAACCATTTCAGCAGACATTTTAACTTGCTTTCAGGCTGCAGTTTTGGCCGCATCTGTACTTTTTCTCGTTTTCATCTCACTGGAACGAGCCTATGCATTGATTTACCCTCTTCGCCATCGAGTAGCAAGCACCACTGCTTACATCAACACTATCATGATCGTGTGGTTGATTGCAATAACTTGGGGTGCATCTTGTCTGTTGGTTGTGTTCGACATCTTTGAATTCAAATTTTACATTGGAGCCTTCTCTGTTACTGTTTTTATTGGTTTGGTTACTATCTGCTTGTGTTACGTGGCAATCCAAGCTAAACTTCGTCAAGAAAGTACGGTTATCGACCCAGCAAATAACAGACACAATGCTGAGCGAAACACAAAGCTTTCCAAGACTTTCTGTATTGTCATAAGCGCGTCTGTGGCTCTTTGGGTTCCAGGACTTGTGTTTAGCTGTATTTATTTTTTTTTCCCTTGGTATTCTGTGATTATGAACTACGTCTCCTTTATTCTACATCAAACTAATTCTCTCTTGAATCCGATTATTTACAGTTTAAGGATGCCATTTTTTAAGGAATCGTTTAAGCGCCTGAAAAACAAGATGAAAATTCGAAAGCAAACGAAAATGGACAGAGTTAAATTTCAAACGTCAAAAACAGAACATAAGCTGTGTATAGCAAAATTTTAAGACGCGTAAGATTTAATTTGGTAAAACTTGAAGCTTTTGAATTTTTTTCTGTGGCGGGCTTGCATAAAAAATGTTTTTTGCTGTTATTGCATATAACTAATTACATCAATAGCCCTTGAAAACTTAAAAAGAGTACAATATGCTTTAAATTATTCTGGTACAAGGGTTGTTTCCACTGAAAATTAAAACAACTCAATTTTTCTAATGGCTTCCGTCTCAAATTTCTTCCCCTCTTCAGTGTAAATAGCATGGCATTAAGGAACCGAGTCATTTCAGCGGAAAGTAGAAAGTACAAAATATGAATGGTGAACGGAAAAACCGTCTGGGATTCGTGACACTTGTACTTAGATAGCTGATGAGGTGATATTCCATTAATAATAAATATGTCAAAAAGTGTCAAATGCTTTTCAAAAACAGACTTTTCGGGTGTATGAAAGTACAAAATTTCCTAGATAGTTCTGTTCCAATGCAACTAAATTTCCTTGAAAATACAAAATGCAAATATAAAGTAGTAATTAAAACACTGGATGAAAATGAAGACCTTAGGACACCTAAATCAATTTCGATTTTGGTGGAAGCCACTTCTGAGGCAATGGTAATTTCTAAATCTTTGAAGATCTTTAAGCCCTGCGGGCAAAATGAAACCTTGCATGAGGATCCTTGGCAGTTACGCATTCTTGTTTTAAGAAAAAATAAATCGCTGTCGGTACAAGGGCCAATGTAATAATACTGGTACAAGTGTAATTAAGAAATGTAGCTATTAAATGTTTTCGGAACAATAAACAATTAGCTTTCACTCGAAATTACACTTGTAAAAGTTATATTAAATTGATCCTAGGTTCTTGCATATCTTTTTAAGAATACGGAGCTGTTTGTTCTCATAATATATAGCAATGTAGTAAGTCCCTACGACGATAAATAGAATTTGGCGTTTGCACAAAATTTGAACATTTTGTCATCACCAATATTTTGTTTTTGAAACGTTATTCACATCGAAGAAAGTGAAATTTTTCATATAACCAGAAACGTTAATTAATGAAAATGGTCATGTTCGCGAAATAAGATGACCCGACGAAGGATAGCTGTCAAGGAACAAAAGATTTTGTCGCCTGACAAAAAATTTTGGTAAGTGGAAAAAATCGTCCGCTTTGGGAATGGCTTCCAGTTGATCAATTTTTTGCGAAACAAACAAAATTTTGGGCAGTAGTGTAAACAGGGCCTAAATATTGACATGTTTTCCTTGTGGATTGTTCATATAATTTTTGAGGGATCACTAACATGGCTTGAATAAAACGGAATACATAAACACGAATGAATTTTTTTTTTCCTTTTCAAATTGCATAATAATTGATAAGTTATTTATGTAATAGCAGGTGGGATGTTGTTTTCAAGTAATCTTGTATCCTGTTTTAAGCCTACCTCAGCCGATTATAAGTATTTATTATTTTACAGATATTGTAATCTGGAGCTTGATTAAAGTTAAAGTTAAAGAAGATGCATGATTCATCGTCTTCTTCACAATACCTTTGTTGAGCTTGTCGTTTATAAGCTAAATAACTTGGTTTTGTCAATAGCCCTGCATTTTCGCCCATCTTTGTTTCACAGGAAAGTGGTGAACTTTAGTGCTATATACAGGAGCGTTTATGTTTGGTAACCATTAATTTTTACAATTTACACCTTAGCTATATAAGAAATTAACGCTTGATGAAATTGAAATTCGCATTAATTTAAGTCAAGTTAATTTAAAATATAAGGAGTCTGACGTTTTAATTAAAAAAAATTACAAACCTCTGAGTAGATCGTGCACGCTAGCCATGATATTTTAAACACTACTATGACTTTGAATAAAGTCGAAGTGTTGTTACCAGTACTGAACATCTTGTAACATCTTTTTAAAAACATCTTGTCTAACTAAACCGATTTTTGAAAAGACATCCTTCCTTGGAAAAGTATTTTGTCTCCTATGACCGTTACTACTTTTGTAAGTTACACATACATAAGGCAGCGTCTTATTTTAACGTTTTTTAATTGTCATATTTCATATTTTATATATGTTACAGGTTTTCATCGGTAACAGTGTACTTTTTCGATCGCTTTGGAATTTTAAACTTATTTTTCAGTTGTCTAAAGGTTTTCATGAATATTGGCATTCTCAAACTATAAATTATTGGGTTTGCGAGAGAATTACTTAGATGTAACATGGTGATGATATAATTCACAAAGTCAGGATAAACGATTACACACAGTTTACCTAGAGTGTAAATTGTAACACTCGGAGCCCAAAACGCAATAGACACACCTATCACGGAGAATAACGTCTTGGACAGTCTCCTCTTTTGTTCAAAATTTTTCCTGTTATTTGCAAATTCAACAGCTTGGTTTCTGTTCTGAATAGTTTTCCGGATCGCTAAGTACGACACACAGATCGTAACCAAGCAGAAATTTATGACAACTGACAATCCAACTGCATAATACACAAAATCGAGAATCTCAAACGTGGACAGAAAATTAAATACACCCATAGCTATTCCAGCGAACCAAGCGATAGCCACACTGTACATGTAAACCTTAGCGCTTGTTGCACGATGTCGAAGAGGCCAAATCAAAGCGAAGGCCCGTTCCAGTGAAATAAGTACAAGAAAGAACACAGATGCTGATGAAAAGGCGTGGAAGGATGCTGATAAACTCTGATATCCCATGTGATTGGTTTTGCTTAGTTGCAGAAGACTAACTGCCAATCCTGCCACTTGTATTTCAGTGAACCCAACAAGAAGGTCGGCAACAGTCAAGTTAATGAGCAGAAGGAATGTTCGCTTCAGTTTGTTGCGATGAATCCAGAAAACAAATACAGTAAAAGTATTGGCAACAAGAATAACGACTGACAGAAAAATGAGAATGCCCAAAAATACTGCGTCACTGATATCAGACATAATAAAAAGAACGTTTTGAACCAGATAATTTTTCTGTGACTCTAAAGAACAAAGATATCTTTTGGCCTCCAGAGTGTATGAAGCCTTTCATATTTAAATGACCCGGCAATTTAAATAAAGTCCCCGAGGAGATTTTAATTAAAATTCAATTGCGCTGTGCTATTGTTTTACTCTTGGTTTCTGTCTCAGAGTACTGTAAACCTCGTCAATGATTCAGCAATATAAATAAACAGCTTTAAAAAGATCAGAGAGATGCAATCAACAGGGCCGACAAGTCATTAAAATTAACACGCAGGAGAAATACAGCAACTATAGCCTTCTTAGGTCTACTTTTAATTAAGTAAGACTATTGTTTTCTCTCCTACTAAAATAACATATTTATCTATATAGATTGTAGACCACTATCATTCGCAGGGAAAAATATTGAATGCAAAATGAGTGTATTTAATGGGGCTGCCCAGAGTTAATATTTTACAAAGAAATAATATACAACTACTTTAAAATTTAAAATTGAGTCCATTGTCATTAAAATATCATGTTTGTCGTATGTCATCCAAATGACATAAATGACAAAGGTCAAAGAAACATTGCAAATACGTCACTCTGGCGTCATTTAGGCGTTGAAATTTTATTTTGTTCACTGATAGAAAACAAGATGATATTAAAGACATACATGAACAGTAGCAAAGTGGATGGTTGTTTTCTCGTATCAAACCAGACAAGATGAAGAGGTGACCACTTAAAAGCAGTTAATTGTGTATGTTGTTGTGACCTGGGAAGTGTCAACCCACGGGATGTGTCAGCTCTCGGAGAAGATGTTCAAGCATGCATGGGAGCTGATCTCTCGACTTAGGTGCATGGAAAATCTAGAGGATAGTCCCCTGCAGATGTCATTCTTTGAAACTCGATTGTCCTCATGAATTCAAATGCCTTAAAAATCAATTTCATCTACGTATTCTTTCTCGGGAAATAAGTGAATAGCCGGTCATCAATCTCTTAACAATGTCACCGGGTGTAATGAACCTTATTGTTAGTTTTAATTAGCAATTCAAAACAATTTTATATTTTAAAAGAACATTTTTCCCACACAGCATCGATATCTGATTTAATGAAAGGGTCCAATCAGTGTGTTTTATGGAGCGAAGTATTATTACTCATTAGAAAAACTCCAAAAAGAAACTTTTACTGAATTTTCGAATTATGATGAGTAGTGGCATAGCTACCAAATTATGGAATCTCATTTAGATAAGGTCGTGTGCTTTTTTTTTGCAGGTTTAATTAATTTTGTGTGGAATACATTAACGTCAATGACGTCATAGCCTTTTGTAGTCTTGTAATATCGGTCAATTTACGTAACTTTTAAACTTCTGGCTCATTTCTGCGTTTGCTTCGCCTTTGAGGTATAATTACTCAGAGGTAATACAGTGTAAAAATTTAGAAAAACAACAAAAAAGTACCAATTTATGATGGAAAATGTACTTTCAAAACGAACAAAAATCTTCAAAACGTTCTGGTCACGTGACTGATGACGTAATGTCCCTGTTTTGGTCGTTAAAAAAATTAACAGGTAGGACATTGCTTTCCTGCAAATTTTCACTGCCGTTTGATGATACGCCGACTCTCTACAGCTCTCGGCCTAGTCTCCCGACTTTTCAGCTCTTGTTTATTGCCCCCTAAAATTTTAAATGCTGGAAGTCAAACTGGTTATTTTTAAATGTCCCACACAACCAAAACTTCAGATATGTTTTTTGTTTTTAACTTGATAATGAAATCTTGTCAAAGCAACAAAGAAAACTAATTCGGCAATCGTCACGTCACTGATGACGTCATTACCCTAGATGTGACCTGAGAAGATATTTTATGGCAAATGTTATCTGGTTGTGGTCTGATATTCTTTTAGGTATAATATGTTGAAAGTTAAAAAGCTTTTATAATTTACTTTTAATACATAAACTAATAATATTCAACCTATGCAAATCCAGAGATTTGGGCACTTAGCTGATTTAAAACAATGAGAGACAATTATACATCAAATTAGGTCACAGTAGTAGTCATGAAAAATAATTCTTACTCATACGTGTGTACCACTAAGCACCTCCCACCGGGGAATGGGTGGGTTGAGTCGTCAACTAGAGGCATATACAAAGTCACAGATTCCATTTGAACAATAATTAAAACTGGAGGCAATTTTAGACCGATAAATGATCGTGAGGTTTCTTCGGGATGAACTTTTTTACCGTAACAGTAAATTAAAAAAGGTTTCCTGGTAAAAATGCCTGTTTTAGTCTTTTCATTGATGGAGCATGTGTCCGTGACGTTTTTTTTTTTTTTTTCTGACAGCTCGCTTTACGGACACCTGGGGGTGCTTACTATTTACGCCAATCATCCGGGGGCACCCTGTTCCGGGGGAACACGGTCCACCTGGGTGATTTGTCCACCGGGTCCACAGTGGACCCCGTTCAGGGTTCCGGGAACATGCTTCCCCGGGAAACATCAGCCTAAATTTTTTTGTTTCCTTTAGTGGCTAGAAATGCATCTTAAACAATTATCCTTTATTAATTAATATTATTATTCACTCAAAAGAATTTCCCCATTGTGATTGGCTAAAAGCACACGCATAATTCACCATAACCAGCTACTGATGACCAAATTTGGAAGAATTTTGCGTTTAATGAACCGATGACGTCAAAAGTGCAGCTTCCTTGCAGGTTAATGCACCGTTAATCGAGACTACCTGGGGACGACGTTGTGTTGCTTTGGTTGTGAATCGAAGACAAAGATGGCAGACATTTCACTCATTTCAAGAGTAAGCACTGGGCGAAATAATAGCTACAAACATGGCAAGAACAGCAAGAAGACAACTCGAAGGGCGACATCTGCTATTTGGAGAATATTATTTGCGGAGCTGAACAACCCTAAACGAGCACTATCGAAGATGAACTTAACATCGATGGATGGATGGAGGAAGCAAATTTTAGCCATGTTTTTAAACTAGGAATTATTTTGAGCTTTCGTATCGTATGAAGAATTATGGAGATCTGGGCGGGTGTTATCCGCCTCGGCCTACGGCCTCGACGGATAACACCCTCCTCGATCTCCATAATTCTTCATAAGATACTCAGCCTCATTCATTAATTGTTAAAAGATGTACCAATTTTATTTCAATGATTATATTGCTTTCAACAGTCAGAAAGCTGGCGCCCCTTAACCCCTTAAGCCCTAACAGTGATCAGCATCAAATTTTTCCTTGTAATATCAATGCTTTGTATAACAGAGTGGTCATGAGAATTAAGGACATGATCATACAAGATGAATTTGCTTGATATTTCATCAACTTCTCCACATTACTCCTGTAGGAAATGAATAGGGGCAACAAAAGGAAAATTCAAATTTTTATCTTAGGGTCTAAAGCGTTAAATTGAAAAAGGTAAAAAGGCACAATCAGGTCTAATCTCAGACCTTTTAAGGATGAAATAGACCATGTGAACGGTGACAAAGCAGCTTCCAACGCCATCAACAAATTGCATCTCGTAACGGCGGCTCAGCTGCAACCTACAGCATGGTTCTGAGCATCCGTTTTTTAAAAGACGTTTTCCAAACATTCTTTACCTTCTTCGGGCTCAGTCAGCCAAGCGTGGTCATTGCACGCGTGCTGAACAAGAATGCTGTATAATGACAGACTAGAAACAATAGACAACTCCCAAAGCACAAACTCAGCCAAAACGCTAAAAATCTTCAATGTTTACTCAAGTTTGGGCTTATAGAAGGTAATGTCACAGTTTTTTAATGACCATGAAATTCAGAGTCCGGGTAGTTAGTTAATCAATTGTGGCACTGAAAAAATTTGAAGAAAAAAAAAATACGAATTTTTAAGAAAATGCTTTTTTCGTGAGATTGACTCTTTAACGCTGACAAACGTCAACAAATAGCGAAAACTATAATTTCTATATGTTTGCTTTGCTGGAAATCGCGCGCATTTACAAGGCCCTAAAGCGTTTTGCTGACTTGCAAGGACCCATCTGCTATAAAGATGCCCAAAATACAGAGATGAATCTCATAGTTTATTAGATATAATCCGTGTAAAGTTTGCTTATCATTTTCGCATAAATTACGACCTAAATTTGGAAACCGCTGAATTTCTCGAATTGGGTCTTTGCGATTTTGGTGAAACTCTGTTCAGCGCAAGGCACCAATGCGCACTATGTGTAGCCGAGAGATTTTCACGAAAAAATGCCGGCAACAGCAGATTTTCGACTCAGACCTCAAAGGGGCGTGGCATTATAACCACGTGACATTTACTCCGATCGCCAAAAATTTTATGTTATATTGTAGATTGATCTATATGTTATCCATTCTATGTGTTAGACTTACGATAAAAGTAAAGGTGGGTATACCAGAGAGCTTCAAAGTAGGATGGTACCCCCTAAAATAAACTGGGTCGAGTCACCTTAAATTCATGTTTTTTTTTTGTCTTAGAATATAATTCACAGCTGTGCTGACCGTTTGAAATATTGATGGAAAAAGCAAGAGCGTATCAAAACCAAAAATTCGGCGAAACATTGATCTAAAATCAAATTATTTCTTGAGAGAAACTGTGAACGCAAGAATCTAACCGTTCTTTGAAACCAAGTCATTAACGATAAAAGTTTCAAATAAAAAAAAGAAAAGAACAAAAAGTGCAAAGTTTACAAAGAGGTCAACATGTGAATGAAAAAATTGGTTGAAGCTACTTTAATAGGCTAAGTTATTACTACAATGATCGAAAAAAAACCTGGTAAAAACAATTTGTTTTTCAAAAAGGATGGTGTTAAAGCCCTTCTAGCCCCTCCCTCTCCGCGGTACTCGCACTGTAAGTAACCCATAGATAAGGTAGTTCTTTATTTGAATGTATTTCAATAATTATCTCTAACCAGTAGGTGTGGATCACTTTTAAAGATTCCGTGCATCACAAATACATCTTTATATAGTTACAAGTTTTCATTGCTAATAATGTACTTTTTCGATCGATTTGGAATTTTAAACTTATTCCTTGATTGTTTCAAGGTTTTCATAAATATTGGCTTTCTTAAGCTATAAATCATTGGGTTAACGAAAGAATTACTAAGATGTAACATAGCAAGGATGTAATTCACAAACTGGGGATACTCGAATGCACACAACTTAGCTACACTAAAAAATGTTACGCCAGGAGCCCAAAATGCAAGAGACACACCTATCACGATAAAAAATGTCTTGGACAGTCTTGTGTTTCGTTCACATTGAACACGTTGCCCGTTGCGAGTGAACTCAATAGCTAAAGCTGGATTTCTGTTGTTGATTTTTTTCCTTATCGATAAGCAAGACACGCAGATCGTAACCAAGCAGAAATTTATGACAACTGAGAATCCAACTGCATAATCCTCAAAGTCGAAAATCTTATGCATTCTTAGAAAATAAAATACACCCATAGCTATCCCAGCGAACCAACCGATAGCCACAATGTATATGTAAATAATAGTGCCTGTTGCACGATGTCGAAGCGGCCAGATCAAAGCGAAGGCACGTTCCAATGAAATAAGTACAAGAGAGAACACAGATGCTGATGAAAAGGCATAGAGGAATGCCGATAAACTGTACATGTCTCCCTTGTGATTGGTTTTGCTTAGTCGCGGAAGAACAACTACCGCTCCTGTCTCAAGTATTGCAGTGAATCCAACAAGAAGGTCTGCAAGAGTTATGTTAATGACAAGAAAGAATGTCCTCTTCAGTTTGTGGCGATGAATCCAGAAAACCAAAATAGTAAAAGTATTGGCCATAAGAATGACTACGGACAGAAAAATGAGAATGCACAAAAACACTATCTCACTGGTAACAGACATAGTGGAAAAGAACGGTATGCGCCTGTTGATAGCGAGAGATGTCGTTTGGCTTCTTGGCTTGCAAAAACTCCAAAACGAGTTTTAACTAAGCTGGAAATTTATTTGCACTTTACAACTGTTTTACTTTCCGTTTCAGCCTCAAATATTGTAAACCTCATAAAAGAACAATAAACAGCTTTCAAAAGGGAGATGCAATGAACACAGTAGATATGTCATTGAATTGACGAGCCGGTGAAATGAATCAATGATAGCATTGTAATGTCTACTTTTAGTAAGAAAATTGTTTTCTGGTACTAGAGAAACAGGCAACGCAATAACAGTTATTGAAGTTTCTAAGATATTATCATTAGAAGGTGAGAAAATTGGATTCAATGTAAAGAGTGCATTTAATTATTTATTAAATCAGATAAGAAAGATAATGACATTAAAAACAAACATGAACAGAAGCAAAGTGGGTCCCTCTTTTTCTTCTAACCAGAAAAACTAATACAAGGAGAGCTGACCCCGACAGTGGCTGTGGGTAACTTATTTTTTGCCTACGGGAAGTGTCCTCTCAATGTGAATGTCTCCTTATGAAAGATGTGAAGCCAAGGCATGTGTAGGGGGTGTCCAGTCACCTGCTTTAAGTGTACACCCAGTCGAGAGCTCTCCACTGACTGGAGGTGTCCATTAACTGAGCCGGTTCGACTGTGGTGAATATAATAATCATTCTTTGTGTATTGTCGTCAATTCAAATACCTTAAAAAGTCAATTTCTTCTCAACATTCTTACTCCGTAAATATGTAAATGAAAAGACTGTCATCAATCTCTAAACAATGTTGCCGAATATTACATACCTCACGGTCATTTTATGTCAAAGCAATTTAATTTTTAAATTTTTAAATTTTTAAATTAAAATGACATCTTCCCCGAGTAACATCGATATCTGATTTGATAGAAAGAAAACATCGAATCAGAGTGTTTATGGAGCGAAGTACTATTAATTCTCTAGAGAACTACATATTAAGCAAAATTTAATTAATTTGTTCAAATTATAATGGTGGAATTAAAACTCTATTTAAAGGAAATGTTCCTTGATTTATTATAGGCAGCGTCACCTTCAAATTTATGTTTCACTGAGAACAATCTACAGTAACTTTTGATTTAGAAAGGGAAAACAGCTGATTTATTTACGGATCTGTCAGATCCTCAGTTCTTGCTCTTAATAGCTGTATTACCATAAATCAATAATTATTGTTCAAAATTTTAATAGCATGTCATGTCATTTGTATGTCGCTAACAGTATTATAAGACATTAACTGCACGTAGAATGCTCGATGAAAAGGAGATTTTCTTTCCTGGACATTGTTTTGAGCACTGTATGTCCAGGTTTTTACACAGCTGCAAAATTTGCGATTTGCAGTGATTCTCAACCTCCTCTACTTAATTCAAAGCCATTTTGACTATTCAAAAAGAAACATATTCAGGCTGAAAACGTCTGTCTTTTCGTATGCCCTGCATCATGTAAAACCTTTCCACAGTTGAAAATTTAATTCGACTTCACTCGCCAATAAAACTCTCCATTTCAGTTTTATAGCGGGGCTCCCGCGCGCGCGAAGCGCGCGTGGGACAGAGCCCCATACCCATGGAATATGGTCAACCTCTTTTCGTTTGGTTGTCACGTGATTGACCGAGCGTACGTACGTACGTACGTACGCGTCTACAGATTGTATGGGTGGGGTAGGGGAGACTATCAAAAGGAAGGGAGGGGTGTCTCAGGCGTGTCTTGGCAAGTCCACATCTTTAATATAGGACATTAACAATATGGTCAATTGACAGCTGTCCAAACAGGATAGCCACTGACCAGTATCCCATGACCATATTGCGGGCTCATGTGTCAACTCATCGAGGTGACGTGATTTATTTGGAAGCTGTCCGCTGACCAGTTAACTGTTTTACTAGATCGCGAACAACGTTCAATCTCATACTTTTACAAGTTTGGGAGCACAGGAAAACTGATAATGCACACATATTGGACATCAATGTTTTGATCAATTGACAGCTGTCAAAACAGAGTACCCGCTGACCAGTATCACTTGACCGTATCGCGGGCTCAGGTGTCGACCCGTGGAGGTCAAGTATTTTTAAAGTTATCCGCTGACAAGTAAACTAGTTTTCAAGTGATCGCAGGCTCAAGTTCAATTTTTTTTTCTTAATTCATATGAAATATGTTGTGTTTATGTGCTGCACAATTAAAATTTTGATTGCAAACTGACCTCGGACGTGAAAATTCAGCCAGCTGTTACAGGCAGGAAGACAGTTGCTTTTGTTCTCACAATGGTCACGCGTTGGTCACGCTCTACGTCCAATTTTTATGCTCTGATTGGTCAAAATTTGACAGGTGAGTTCATGCGCAAAATTTATGCAGCATCTTGAATCTTGTTTACTTTAACAGCTGAAGCTGACAGAGTTTTGCGTCAACTTGTGATGTTTTTAACTGTCTTTTTTCCACTGGATGTACAAAATGAAATTCAGCTGCTATCAGGAGTCTTCTGTTACTCATGGCTAGTTTGTTTATTGGGTTTTTGGTTGAGAAAACGTCGCTTGTCAAAGTCGGAAATCCGATTTCGGATGGCATCGTTTTCGTTTTCACCTTGCTTGATGCGTAAGAGGATTGCAAAGTCTGAAGCGATACTGGCTTTACCTGATAACTTTCAGGAGCTGCATCTCGAATGGTAAGCCAGAGAAATTATTGTATTTCATGTTTGTTTTTGTATCTAATTTAATGAAGTGGAGCGTAGTTTATGCGGGAATTTAGTTTATGCGCGTTTGTAAGATTTGAGACAACGATCTCACCGAGTATCTGGTTTGATATAATCTTACAGAACTTTAAAAAGCCTTTAGACAGTTTCTCACCGCAAATAGAAAGAAAATGTTCCAAAGAATCTTTAGTTATAATTCTAGCCGGAAAAGAAAGCTTTGAGCGATTTTCTTGCCTCGAGTTCGTCTTTGAAAAAACAAACACCGGGAAGCTGGCTTAAAACATAAACTTCAGCAAACTTAAGCTTGAAGCTTGAGAATTCAGGATATTTAGGGACACTTTAATACTTGTCTTCCTGAATGAAAATTGTTGTCTCTGTTTATGTTTCACCGAATTATATTTCTTTTATTGATTGTTAGTAGTCTCTCTTGCAATTTTAATCGCTATGCCGATTGTTTTCAGTCGTTCAGTGAACATCGCTTGCAGGAGTTCTCAAAATGCCGCGCGTTAAACCATCAAATAAAAAATAAACATGATAAATTCTTTATTATCTTGGAGCGTAACTCTGTTAATGTTCATTCAAACACTCGCTACAGCTCGCACTACAAAAGTGAGAACCGGATGGCCGTATAGGGGATTTTGGAAAATTTTTTTTAACAGTTTATGAATATTGAATGAGAGCAATTTGTATTGTGAAATACTGCTTTCTGTCCATGGTATAAAAGGTTGGTTTACACGCACCCAGATTTGTTGGCAAGATTTTGCAAAAAGTAAACTTGTCGAACGCCAAAACGTTGGCCTGGTTTTTTCTAAGCCTAATTGATCCACGGTGATCAATAGCCATTACGGCTCTTAAATGTAATAAAAGATGATTACCAGTTTTTGAGTGTACATATGAGGCTATCAACTCGATGTAAGATTTGGTTCACTCTTGGGCTGTTTGCAAATTATTTTTCTCTAAAATCAGGTAGCCTTTCCCTCAAAAGTCACATAAATGTGCTCTAAAGTTCACTGAATTGTGGAATTCGAATACAAGTTTATTGTTTAATTTAAATTATAAATTTACTAATGGGAGCCTCGCTTTTAGCCCTGGCTAAATCTATATATTATGTTACGGGTGTTCATCGCTAACAGCGTCACTTTTCTATCGCTTTGGAATTTTACAACACTTATGTTTCAGTTTTCTGAAGCTTTTCAAGAATATTGGCATTCTTAAGCTATAAATTATTGGGTTCACAAGAGAATTACTTAGATGTAACATGGTGATGATGTACTTTACAAACTCGGGATACACGATTAGACCCAAATCACGTGCACAGTAAAATGTAACGCTTGGAGCCCAAAATGCGATAGAGACACCTACCACGATGAAGAATGTCTTGGACAGTCTTGTGTTTTGTTCAGCACTTTGCATTCTATGAGCGGAGTCAATAGCTGGATTCCTGTTGTTAATTTGTTTTCGGATCGATAGGTACGACACACAGATCGTAACCAAACAGAAATTTATGACAACAGAGAATCCAACTGAATAATGCACAGAATCTAGAATCTCATACGTCGACAGAAAATTAAATACACCCATAGCTATGCCAGCGAACCAACCGATAGCCACACTGTAGATGTAAACCTTGGTGCCTGTTACACGATGTCGAAGCGGCCAGATCAATGCGAAGGCGCGTTCCAATGAAATAAGTACAAGAAAGAACACAGATGCTGAAGAAGAGGCGTGGAAGGATGCTGCCAAACTCTGATATCCCAACATTTTTCTTAGTCCTGTCTGTTGCGGAAGATTAGCTATTGGCAGTCCTGCCACAATTATTGCAGTGAGTCCAACAAGAAAGTCAGCAACAGTCAAGTTAATGACGAGAAAGAATGTCCGCTTTAGCTTGTTGCGATGAATCCAGAAAACAATTACAGTAAAAGTATTGGCAACAACAATGAAGACCGACAGAAGAATAAAAATACATAAGGACACATGTTCAAGGTCCCTGATATCAGACATAGTTAAAAAATGAGCCAGTTAATTCTTGTAAGTAAATTGCAGCCTTATCTAACGGAGATCGGCTATTTACAAAAGATCCGCAAAAAAAACTTCTAATTAAACTTAAAAATCAATCTTGCCGTTTCCGCCTCAAGACAAATACAAAACTTTCAAAAGGCAGATGCAATCAACGGAGTAGATAATTTTTATGTCATGGAAATTAACACGCCTACGAAACGAATAACTAATAGCATTTTCATGTCTGATTTTAATTAAATTAGTCAATTTTTCCCCTACTAAAATAATACTAATAGTGAATTATCATTGGCAGAAGAGAATATTGAAGACGAGTTCATTTAATTATTTATTAAAACTAATAAAAATATAATGAAGAAAAAGAATGAAAAGCAGAGGTGGCCACTGTTGTCTACAATTTGGAAACTTCTCAACCCACGGGATGTGTCAGTTCTCGGAAGGGGTGTCCACCCAATCGGGAGTTGTCCACTGACTGGAGGTGTCCAGTTAACAGAGTTTCGGCTGTAATGAAACAAAAAATGGAGGATGTTTCCCTGAAAATGTCACTGTTTGTACTTTGTGGTCAATTCAAATGCCCTAAAAATCAATTTCTTCTACCTATTATTACTCCGGACATAAGTGAATAGACTATTATCAATCTCAGTCTAAACAATGTTACCGAATGTCAAATCTCACGGTCAGATTTAATTAAAAGATCGAATCGGAGTGTTGATTATGAATGTTTTGTCTTTAATATACTACTCATTTGATAGTGAAGTGCTGTTGAACTTTATGAAATCAGCGCGATATAAATGCTATAGAATGTGAATATATCAAAATGTGGATCAAAAAAGTCCCTATTTGTTTGTTTGTTTTTGACTGTTTTTAAGGTCCGAACGGTCAGTTGCTTTCGCTCTACGGACTCCTTTTCATACATCTACGATATGTTTTAAAAACAGACATGTGGCAACGAAGGTACGAGAAAAAAAAATCTATAAATTGTGTAATATTTAAACCATACTTCGTCCATTGAAACAAAATAAGACAGTACAGTATGTGGTCCTTGGTCCGTGGAAGAACCCGATGCCCTTGGTCCGCGTCTTTTCCGAAAATGATAAAATATTTCGTCAAGAAAAAAAATACGTTGAATAATGAAAGATATCGTGATTTACTGATTAGCATTCTTCCATATGACGAAGTTTCAGCCTTCTTACTGCGGGTGAAGACGCGAAATTAAAGTTTGTTGACAGGTAGGTTAATTTGTCTTTCTTGAAGTTTGGATTTTTGCGGCACCGTAAATTACGTGGTCATGTTTACTTAGCCTGCGAATAACTAAAACGCCACGGGAAGACTTGTCTTTTTGCAGAACAGGTTTTCAGATCAACTTATTTCTGCTGTTGGAAGCATATTGCTGTAGACGCTGAATTTTTTGTTTTAGCGACTCTTGAAAAATATCACCAAATTTCGCTTAGCGGTCCTTGGTCCGCGTCATATGACCTTGTTTGAATAAAACTTTCCAAAGTAAAAAGCGACGGCCTTTGTTTTCGAAGAATGTTTTGAAAGTCGTCCCTATACATGTCTACAAGTTCTCTTTTTTAATACCTCGAGTACATACAGAGTTTTTGGTAATTATTTTCGACCGCGCTAAAAACCGCTCGTCGACACTCGTGGGAGACTCGAGGAGACTGTTGTCTGAAGTCTTTGAAACAAAATCGGATTATTTTATGCTCACAGCCCCTTCCGAAAAAGACTTTAGCTTAATTGCATCAAGAAAAGAAAAAAATACAAGAAATACTGTGAAAATCACGTTTTCGTGTGGAAACTATAACATTTTAAAGTTTGATCGTGCTGCTTACCTGAGACGCGGACCAAGGACCAGATTCGCCGACCAAGGACCATCGAAAACGGTCGCCTTTTTGCGAATTCCTAGCAAAATATTTATGTCTGGAACTTGAAACTTCAGGATTATCGACAGGAACATAAAAACTATCTTCAGGGAGTATTTCAGCTCGTTACATGAAGATTCGGGTAAGATATTCAAGTTAATGACTTTTACACGCGGACCAAGGACCACATACTGTATATTTTGGATGTAAAATCTGCAAAACGTTTTAATTCAACACTCTTTGAGTTAAATTTAAAAAAATTACTCTTCTCAAATCTACCTAATGAAATCCCGCTTTCGAAATATCGATACTCTGTGACACAGGTTGTTATATCTTTAACGACGAAAGTCCAAAATGATGACATAAGACGACACGAGTAAAAAGACTTAATCATTGCTCTTTATTCCATTGAACTCTATTTCATTGTGAGTGTTATATGTGAAAAATATTTTTATAATACCTACTCTTTTACCCAAGGTGTGAATAATCCCCCCAGTACTCTACAAAGACTTTCTTCTGTTTGAGTAAAATTTGTATTAAATTGTAAATTATTTTTCTTTTCAAAAAGTGGAACAGCCGTCTAAACTCCTTTTTATTGTTGCAGTTGTTTTGCTCAAACAGAACAGTGAACATAAATATAACGGCATAGTCAGAGCACCGAAGCAGTCATTTAAACCCGGCAATGGCTTTAAGCCCTGGGAGTGAAAAGCATCAAATTTCTCCATATAATATCTTATGTTTTATAACAGCTTCGTAATGAGAATTAAGGAGATGATCTCACATCTTTTATTAACTTCGCCCCACCAGTTCTATAAGAAAATTGGGGCAACAAATTACAATTATAACCTTGATCTTTATCAGGCTTTAAAGGGTTAGTCTAAAAGTCTAAAAGTAAGTTCAGTAGGTAGGGAAAATAGCCATAATTTACGCTTAATATAATTTGAATTTCATCTTTAATTCAAACTATCAGGAAACCAATCACGGATCAGTGCGCACATTCCTAAAATATACACTGGCTCGAATCTAAACTTTTCTTACTGTTTTACTAAAGATCAGCTGCTAACTTCGCCATCGAAAGTTTCAACCCTCACGGAATTTGTTGCATAATGTTTGACATGTCCAAAGCTGAAATTGCAATACTATGCATTGCAATTTTCCAAGGATTTTGCATCTTTCTTGGCAATCTTTTCACTGTATTTGTGTTTTGGATTCATCGACACAAATTGAAGCGAGGTTCTATTCTCCTTATCAACTTGGCAGTTACAGATCTGCTTGTTGGGCTCACACAATTTGCTATGGTCGGAACGATGGCCTTTCCACATATTACTGGTGTACGCAAAGTCAGCGACAGGTATACGCCAGATATTTCAACCTGTTTTCAAGTTGTATTTTCAACTGCATCTGTGTTTTTTCTCGCTATCATTTCACTGGAACGAGCCTTCGCTTTGATGTGGCCTCTTCGACATCGCGCAACAAGCACCAGCACTTACATCTACGGTGTTTTACTCGTATGGACAGCTGCAATAACAGTGGGTGTATCCTGTTTATTGGTTGTGCTCGGTGTCGTGAAATATAGATTTTTCATGGCTTTCTCGTTCGTTGTCATCATTTTATGTTTGATAACAGTTTCCCTGTCTTACTTAGCAATCCGAACAAGTCTTGCTCAACAAAACCAAGCTATCGACAACGCACATAACAGGCAGGATGATGAACGAAACAAAAAGCTATCCAGAACTTTGTTTATTGTCATAGGTGCGTCAGTCATTTTCTGGTTTCCAGGCCTTGTAGTTTACTATGTTTTTTCACTTTCTTCTGTCATTTTGATCTTCCTATGTGGTACAATGTTACATGCAAATAATTCGCTCGTGAACCCAATTATTTATAGTTTACGAATGCCAGTGTTTAGAGAAACTGTTAAACGACTAATAAAAAAAAGTTGAAAATTCGAAAGAGCGGGACAAAACCTACACAGTTAACTATAAATCATCTAAAGAGGAAACGTAATTGTTACGATTTGGGTAAGAAAAAAAACCGTTTCATCAACGTTTCCCAATTTACTGCTTGAACAGTGCGTTCATCATTTATTTCAAGGAAATAAAGACAAAGATAGTATAGATACCATCGTATTATGTTCTTTTTACTACACTATGTTTAATCGAATTGTGTCTGTATGTCTGTGGTATGATTTACAATCAAGCGTCGATATCCTGTGCTGCTGTAATTCAAACTTAAGTCAATAGAAACAACGACAGTTATTTTAATCTTTTATTCCATCAATACCTGACTTAATTAAAAGATAGAATCACCCTAGTGTTTTATTTTTTCTATATACAGCAAACAAAATTACTGCACAGCTTGTCTTATTAGTTTTGAATTCACTGCAAAAACTAAAATAGGAAAGTATTTTTGACTTTATGTAAGTACAGTGGTAGAGTTCATAAACAAAACAATTGTTGTCTACAGCGCCTCTCCTCAGGTGCTGTGATCCTTTAAAAACCACACTGAAAAGAAAAAGAAAAAAAAGAGAAAAATTTTATCAAGGTACCTCCCAATTTCATGTAAACAAAATCCTTTCTGGTAAAGATGGTCTTGGAACAAATACAAACTGAATTATTTACGAATCGAGTACGTACATCCTCCGTTTTTTCCTTTTATAACACTATATTCTAAAAATCAAACGTGGAGGAAATGTCGTTTATATGATAAAAGTTTCAACAAAAATAATATTAATTGCACTTCAGAAAGCTTTATACTGTTTAGCAGAAACCCAGCGTGAAGTCTTGACCACTTCTGTGGAAAAACATTGAAATAATTTTTTTTTTTTCATTTTTATTAAAAAGATTAAAATATATTTTAAAAAATTGCTTATTTTTAAAATTTATTTTTGTAAATTAAAAAAATATATACTTTTTTTTTTCTCGAAGATATTAGCCTTTCAGTATACTCTGAAATTCGAGTTCAAAAAAAGTTCCGCGAAACGTCTCCAGCGGCGAAGAGCGAGGAGAAACGGATGCTTTCGCAAGCTAAGTTCATATATATGTGTGCATGCATGTATATATATATATATATATATAAGCACAATGCATTTTTTTATCACGGCAAACATATGGAATTCTTCAATTTTTTAACTTCTTATACTTGATTAAAACTTCGTAGTAATACACGCGAGTTCAGTTTCATCTAAACCTAGATCATACAAATCATGTACTCTGCTAAGTCTGCTAAAGGTTAATTATACCTCTATTGAATTTTACACTAACCCTCAAAGTTTTCCCCTCTCTTTATATTTTATATTTTTTGTCTTTTTTTATCAAATAAAAATCGGACCGTAAAATGAAGTAAATAGTCCCTTATAAATGAGCTTTTTAAATAGCTGTTTATATGAAAGGTACTTTCTTAATACAACAATACCTTTCTTATCTTCAACCGAGTTAGCGGAAAGGAAAACAATTATTTGCAAAGCGCCATTATTAAAACCTGGATCCTTATCTGGAGAATATTGTTCTGAGGATATTTCCCTGAAGATGTCACTGTTTGTACATTGTGGTCAATTCAGATGCCCTAAAAATCAATTTCTTCTACCTATTCTTACTCCGGACATAAGTGAATAGACTATTATCAATCTCAGTCTAAACAATGTCACCGAATGTCAAATCTCACGGTCAGATTTAATTAAAAAGATCGAATCGAAGTGTTGATTATTTAAGTTTTTTTTTTTTAATTTGCTACTCATTTGATGAGAAGTGCTAGTGAACTTTATGAAATTAACGCGATATAAATTCTACAAAATTTAAATAAATAAATGTATGGATAAAAAATAGTGCCTAGTTGTTTGTTTTTTTGTTCTTGTGATTTTTAGGGTCTGAATGGTCAGTTGCTTTCGCTTCAGGACTCCTTTTGACACATCTAAGATGATATGTTTAAAAAACAGACATGTGACAACGAAGGTATTAGATTAAAATCTAGTGGAAAGGCAACCCTAGAATTTGTTAACCGTGTATTTAAGCCCTACATAGTCCGTTAAAACAAAGGAAAAAAATAAGACTATATTGTGGATGTACGCTTTGCAAAAAGTTGGTTGTCAGTAAAAAGTAAAACTCGGGGTCGGGGGTCTACCTTTTTTTAAGAGAATGCTGTTTTAGGGTTACGGTTAGTGTCAACACTGTAAATTGAAAATAATCGACTCTTCCCTAATCTACTTTATGAATTCCCTGTGACACAGGTTGATAACGAAGAAAATCCAAAATGATGCCAATAGACAGCTCGAGTAAAAATATTGTTCTTTAATTCCTTTGAACTTTATTTCAACGTGAAATGTATACAGTAGAACCCCGATAACTTGACTACCTCAGATAACTCGAACTAAATTTCACCTTCGGCTCGATCAAGAGTTCACCACTGAAATTTACCCTGACAACTTGAATTCTGCAAGTTCTTAACTCCACTCGGATGCCATCCCATTAACTCTTCTTGTTGTATACGGACACTAAAACTAACACTGGCCAACACTACAAGCAATTTGATTTTGATTGGTGCAAATAACAGATCACGTTTTATCATAAAAAAAAACTAACCATGTTACCGTTTCTGATGAAAGAAATTTGTACATCACAATACTCTTTAGTGCCAAAAAATCAGTAAATATAAATTTTTAGCATGGCAAATTGAATTTTGCAATCGACCCTGATAACTCGAACTGTTTTTCGTTTCCCTTCAGAGTTCGAGTTACCTGGGTTCTTTTGTATCAATACTATTTTTACAATCATTACCTCCTGTATTACCCTAGGTGTGACTAATCCCCTCTACTCTGCAAAGATTTTTCTATGAAAAACCTAAGTTCAAAATATAAATTTCTGTTTGAGGTAAATTTATATTTGTAAAGGAGTTTTTCTTTTAAAAACGCGGAACAGCAGTCTAAAATCCTTTTTATTGTTGTTTTCCTTAATCATAGCGGCGACCAGTGATATAAATAAACACCAAGCCGTCCGTTAAACTCGGACTTAAGCCTTAAGTAAAGAGTGATAAGCATCAAATTTCTCCATATAATATCTGATGTTATATAAAGCAGCTTCGTAATGAGAATTAAGAACATGATTTCTTCATGTGTTATTAACTTCACCCCACCAGTTCTATAAGAAATAAATTTGGGCAAAAAAATTAGAATTATAATCTTGCTCTTCATCAGGCTTTTAAAAGGATTATATAGTCTCAAAGTAAGTTCAGTACGTAGTGAGACTAGCCATTATTTGCGCTAACTAAAAGTTGAATTTCGTCTTTAATTCGATCTATCAGGCAACCAATCACAGATCAATGTGCCCTTGCCTAGATGATACACTGGCTCGAATCTCAACTACTTCTTACAGCATTTACTGAAGATAACCTCCTAACTTCACCATCGAAGGGTTCAACCTTCACGGGATTTGTTGTGTCGTGTTTGAGATGTCTAAAGCAGAGATTGCTATACTGTGCGGTGCAATTTTCCAAGGATTTTTCATCTTTCTTGGCAATTTTATCACTGTATTTGTGTTTTGGATGCATCGACACAAATTGAAGCGAACTTCTTTTCTCCTTATCAACTTGTCAGTTACAGATATGCTTGTTGGACTCACACAAATTGCCATGGTCGGAGCTATTGCCTTTCCACGTACTACTGGTGTACGCAAAGTTAGCAACAAATATTCGCCAGATATTACAACCTGTTTTCAAGCTGCATTTTCAACTGCATCTGTGTTTTTTCTCGCTCTCATTTCACTGGAACGAGCCTTCGCTTTGATGTGGCCTCTTCGACATCGCGTGACAAGCACCGGTACTTACATCTACAGTATTGTACTCGTATGGACAGCTGCAATGACAGTTGGTGCATCGTGTTTGTTAGCTGTGTACGGTATCCTGAAATACAGATATTACATGGCTCTCTTGTCCATTGTCATTATTTTAAGTTTGGTTATAGTCTCCCTGTCTTATTTAGCAATTCGAACAAAACTCACACATCAAGGCCCGGCTATCAATACTGCACATAACAGACAGGATAATGAACGAAACGCAAAGCTTTCTAGAACTTTGTTTATTGTCATAGGTGCGTCAGTCATTTTCTGGTTTCCAGGCCTTGTAGTTTACTTAATCTCTTTATTTTTCACTCCCGGTCAACATTCTACCATTTTTATCTTCCTGTTTAGCACAATGTTACACGTAACCAATTCTCTCGTGAACCCAGTTATTTATAGTTTAAGAATGCCAGTCTTTAGAGAAGCTTTTAAGCGAGTAAAAAAGAAGGTAAGAATTCGAAGGCAACACAAAACCTACACAGTTTACTATAAATCTTCTAAAGTGGAAACATAATTGTTATGATTCGGGCGGAAAAGTAAAACAGTTTTACCTACGTCTCCTAACTTGCTCCTTGAACTGTGCGTTCAGCATTTATTTCAAGGGAATAAAGTCAAAGATAGCATGATATTTAGCATTGCATTATAGTCTTTTTACTGCACTGTATTTGAAAATCTACTGAAAATAGCTGTGCACGTAGATAGATTGCGTCTGTGGTATTATAATCAAACATCATTGTACTCCAAACTTGTCAATAGACTAACATAAATCTCTGAAGTGATAAACTTCGTTATAAGTTTATGACATGGTAGTTTTCGCTGAATTTTAATCTTTTACTCCATCAATATCTGACTTAATTAAAAGATCGAATTATCTTGGCCGGTTTTTTTTTAATAGAGCAAACGAAATTAATTCACAGTTTGTCTTATATTTTAGGATTCGCTGCAAAAACTACAATAGAAAAGTATTAATGATTTTATGTAAATATAGTGGTAAGGTTCATAAACGAAACAATCGTCTTCTTCACAGTCTCTTTTTAGCTATATCTTTTAAAAACCACACTGAAAACCAAAATTTAAAGCCTTTGTAGAGAAACACCTCCTAACTAATTTATGTGTAAACCGGAATAATCCCCCCTTATCTGATAAGAGTTATTGATAATATTCCGAAAATCAAACATTGCTCAAATGTTATTTATATGATAAACAGCTTCCACTTCAGAGGGCTTTCTGTTAATGAGGCTTCCGTTTTAGAAAAACCATTACTGGGGCAATGACTGCAATGGCAATGACCAAGCGTGAAAAAAGGAGCACTTCCTTTCCTTTTTAATGTAAAAAGGACATTGTTCCTTATTTATTAAACATGTAGAAGTTTTTAACTTCTTTTACTTTTTTTAAGTTCTTCTACTTTATCAAAACCTCGCATTAACACAATTATCTTCAGTCTCCTCGAAACCTGGGTCATGTATGTTCAGTTTGAACTCCAAAACAACTTCTCCTTTTGATAGCAACAACAATAGCTTTTGTTCCATCGCGAACAAATCTTACAGCCTTTAGACTACAATTTTCTTCGAGAGCGAAAAGAGCATGTTCTGACACCCCACCCCCGGGTAGGGTCGTCACATTGCAAGTGTAGTTTCACAGGGGGTCGAGACGATCTACCGCTTCGGGTTCGGGCCCGAACAATACAAAAACTTTACTCTGCTAATGATTAATTTTAACTCGTTTGAATGTTATATAAGCCTTAAAAGGTTTTTTCACCCTAATTGCACATTTTACCTTTTCATGTCATTTTTATCAAATTAAATATCGGAGCATAAAATGAAGTAAATAGTCTCTTATAAATCAGTCTTTTAAAAGCTCTTTCAGTAAAAGCTACATTCTTAATATGACCGTACCTTATTTAACTTCAACCGAGGTAGCGGAAACAAAAATAATTATTTCCAAAGTTTTATTATTAAAAAACTGGTTAAATATCTGGTGAATATTATGTTCAGGTCGAGTTTATCCTCAACAGAGTTAAAACAATATTCTGTTCCGTCTGCTTGTACAGCAAAATTCCTACGGAACCGTTTTTGTCGCTACTTCACTGTACGTCGTCATTCTGTTCGGGAATACTTTTACTGTATATGTTTTCTGGATTCATCGCCACAAAAACGCGAACGTTTCTTCTTGTTATTAGCTTGACTCTTGCAGATCTATCGGTTGGGTTCACTGGAAAACTCATGGTACTAGGAATTATATACTGGACTAAACAAAGTCACTTACCAAGAAATTTCCGAGATCTTTCTTTCCGCGTTTGTAACCGTATCCTTGTATTTTTTGCTTTCATTTGGCCGCTATCGAGTAAAAAGCATCAAGGTTTACTTCTACAGCGTGATTATGGTTTTGTTAGCCGGAATTAGCTCAGCTAGGTGCACTGAGACTTCTAACCACGTATAGAATTTTTAAATTTTTGGTATTATGTAGTTGGTTACTTGGTAACTCAGTCCTAATTTATTTCTCTTTGATCAGGATCTGTGTGTCGTACGTATCAATCCGGAAAAAGGATTAACAACAGAAATCCAGCTATCGAGGTAATACACAACAGGCAAACTGTGGAACAAAATACAAAACTCTCCAAAACCTTTTTCATTGTCATAGCTGCGTCTGTTGCTTTATGTGCTTCGAGCGCCACATTGCATAGTGTAAATGCGGTGTGTCCAAGTTTGCTTCTTTGGTTTATGAATTGTACTTCCTTGATGCTGAATCATATTTTCAATTTATAGTTACAGAATTCCAGTATTCAGAAAATCCAGAACAAAAAACAGATTAAAAATAAAATGAAAGTTTTCAAGCGATCGAAAAGATATACAGTGAGCGTTGAAACCCAAACGATGATTCCAATCACGACGCCGCCATTGCAGCAATGGAAGCTTGCCTCTGTGACATCCGTAGCTCGATGATCAATGACAAACTCATGATCAATGATTCCAAGACTGAGTTTATGCTCATTGGGACGAAGGCGCAGCTACAGAAAACTAAAAGCGCTACTCCAACTATTGGCGAATCCATCATCTCTCCCAGCATGGAACCCCTTAGAAATTTAGGGGCCTGGTTCGACTGCCATTTCAACCTGAACTTTAACATAACCAAAACTTGTAGGAGTGCTTTTTTTCATCTACACAATATTAGACGCGTCAGAAAATATCTAAGCATAAAATCTGCCGAGAAATTAGTCCACGCTTTCATCACAAGCAGATTGGACTATTGTAACTCACTTTTATACTGACTACCCCGCTGCGCCCTCACTAAACTGCAGCGTGTTCAAAACGCAGCTGCAAGAGTTCTATATCTAGCACCACGGTATTGCCATATTACACCAATATTATACGAATTACACCGACTGCCTGTAACTTAAGATTACTATAATCACTCACAAAGCAATCCATGGAACAGCTCCTAATTATTTACCATCTCTCGTTAACTTTAAACCTAATTCTTCCTACAGCCTCAGATCAAATAACAAATATCTGCTTTCAAATCCAAACTTCAGGACTTTCCCTACTCTTGGTGACCGAGCCTTTGTAGCCACCGCACCAAAACTGTGGAATAATCTTCCGTTAGATCTTAGACGCACCTCCGATTTTGAAGTTTTTCAACGTAATTTGAAGACTCACCTTTTTAAGAACACCTTTTATTCATTCGTGTAATTTTTAATTGTGAGGCGCATTTGAAAACTGTATAGTGGAATTTGCGCGGTATAAATAAATGTTACTATTATTATTAGTAGTAGTAGTAGTATTAGTATTAGTATTAGTATTGATTCTAAACTAATAAAGGTATGCTACTTCTTGCATGACACAACTGACAGAATCATGGGATTCCTTGCAAGGAACAACAAGGTTGTGATTGCTTATTGAAGTAATAAACCATCGTATCGATTGTTTATCGCTAGCATCTTCCAAATATGGTCAGCGACAACCAGGGAGGGGTTTAAGCCAATCAGAAACGACAGAATATCAGCTTTGAATGAATAATAAATTTCTGTCATCTAATCGATGCACACCTGCCTTAATAACATCCTGGCACAAATCTGCAATATTTTTCACTGCATTATTTTACTAAAGATAAGCTACCTCGCCATCGAGAGGGTCGACCTTAACATTTTACTCTGACAAGTCTGAAATGTCTAAAGCCCCTGAGATTGCAGTGTTGGGGGTTGCAATTTTCCACGGTTTTTGCATCTTTCTTGGCAATTTTTTCACAGTCTTTGTGTTTTGTATTCATCGAGATAAATTGAAGCGAACGTCTTTTCTCCTAATCAACTTGGCAGTGGCAGATATGCTTGTTGGACTCACTGAAATAGCTATGGTCGGAGCGATTGGCCTTCCACAAATGACTGGGCTACGCAAAATTGGCAACACAGATTCACCTGATATTTCAACTGTTTTTCAAGCAGCATTTTCGACAGCATCTGTACTTTTTCTCGCTCTCATTTCACTGGAACGAGCCTTCGCTTTGCTGTGGCCTCTTCGACATCGTGTAACAAGCACCAGTACTTACATCTACAGCATTATACTCGTATGGATAGCTGCATCTACAGTGGGTGCATCGTGTTTGTTAGTTGTTCATGGAACCTTGAAATATAAATTTTACATGGCCTTCCTATCCATTGTCATCATTTTTTGTTTGATAACAGTTTCCCTGTCTTACTTAGCAATCCGAACAAGACTTACTCAACAAGTTCCAGCTATCGACAACGCACATAACAGACAGGATAATGAACGAAACAAGAAGCTTTCCAGAACTTTGTTTATTGTCATAGGTTCATCTGTCGTTTTCTGGGTTCCAGGCCTTGTCGTTTATTATCTTAATTTTATTGTTTTTTTTACGACAAAGTATTTCAATTTTCCATTCCAATAGCTTTTCTTCAAATCGAATCAATATCAGACTTAATTTAAAGATCGAAGAATCACCCATTATGTTTATGGAGCAAACATCATAATTTCACCAGTCGTCTTTATGGGTGTAGCCCCGGGGGGGGCGTGGGGTGCTGCCACATATGGGCTATATAGGTATGTGCCGCTGAGAAGGGTTTGGTTTTGAAGCAGTTTACTTTAGGATAGGGTATATACATCAGAGCGTTTGGGTCTAGAATAGGGTATCATTTTTCAGGAAACTGATCAGTTGGTTGAAGATTTTATGTAGACTAGGGATTGTGGTATAAGGTTTTGTTTTGCTAGTCTGTGCTAGTGACCTCAGTAGATTCTGGAAAACAGCTACTCTAGGATAGTGGGGATTTGGGGAGTTTACTCTAGCATAGGGTAGCAAAATTCAGCTGAAATAGCTCTGTTATAGGTTAAAGGTTCCACGGTCCCAGCGACACATCCCTACCCAGACATTCCTAAATAAACGCCGCATTGTTCTCATCCTCGGAGACCCAGGGGCAGTCAGTCGAGTCAGGATAAAAGATGCGACGAAATTTTTCAAGTACGGGCAAAGGAGCTTGAAAAAGAACAGTGCTAACTTTTTCGGTAAAAAGAGTACAATGAAACTTCATATTTTTAAAAAATTACGCGAATAGCCTGTAAGTCAAATGTCTTCCTCGTAGTCATTCTCGTCCTCAAATCTAAATTTATCTAATGTAACTATATTAATATAATTTTAGAAAACAAAAGTGGAAGACGACTGACTAAAAAATATTTTTACATGCTTTCAAGGAAAGAAAAAGCTTCCTCGTTACTATCCGGATAAGCACAATGTTTAAGTGACTAATAAAGTTGCAGCACTTTCTAATATATTTTTTTAATCATGACAGGAAGCAACGATGCAAATTAAATAATTGAGGACTAATAGTGAGCCACGCTCCAGTTATGCACCTATTAATGTAAAGCCGGCGGGGGGGGGGGCAGGGCATGGGGTGGGGATTTGATTGTCTTTTTTGGCCCTGGGGTAGGGCATGTGACTGATCTTGTTCTCCCAGGGGAGGGGGTTTTGAATCTTTCTTCGCCCAACGTGGAGATATTTGACTCTCTACTCGGACGAAAAAGACTGAGACCGAACATATGTTTCCCGCTTCCACGCTTCACGCATACGCCGTACGGTTTGAAAAGATCAGGAAGTCATGGAGGCCAATGAGAACAAGCGAAGGCTGAGTGGATTTCACTGTTTTGTTTTCAAATTTCGTTTGTTTAAAACTGTGGTATCAAAGTAAACGGAAGTAAAGAGAAACCAAGTCGATTTTTGCCAGTACAATTGACTAGTGTATGGCTCATTCGCTACAACCACTGTAAACTCATAAAACTGACTTTCTTTGTACCCTTTACTAAGAACGGTATATTTAAACTTACAAAATGGGACTTTCTCCCAAAGGTTTATGTATTCTACGCAGTGTAACACGGGATTGTGGTTAAAACGTATAATTGCAGCGGTAACAGGAACATGTATCTTTGGTGATGCAGCAACGTTTATAACAGATTGAAGAGTTTCATTTGGAGATATTTTTATTGTGCCTTTCTTGGATTCTGCCTTGGGATTGACACTGCAATGTGCAGCCTAGGGTGGGGAAATTTGGTTGCATTTGACTGGAACGAAAAAAGTCAAATCCCCACCCCATGCCCTGCAGGGTCAAAAATGTCTAAGCAGAAGAATAAGAGCGATTTTAAGGCCAAGAGCATAGCAGAAATGTAGGAACGACGAGTGCTTGTAGTGGAAATTCTCGCCTCAGCAGCTGAAATGGTTTTATAAACATTGGAACTAAAACCGGTGATGTAGGCAAATTCTTTCTCTTTCGTTGGCATTTAGCGAAAGCTGCCACTAGTAATAAACTTACGTAAAACAAAAACAATCTCTCACAATAGAAAGTTTCTCGGAGATAACAGTTGTGGCCGGATTCAATTACCGTCGGTGCTAAGGGGAGGTACCTCCCATCAATTTTGTACCGTGCTTCGATGGTTTAGTTTAAAACAGAGGTTTAAAGGCTACAGCAATTTAAAGAAACCCAATCGAACCACCTGTTTAAATACATTGTTTGATTTCTTATCATATATTTTTTTGCTATCGGCTTTTTGCTCTTAATTCAGACTGTTAGCAGCTACGGAGGGTTTTCCGATAAATGATTTTACCTTTTCGAAAATACCGTAAAATTCCGAAAATAAGCCCCGGGGCTTAAATTTTTCAAAGGCCCTTTTTGAGGGGTTGTTTTTTGGAAGGGCTCAAATTCGGAAAGGGAAATTTGCGTTTCAAAATCGGCTACGAATATACTGGGAGGAAAATGGGCTAGCTTATAGTTGGAAGGAAATTTAAGTCAGTAGTTTGTCGCACTCGCCTTAAGGACGTAAATCTTTCTTAAACTCAGCCATGTAAGTACTTTCTCTATATGTCCTGAGGAAATCCAACCAAGACTGAATAGATAACAATGCAAACAGCAATATACTGTGACACTTTTTGATTGCAACCATTAGGCACACGTCATAAATCTTTGGCAAATTCAAAAAAATTATGTTACTGTACCGTTTTATTTTGAATTTGAGGGCAATTTCCGAGTGGCTTTTCTTCGTTTCTCAAAAAGAATCTTTGTTAATATCAGACAATTGAGTAACCTGCGAGCAGTGGTTTCTCCAGGCCGGACGCTGCGCTACGAAAGGGGAGAAACCACCGCGCCACAAAACAACTATAAATCAAATCCTCACTGATAAGTCAGTCTTTCTCAACCTGTTTAAGTTATAAGGAATAATGTGTGAATTTGAAATAGATCACATATACCATCACATATAGTTCATACGAGTCGCTGATGGTTCATTGTTACTTCTAGTGCAACTCAATATAGTAAATTCTCAGAGCATACACAATTGGCCCGTGACGTGGGAAATGAGTAACTTCTTTAATTTCCGTCTTGTTGGGCCTGCGCCCTGGTGGCATAATGAATTGCTACCCATAGTTAGAATTGCTCGGTTTTTGCCCGCCTTTTGGCCAGTTCCACGGAGTTCAGTGGAAGCGACTTCAAGTTTCGCCCCTCCCACCTCCCCTGGTGGCGGTTGGTCTCGCATATAATTCAGCTCCCCGTGTGCGGTGCGAATATTATACGACAGGAGCAATTTTCGCCCGCTCTGTTCTCTACTGTTCCTTGAAGATCTGCTCATAGATTATCGCGATTTGACCCATAAATAACAATTACTATTAATGTCGAATCTTCATTGAATTCACCTTTCCTTGCTAACAATAACCCTGTCAACAAGGCCTTTCTTTCGCTTGTTCGATTTTGGCGTAACCGAAAAAGACTCTGCATGAATCGAATAACATCCTTGTTGAACATGCGCGGCACGTTGTTAAAAGATATAGTTTCGAACTCAGGTCACTCTGAACTCAGGCCTTAAGCGCACCGTGCGTTTGCTTCAGCGGGGTCGGTAATGACCAGTTTGACGAGACAAAACAAGATTGTTTAGTCCAGAAGTTCGGGCTGCGGCGACCTGAAAGGTTTGACGTGATTCAGGCAGAGCCTCTTTTTCTCCTCTTCATCCAATGAGGCTCTGCTAGCAGGGTGTTGAGAAGCTACAATCCTGGTCAAAAGGCCTTGGGTAAGTGATGCGATATTCGAGATTCCTGTCATTTTTTGTTGTCGTAATAAAAAAGTGCTACCTTTTAGAAAATACCCCATACATTGTTAACACCCCGGAATAATTTTGGAGATACGCGTTCAACGTCGCTTGTGGAGTGAGGGGAGGGGTTGGCCACATGTGACTCGAAAAAAGCCTCATGAAAGGGCTATTTACAGCTAGTGGTTCGCGTGGTACAAAATCGCTATATTGGAAAGCAAGAGATGCCTGGGACAAGACAAACGAAGGAAATTTTCATTTTAAATGATATCAGCTCTTTGTTTGTGTTGTCCCAGTACGTCCCTTGCTCTCCAGCATAGTAGACAGACTGATGCTAGACTGAGAAAACAGCTGACTTTCGCGACGCCACCACTAGTTTTCCCGCAAAACGACTTTTAAGGAGCGACCGCAGACGACGCATCAGTACCCAGACCTAAGTAGTGCATCTCTTTGCATGGTTCAAGCAAATTTCCCACGCTTCATGACCAGTCGTATCTGGGTGGCGTGACGTCATCAGTATGGAGTTTCTGCAAGTCGTATATGGAGTTTCGCGTTACCATCCGCTGTTCGTGTTGCTGCTTCCCAACCAGCGTTTACGCATGGCTTAAAAATCAGATCTTAAATCAAAACTGTGAAAAGTTTGAACCCTGGAGCAGATTTAAAACGGCGGATGCAAGGTTGTGGTTTGATGTCGCGTGAATCGTGTGTCCGTTTAAAGCTTAAACTTAAATGTTGTGTGAAACTGAACTGACGTTTCGACAACCTGTGCGGTAGTCATCTTCAGAGTCAAAGACTGCCGCACAGGTTATCGAAACGTCAGTCACTGTCAACAACAACAGTCCTATTCAGGACTACGTTCACCCGGACGATCAAACTCAACCTACTTTTGAAACTTAAATGATTTACAAAGAAAAGTATTAGCTTAGAGAAACTGGCAAATGGTGGGTATGATTTTCAAGTTCGACCAACCGCAACCATGGTTGTTGACAGCTAACGCGAAAGAGACGACGGTGAAGTTCATCGGTAAGGCAAGATCGATGTAAATACAATCCGTAAGTTTTTCTGCTGATTTTTTGCAAATACCAATGCGACGACGAGGCAAAGTACAACATTTCTTCGGTATTTAATTACATTCCGCATTTCCGATGTTGGGTAACGACGCATAAATTAAAATTTTGAACTTACGTCACAGACGTGATAGGCCACTCACGCTTCCAGCCGTCTCTTCTCGGGGAGGACCGAGACAGCGGCGGAAAACGAGCCTAATACTCTACGTCCATATCTCGAAAAACCTCGCGTGTCTCGTATGCCACTAAAGTTAAGTAACCCTTTTTGGGTGGGGTCAGGAACTGCATGGGTTTCTAACCGAGAATATATCCTAAAGACTCCTAACACTGTAAAAAAACAGCCAAGGTTGTGGGAATAATTTAATGATTTCAATGATCACTTTAAGCCCTAGCATTCAAGCGCTATCCACTGGACAAAGATCTCTCTAGCGTATAACGTAATTGTTTCCCCGAATATTTATCCGTTGGACAGTTATTCGTCTGGTAGAAAGCACTATCCAACGTTTGGACAACCGAAGGCAGGAAAATAAGCAACGCTTTAACGATAAAAAAAACAACACTCAAACGCATTTCCGATACACACTCGTGGCGCAAATATCAACAGTTTCTAGGCTGTTTAATATGTAAAACATAATAGTCTAGAGAGCACTTTAATTCAAACCAAACACTGTATTTTCCATTTTTGAACAAAATGAACATAAGCTAAAAGAAACTTAAAAACAGAACCACTAAAAATATTTTTCTTTGTCACGAAAGCGACACGTCTACAAGATAAGGGTACAAATAAAAATTTCAAGCGTCAAAGTTCCAAACCTAACACCGCTCCTAAATATACAAAAAAATATTAACAACAATGCTGCCTCAAATATTAACCACTAATGTAATGACCCCAGTGATCAGAATCATAATGATGTTATTACTGGGAAAATGACCGATTAAAAAGAACTGCCTCAACACTATCAAAGTTAATAAGGAATGCCAAAAAACTCAACTTATTATAAGGATAAGGCCACACAAACAGCTGCTTTGCGAGTAACGAATAACTCTCACTTTCATGAGGCCTCATCGCTAAAATCGTTTTGTTACACTTTTAAATTTCCTTTAAAGGCCACTCGTCTACACGGATCGTTCTTACACACAACGCAGTATATCTTCAAACCATTAGTCTCCCGTACAACAGATCCGCAATTTATGTTTCTTTTGCTTCGCTGTGCTTCGACGACAAAATATATGAGCCGAAAACATAACGGTTCCAAATGTAAACTTTTTTGCAAATGATTGACACCATAGGAACTGCCTTGTTACCTTTTTCAACGAAAACAAAACAGGAGGTTCCTAAGGGTCTTCAATCCCTAAAAGCATCAATCAAACAAGAAACTGAAACTGAACTTTTTTGCAAATGATCGAAACCAAAAAAATTGAAGCTAGACTGTAAATGTTAAGAAACTCTTTCCTCGTCTATTTGCAGAAAACAGTTTAAGTGTCTTAAGTGTCCAAGGAGTCTGCCATCACTAAATGCACCAATCAAACCAGAAACTAAAACTGAAACTACGACAATACAAGGGTCGCGCGCTTTACCCTGAATTTCATCCGATTACTTCGAGTCGTTATAACTCCCTCAGTAACGTCTGAATCGACCAGCCGTTAATGCCGTCCAGTGACGTCACTACACCTTGACCTTTGCTTTAATTCATGCAAAACGTAAAACACGATTTTCAAGTGGAAAACCGAGAAATATCTTTGAAAATGTCTGCATGACACAGAATTGCTCTATTTTTTCGATCGTAACTCATGTTTAACGTTAAAACTATCAACTGCTTGCAGTACAACTCTGAACAGGTTGTAGTTCTGTAATCAAACTCGGTCTCAATCACGCAATGAAATAAACACACACACGGGACCCTTAGTACAAAAACACAATTAAAGTAAAGTAAAGTAATTAAAAGGAAGCTATTTCGTCCTTAACGAAGAAAAAAAGCAAGGAAACAAGAAAGAAAAGCTAACAGAATCATTACACCTGACGGTTAAAATAGCAAGAAGGTTGAATTATAACATTGATCTTAGAAAACTTGGCATAAACAAAATCACCGGCCGCCGAAACCACAAAGCGGCGCTCTAAATGAAAAACCTACCGACTCTCCGCAATGATTCTTCCTTGGCAGTTCAATTTAGCATTTCAGTTTCGAAGACAAGGGCAATTTTGCTGTTTAAGATAAAGATTAGGCTTATCGAAATGTTTGAACTACAGGAAAGAATGCAAGGGATGCGATCCGCTGAATATCAAACGACAATCCCGCTAAAATTTTTCATAATTATACATAATTATGAGAATGTTTAGACAATCAACCAATTAAAACCACTACCCGGTTTTCGGGTAGTGAGTGACGTCACTGGACGGCATTAACGGCTGGTCGATTCAGACGTTACTGAGGGAGTAATAACGACTCGAAGTAATCGGATGAAATTCAGGCTACTCGCGCTTACCAGAAATGAACTTGTAATGAGGGTAAACGGTGCAAATGATTCGCTATAAAAAGCATAACTTTTGAACTTTTCTTAAAAGCAATCCTGGTTCGTTTCTTGCTTGAAAAATCTTCCCACTTCTAACAAAACTCAAATAGTGTTTTGTGTTGAACCTTTTTTCACACTCCACTTTCTACAAACCATCAAAAGTAGCCTTCTAATAACATTTTCCTTAAATTTTCGGGTTAATTGAAACAAAGCAACTACGTTTTTGATACCCTCTACTTAGTGTTGAGAGCCGGTTCTAGCATACTATCAACTGGGAAGAACATTAACACTAAACAATTAGGAAAATTCTTTTAAACAAACAAATCACCCAGATCCAAATTAATTTAACGTTTAGTTAAATAGCTTACATTTACAAGGAAATATTAAGAAGTCACACAATTTTGAATACGTTAATTAAATTACGACGTTGGCTCCAGTAACCTCATATGGTCATCATAATGTTGACGAAGCAGCGACTTGGTCTTAATCATCCTAAGACAAATCCAACAACGGTGTCTTTCTTCGTGTACTTTAAGAGATGTCCTCCAACAAAAGGCCTTGTTACACTGCTTGCACCTGAAAGGTTTTTCACCCGTGTGTATTCGTTCATGCGCTCTCACATATCGTTCCCAGCGAAACGCCTTCTCACAATGGTTGCACTTAAATGGCTTCTCACCAGTGTGTATTCTTTCATGTTTTTTCAGATTTCCTGCCTGGCTAAAGGCCTTGTTACAGTGCTTGCACTGAAACGGCTTCTCACCAGTGTGTATTCTTTCATGTGCTTTCAGATGTCCTGCCTGGCTAAAGGTCTTGTTACATTGCTTGCACTTAAACGGCTTCTCACCACTGTGCGTTCTCTCATGTTTTTTCAGACTTCCTGCCTCGCTAAAGGCCTTGTTACAACACTTGCACTTAAATGGCTTCTCACCACTGTGTGTTCTTTCATGTCTTTTTACATCTCCTGCCTGGCTAAAGGCCTTGTTACAATGCTTGCACTTAAATGGCTTCTCACCTGAGTGTCCTCTTTCATGTGCTTTCAGATTTCCTGCCTGGATAAAGGCCTTGTCACAATGCTTGCACTTAAATGGCTTCTCACCTGTGTGTCTTCTCTCATGTACTTTCAGATTTTCTGCCCGGCTAAAGGCCTTGTTACAATACTTGCACTTAAACGGCTTCTCACCACTGTATGTTCTTTCATGTCTTTTCAGATCTCCTGCCTGGCTAAAGGCCTTGTTACATTGCTTGCACTTAAACGGCTTCTCACCACTATGTCTTCTTTGATGAATTTTCAGATGTCCTGCTTGGCTAAACGCCTTGTTACACTGCTTGCACGTAAATGGCTTCTCACCGGTGTGTATTCGTTCATGTTTTTCAGATTTCCTGCCTGGCTAAAGGCCTTGTTACATTGCTTGCACTTAAATGGCTTCTCACCAGTGTGTATTCTTTCATGTTCTTTCAGACTTCCTGCCCGGCTAAACGCCTTGACACAATGCTTGCACGTAAATGGCTTCTCACCAGTGTGTATTCTTTCATGTACCTTCAGATTTCCTGCCTGCCTAAAGGCCCTCTTACCTGTGGGTGTGGGTGCAAACACTTAACCTTTTTCTTCTATAATAGTCCAATATGCATTAAAGTTGCTACTAATGCTTTGGAAATTTCACCTACAAAAAAAAATATTACATGTATATTCATCTTCAGACTATGAAAGCAGCACTGTTACTAACAGCCGGGGTCCGGGTATTTCCTTAGCCAATACGAGCAAGAAAACAGACAAAAAACACTTCCTGTTTGTTCAATTCCCGCCTATTAAATGCATATACCAAGCAAAGTGAAGTTAAAGTGACAGCCCTGTAAAAACTTAACATTTGTTTACATTTCGAGAAACCTTTCAAAACTGTTTTTGGTGCCCTAGACAATAATGTCCCAACATGCCTATCAAAAGAACCACAATTCAACGAGGCTGACACAATGTGCAAAAAGCTGAGAAGTTTCCTCCAAACGGCTGATAATTAAAAACTGACCACAGAGTCTATTTGGTGCTATGCATGTTTCAACAAACACAAAAAGATACATGCTAACATGGATGGTGAAATTATGCAAGATGTCATGTTGCTACTTTGAAAACCAAAAAAACTAAGTTGTTTACAAGATATGGTAGAAAATATGACGATGGGCAAAAAATGCTACATATGATTCACAGGGTCATTCCATCTAATAATCACAAACCCAGTTCAGGACATTATACAATGTCTTACATGAAGCAAAAAGCATCAAAAATTGCTCTTATAACCGTAATAACGAAATAGTTCTCCCCCGCAAAAACCCTAATATGAATGGAGGGCACCAAAGTGGGAATTAAATGGGCTCAATTCCAAAAAAAGGCTTAGAGTTCTATTTTATCGGGGTCCTTTTGTGACCCATAAGGAGAACAGGAGAAGGTTGAAGTATTCAGGAGAGATAACACATATGCATGTGCATTAATACAATTTTTCCAGCACATTAAGGAAAAAGTCACATTTTCTTAATGTTAACAGTAACATCAAAACAACTCGTCAACGTAATTGCCATGTGAGTGGAGGTGGTTTGGTTATTGAATTATAAATGGAATGCCCACAGCCAAAAAAACAACACCAATGTTAGGGCAAAAACAAGAGACCAAGAACGGAAATACTTCTCCTCCAGATCCATGGAGAATTTAGATCAGATGTAATGAGTCCATAACCTCAAATGAAATATAAAGAAGCACGCCAGGGTGACATCACTCACATAAATAGTAAGAGTTACAAAACATCAACATGACACAAATAACTTAAGATAGCTTTGAATCTAAAGCAAAATTGATATTTTTTCACATTTCCTTTTACCTTCAAAGTCTGCTTTCAACACCAAACAGTTTCTTGTGCGGTTTAAATAAATATTATATTAAATCGATGTCAACGCAACCTAAATGCTAGCTTACGCTTCACTGTTATCATCGTTTGTTTTTGAGCTGGTAATACAGCTTGGCAAAAAATGTCTGATTTCTCCACATTTAAGTCTATTAGTTCAATTATATATCCGGATCGTAAAACATACAACTAATACACGTACCTCTCAATGTCATCATCTGTGAACGTTTCACGAGCAAAGATGGCGACTTTCCCATGTCTTCCCATGCTCCTTTGTTTCTTCTTAAAAACCCCCATTCCCAGTTCCCATCGCGTTCAAGATGGTCCGAACTGACAGAAATATTTGTTTTAATTCAAAAATATACGCCATCAGTTATTCCATTAACCCCCCCCCCCCCCCCCACTGTTTATGTAAACATTTCTAGAGTGTCCGATATTAAAAATTATTGTATTTTAAAAATGTCACAATTACTGACAACAATTACGAGAATTTATTTAGAAACATTAGTGTAAAGCAGAAAGATTTTTAAAGTTCCAATGTGTCCCTTTTTTGCTGAGATGGAATAGTTATTGTCTGGATGATGTAGATTAAGTTGTCCCAAGTGCTTCACGCATAATCTTTGAACAAACGCCGCGGCCCCGTTTATTGATTGATTGCTTTCTACACAGCGTTGATGGATTGTTCTGAATGGGAGCGGTATTATAGGATAGTTTTCCATCTGCGGAGTTACAGTAAAGCGTACTACCATCCCCTCTCCACCAAGACTGAATTAATAATTTCATTATTGGAAGCTTTTAAATCGGCCTTTGGTTGTGAATTTCCGTTTCAATTTCTCCACTCCTGCGTACTTAATGAGCAGTGAAATTACACGCGAGGTAGTTATGAAATTTCTTCCAGGTCGGTTTTCTTGAAATTGATGTAAACGTCCTTAAAGCAATTTTATCCATTTTAAAAAGAGATGTTTAAATCTTATAGAATACAGAGGGTTTTCCGCAAGTGCTATGGATGTCACAGAACAAGTACCAACTCCGGATTCCAGTTAAGGATCCGGGTTCCTGCATGCTTTTATGCCGCAAACGCGAATACGGAGAAGTTATCTTAAAAAAGTCATTGTTCATTATGCGCATGCAGGAAAACAGATTTGAATTTGAGGCTGGTTGAGGCAACGACTAACACATTCATTTCTTCAAATGATCTCTTCACTAATGAAATTCTGGGGGTACACTTGACCAGTCTTCAGTTGTAATCACCGATGACGGCATTTTATCAAGTAAATACGGCATAGACACAAGTCCAAGGGATAATAATTTAAATGAACGTAAAACAAAAACAATCTCTCACAACGGAAAGTTTCTTGGAGATATAAGTTGTGGCCGGATTCATTTACCGCCGGTGCTAGAGGAGTTCCTCCCGTCAAACGAACCTTCGAAATTCCGGATGTGGTAAAGGAGAGTAACGTCGCTATATTTGCCCACGACACAAAGATCTCTTGAAAGAGGTCAAGTCTGTTGCTGATGTTGTGTCTCTCCAGTCGGATCTGAATCGACTCGACGCTTGGTCAAAAGACTCCGGTCTCACTTTTAACGAGACAAAATCCAAGGCTCAGAGAATATCCAGGAAACTGAAGCCAATCGAGTCATCGTACACCATCAAAGGGAAAGTTCTAGAGTCAGTGGTTACCGAGTGTGACTTAGGAGTCCTTGTCGCTTACGACCTCACATAGAGCAAACAAATGTTTGAGCAGCCGTGTCGCCCAAATAAACTGTTAGGTTACATTAGACGTAATACTGGATTCACACGAAGCACTGACGTTAGGCGATCGGTTTATCTCACTTTAGTTAGATCTCTTTTCGGCTATGGAACCCCAATTTGGGCTCCTCAGTCTATCGAACTAATTACAAAAATTGAAAGGACATAGAGGTGTGCCACTAAATATATTCTGAAATTGCCTTTTTCCTGCACAATTTCAGAACACCCTCTATCAAGGGGACACTAAGCCGGGTGCCGAAACGAACGTCTGATATTTCCCTTTATTACGAATCCCTATTCAGCGGACACCTCTATTAAGCGGATGTGGACTGAATTGACAATAGTGGTATCCAATTACGTCCTTGAAATACGTACTGAAGTCAGCTAATGTTTTTGCATTTACAAACAAATTAAAGTTGGTAATAAAAGATAATGAACCGTAACTCTAGATAGCGTCTTTAATAACATGCAACTTTATCACACTGGTACAGAGTAACCGTTGAATGTTGATCGTCAACAAACATTGCGCAAACAAACATTGCGCAATTTCCACCAATCAGATTGTTACCAGCTCAAATCGAGCAGGCAGCATAAGTTTGTTTTCCAGGAACAGATTTAAAACGGCGGATGCAAGGGTGTTGTTTGATGTCGCGTGCGATCGTGTGTTTGGGCTTTTAAAGCTTAAAAACTTATAATATTTACAAAGAAAAGTATTAGCTTAGAGAAACTGGCAAATGGTAGGTATGATTTTTAAGTTCAACCAACCGCAACCATGGTTGTTGACAGCTAACGTGAAAGAGACGACTGTGAAGTCCATCGGTAATGCAAGATCGATGTAAATACAATCCGTACGTGTTTCTCCTGGCAAATGCCAATGCGACGACGAGGCAAAGTACAACATTTGTTCGGTATTTAAACCTCTTTTCGGGTGGCGTAAGGAACTGGATGGGGTTCTAATATATATCCTAAAGAACTCCTAGCACTGTAAAAACAACGGCCAAGGTTGTAAGATTAATTTAATGAATTCAATGATCACTTTAGGCCCTAGCGTTCAAGCGCTATCCATTGTATAAAGATCTCTCTAGCGCATAACGTGATTTTTTCCCCCAATATTTATCCACCGGGTAGTGATTTGTCTGGAAGAAAGCACCGTGATCAAACGTTTGGACAACCGGGGGCAGGAAAATAAGCAAGCCTTTGACGATAAAAAAAAAAACAACAACTGAAACGCATTTCCGACGCACACTCGTGGCGAAAATATTAACACTTTCTAGGCTGTCTAATATGTAAAACATAATAGTCTAGAGAGCATTTTACTTCAAACCAAACACTGTATTTTCCATTTTTGCACAAAATAAGCATAACAATAAACATAAGCAAAAACAGGCTCAAAAACGGAACCACAAAAAAAAAGGTTTTCTTTGTCACGAAAGCGACACGTCTACAAGATAACAGTACAAATAAAAATTTTAAGCGTCAAAGTTCCAAACCTAACACCGCTCCTAAATATAAAAAAATATTAACGACAATGCTGCCTCAAAATTTAACCACTAATGTAATCACCCCAGTGATCAGAATCATCTATAATGATGTGATTACCGGGAAAATGACCGATAAATAGAACTGCCTCAACACTATAACGGTTAATAAGGAATGCCAAAAAACTCAACTTATTATAAGGATAAGGCCACGCAAATAGCTGCTTTGCGAGTAACGAATAACTCTCACTTTCGTGCGGCCTCATCGCTACAATCATTTTGTTACACTTTTAAATTTCCTTTAAAGGCCACTCGTCAACAGAGAACGTTCTGACACACAACGCAGTATATCTTCAAACCATTAGTCTACCGTACAAAACATCCACAAGTTATATTTCTTTTGCTTCGCTGTGCTTCGGCCACAAACTATATGAGCCGAAAACAAAAAGGTTCCAAATGTAAACCTTTTTCAAATGATTGACACCATAGGAACTGTCTTGTTACCTTTTTCAAGGAAAACAAAACAGCAGGTTCCTGAGAGACTTCAGTCCCTAAAAGCATCAATCGAACAAGAAGGTGAAACTGAACTTTTTTGCAAATGATCGAAACCACAAAAATTGAGGCTAGACTGTAAATGTTAAGAAACTCTTTCCGCGTCTATTTACAGAAAACAGTTTAAGTGTCTTAAGTGTCCAAGGACTCTACCACCACTAAATGCACCAATCAAACCGGAAACTGAAACTACGAGAATACAAGGGTCGCGCGCTTACCAGAAATTAACTTGTAATGGCGGTAAACGGTGTAAATGATTCGCTATAAAAAGCATAACTTTTGAACTTTTCTTAAACGAAATCCTGGTTCGACTCCTGCTTGAAAAAACTTGCCACTTTTAAAAAAACTCAAATAGTGTTTTGTGTGGAACTTTTTTCCACACTCCACTTTCTACAAGCCTTGAACAATAGCCCTGTAATAAAATTTTCCTTAAATTTTCGCGTTAATTGAAACAAAGCAACTACATTTTTGATACCCCCTTTTAGTGTTGAGAGTCGGTTCTAACTGGGAAGAACATTAACACTTCAAACAATTGGGAAAATTACTTTAAGCAACCAGAAGATTACCCAGATCCAAAGTAAATTGACTTTTTGTTGATTAGCTTAAATTTACAAGGAAATATTAATAAACCATTATACAAAGTTAAGTCACACAATGTTGAATACGTTGATTAAATCTACGATGTTGGGTCCAGTAACCTCATATGGTCATCATAATGTTGAAGAAGCAGCGCCTTGGTCTTAATCATCATAAGACAAATCCAGCAACGGTGTCTTTCTTCGTGTGCTTTAAGAGATTTCCTCCAACAAAAGGCCTTGTTACACTGATTGCACTTGAAAGGTTTTTCACCCGTGTGTATTCGTTCATGTTTTTTCAGATTTCCTGCATGGCTAAAGGCCTTGTTACAGTGCTTGCACTGAAATGGCTTCTCGCCAGTGTGTCTTCTTTCATGTGCTTTCAGATGTCCCACCTGGCTAAAGGTCTTGTTACATTGCTTGCACTTAGACGGTTTCTCACCACTGTGCGTTATTTCATGTACTTTCAGACTTCCTGCATGGCTAAAGGCCTTGTTACAGTGCTTGCACTGAAATGGCTTCTCACCAGTGTGTATTCTTTCATGTGCTTTCAGATGTCCTACCTGGCTAAAGGTCTTGTTACAGTGCTTGCACTGAAATGGCTTCTCACCAGTGTGTATTCTTTCATGTGCTTTCAGATGTCCTGCCTGGCTAAAGGTCTTGTTACATTGCTTGCACTTAAACGGTTTCTCACCACTGTGCGTTCTTTCGTGTACTTTCAGATTTCCTGCATGGCTAAAGGACTTGTTACAATACTTGCACTTAAATGGCTTCTCGCCTGTGTGTCTTCTTTCATGTACTTTGAGACTTCCTGCCTGGCTAAAGGCCTTGTTACATTGCTTGCACTTAAATGGCTTCTCACATGTGTGTCTTCTTTCATGGACTTTCAGAATTTCTGCCCGGGTAAAGGCCTTGTTACATTGCTTGCACTTAAACGGCTTCTCACCACTGTGTATTCTTTCATGTCTTTTTAGACTTCCTGCTTGGCTAAACGCCTTGTCACATTTCTTACAATTAAACGGTTTCTCACAACTGTGTGTTCTTTCATGTGCTTTCAGATCTCCTGCCTGCCTAAAGGCCTTGTTACAATGCTTGCACTTAAATGGCTTCTCACCTGTGTGTCTTCTTTCATGTACTTCCAGATCTCGGGCACGGCTAAATGCTTTACCACGCTCCATAAGTTTAAATGGCTTTTCATCTGTCTGTATTGTTTAGTGTAATTATAAATTTCGTGCATGGCAAAACGTCTTCCCATAATCTTTCCGTCTATACTGCATCTTACCTGTGGGTGTGGACTCAAACAATTAACCTATTTCTTCAATAATAGTCAAAAATGCATTAAATTGTTGCCTATATTTGGAAATTTTAGCTACAAAAAACTACTATAATCATCTTTAGACGATAAAAGCAGCGCTGTTACTAACGGCCGAAGAACTGGGTATTTCCTTAGCTAATAAGTGCAAGAAAATAAACCAAAAACACTTTCTGTTTGTTCAGACCCCCCGCCTTTTAATTGCATATACCAAGCAAAGTGAAATTGGAGTGACAGACTTGTAAAAAAGTAACATTTTGTTTACATTTCCAAAATCTTTTAATTCTTTTTGGCGTCCTAGAATACTAATTTGTTACCAACCTGCCTTTCAAATGACACGCAACGCAACGAGGCTGACACAATGTACAATCACTGAGGTTTGCTACAATTTGAAAACTGACCACAGAGTCTATTTGATGCTATTTATGTTTCAACAAACACCAAAAGATACATGCTACAATGGACGTTGAGGTTATCCAAGGTGTCATGTTGATGCTTTGAAAACCAAAAATAACTAAGGTGGCCACAACATATGGTAGAAATACGATGATAGCGGAGCTCCTCGCGCGCGCGAAGCGCGCGCAGAGCGGAGCACCATGGGTAAGAAACTTTGGTAAACTATCCATCTGAGAAAATTTGGTTATGACATAGCGTACGCCCGCCCGCCCGCCCGTACACACGCTTCATGTAAGCCGATGTCAAATGTCACAAAGGATCTTGCACAACTTGACTCGCCTCTTAGTTATGTAAGCCATCCGTATGAGTACGATTAGATTGACAGCTGTCAAAATTAGGCATCCGCTGACAATTATCACATGACTATCTCGCGGGCTCAGATGAAAGACCAGTCGTTTTGCCCCTACATATAAGCGGATATAATATGTCACACTTACCAATTCAACATAAAAACAAAACTACGCCGGGCAAGGCTGTCAGTTGGCTGACAGTCGTTTAAAGATATATTGGCAAGCCAAATTAAGGTCAATTGACAGCTGTCAAAATGGGACATGTGCAGACCACTATTAGAAAACTAATAACGTGGGCTCAGGTTCGCTCAGGTACACGATCTGGCATTTTCCACTATATGCCGGACGGAGATGTCTTACTCACACTCGTAGTCTGTTAATTCGAATATTCGCCATTGTAATGAAGGTTAATTGACAGCTGTCAAACTAGAGTATACGCTGACCATCATCATCTGAGTGTATCGCGGGCTCATTAGCCTATCCATTGAGGTCACGTAGTGTTTAAAGTTTTGCGCTGATATTTTATTTGATCACGGGCTCAATTCGAAGTCCCATAGCTTAGAAAATCGATCCATCTTAGAAAATTCGGCAATCACGTGACCGTACACCGACCACCCGACCTTCCGTCCGTCCGCACCACAGGTATACCAATGTTTAATCTCAGACTTTCTAGCTAGTTTGGAAGCCTGCAACCTGATATTGTACATCCATGTTTTGATTAATTGACAGCAGTCAAAATAGTGTTACTGCTGACCAGTGTCGCCTGACCCTATCGCGGGCTCAGGTATCGACCCACTGAGTTCGAGTGTTTTTTAACGTATCCGCTGACAGGTTGCTACTTTTCAATTATCGCAGGCTCAAGTTCAATTTTTTTTAAAAGCATATGAAATAAGTCGAGTTCATGAGCCGCACTTTTAAAATGTTGATTTCGAACTGACCTCGGACGCGAAAATTCAACCGGCTTTTACATTTACATGCGGGGAAGGCAATCACTTTTGACTTTTCTCACTGTCACGCGTTCATCACGCTCTACGTTCAATTTTTATGTTCTGATTGGTCAAAATTTGACAGGTGAGTTCACGCGGAAAATTTATGCAGCGTCTGGAAACTTGCTTACTGATAGCTGGAGCTTACAGAGTTTTGTGTCATCTTGTGATGTTTTAAACTGGCTGTTTCTACTTGGTTTACAAAATGAAATACAGCTGCTATCAAGATTGTTCTGTAATTCATGGCTGGTTTGTTTATTGCGCTCTTTGTTGACAAATGCACCGCTTGTCAAAGTCATTGGAAATCCGATTTCGGATGGCATCGTTTTCAAAAATGAGCCTACTCACTTGCCCTTGCTTGAGGCGTAAGAGGGTTGAAAATTCTGGAACACTTGATGACCTTCAGAAGCAGCATCTCGACTGGTAAGCCTGAGAAATTGTTGTCTTTGATGTGTTTTTTTTTTTTTCGTTTCCTGAAGTCGAGCATATGGTTTATGCGGCTTAAGTTTATATACGAGCAATGATCTAACCTACAATAGTATCAGGTTTAAAAAGCCTTTAGACATTTTTTGACCTCAAATTCAAAGAAAATGTTCCGAAGATTATTTACTTATGATTTTGACTGTAAAAAGAAAGCCCTGAGCGATTTTCTTGCCTCGAGTTCATCTTGAAAAAGAGCAAACACCGGGAAGCCGGCTTAAAACATAAATAAGCTTATGCTTACCTGACTCATGATTTTCAAAGACACTTTACTCTCACTACTTCTCTTCGGGAATGAAAATTATTGTCTCTGTACATGTTTCACCGAATTATATTTATTTTATTGATTGTTAGTAGTCCCTCTCGTAATTTTTATCGCTGCACCGGTTGTATCCAGTCGAACATAAACATCTCATGCAGGAATACTCAAAACGCCGCGCGTAAATATCACTCGCTTTTAAAGATATAACAAAACCGTCCCCAGTTTAATAAATAAAGGGAAATAAAACCTAAACATACAATTTATCTATCATGTTGAAGCGTAAATGGTAACTCTATTAATCGCACTGAAAATTTAGTGCCTGTCAAAAGTGAGCCCCGTCCGGCTGGCCGAAAAGTGATTTTGGGAATTTTTTTATCGTTTTCATTAAAAGCCCATTTTACCCTGCATATCACATAGGACCAGATTTTTCTAACTGAAAGTCCTGGCATTATAGAATTCTCTTCATGAAAACGTTTTATAATTCAATGCTATAATTTGTTGTGCAAAGGAAGCGCGTGCTTTGATCGTCGTGGATACTGAATGAGTGCACATTCTCTTGCAAAATTGTGAAAAACTGCAGAATTATAGGTTTAAATTGGGCAAAAAAGAACAAATTCTGTCCGAGGTCTGTATGATAAAAACAAGGGCCTCATAGTACTGTTTACCTGAGACGTGATGAGAAAAAGTATGTTTAAAAGGCTGGTTTACACTCCACCAGATTCGTCGCCAAGATTTACTAGTAAACTAAACTTGTCGAACACAAAAAATCCGGCCTGATTTTTTATTTTGGCCTCTCTTTTAGACAGAGGAATGCAACGTGTAAATTGGCTGCCACCAAGGACTATCGTGGCGCCTGTGTTTCTTAAAATTATATTTCGGGGTTGTCCAATTATCCATAGTCTCTCAAACGGAGCAATGTTGGAGAGAGTGGTGAATGCCACATTATGATTCAACAGCTAATGCAAATACAATACACGAATAGGTAGGTCTATTTGTTTTCCAGGCCTAATCTACTGTGATCGAACATGATTGCTATTTTTGGGTGTACAAATAAGATTATTTAATAACTCGATGTAAAAGCTGTTTCACTCTTCGAATGTCAAATTATTTTTCTGTAAAATCACTTAGCCTTTGCCTCAAACGTCAAATGAATGTGCCCTGATCTGCGGATTACAAGTTTATTGTTTGATTTAAATTATGAATTTATTAACGGGAGCTTCGCTTTTAGCCCTGGCTAAATCTATATATTAAGCAAAATCATGCTACATATGATACACAGGGTCATTCCACTTAATTTTCACGCACCCAGCTCAGGACATTATACAATTTCTTACATGAGGTAAAGAGCATCAAAATGTGCTCTTATGACTGTAAATATGAAATAATCTTCACCAGCAAAAGCCTAATATAGATCGAAGACACCAAAGTGTCAATATAATGGGCTCAATTTCAAAAAAAGCTCAAAGATCTATCTTATCGACGAGCTTTTGTGACCCGCAAGGAGAACAGGAGAACGGTGAAGTATTCAGGAGAGTTGACACATATGTATGTGCATCAATACATTTTTCCAGTACATTGAGGAAAAATTCAGATTTTTTTAGTATTAACAGCAATGTCAAAACATTTCGTCAACGTAACTGCCACGAGGGTAGACGTGGGTTGGTTATTAAATGGAATGTGCAGTTCCAAAAAATATCCATACCCCCACCCCCTGGAATTTCAACTCAGGGGGTGCTTATCATAACCTGCCCACCCCCTAGAACTTTCGTCATTTTATTCATGAGCTGACGACAATTGTTACATAAACTATCGTGCAAGCCGTGAAAAATGCACTCAACCGAACTCAAATAAAAGATCGCTTTTTCCTTTGAAATATCGATTAACGGTAAAGTAATAGCTTGCTCATCAATCTTACTCTGAACGCCATGAGAAGAGACTCGAGAGGCCACCCCCTACCCCCATGAAAATTGTCTCTATTTAGACCCCCTCCCCTAAGAACTTCCGTTGCCCTTCGTGGGGGGGGGTATAGATGCCCACACACTGCCCACAGCCTACAAAAAATCATCAATGTTAGGACAAAGCAGAATACTAAGAACGGGAAATACCTCTGCTCCAAGTACATGTAGAATCTAGATTAGATGTAATGAGTCAATAACCTAAAATGAAACACAAGGAAGCAAGCCACGGTGACACCACCCACAGAAAAAATAAGAGCAGTTACAAAACATCAACA